CCTTTCTTGTTCGGCTCAGTACCGTGGAAAGGAATGGAAGCGTGAATGAGCCAAACAAAGAAAGAACGAAAACAGGAACACAACGGAAACAGCAATCGTAGTTGTAGGAAATGAAAAAGGATGTAAGCCCAACATATGCTAGCATTGATTTCGGCTTATTTACCTTCATTATTTTCACTTTTCTACTTTGGCTTTTATGAGCTTCATGCTTCCAATCTCCTCTTTCACTACATTACCAGCTCATAAAACAGAAAAGGGAAAGATAAGTAGAATGAAGAGCCGGGAAGATCATTAGACTGAAGAATCAAATACTTGTTTTTCCTTTGTGCTTTAATATGAAACGAAATGAATAAAGCGTAAGAGACGCACGGCTTGCACTTCGTTTAATAATTACAGACAACGAAATGAAACAAGAGCCACAAAACCCAGATTTAAATGAATTAAACCATGCCTTCCTTTCTCTATTTTACTTGCAATTCACTTAAACTGGCTCTTTTGGGTTCCGTTCATTCTTCACTCCATTTTATCATGGTAAGAGAATAACAAAGTGAGGCGAATGAAGAAAGACAAACGAAGTGTATGTTTTGATCATCTCGCTTGGCCTTGTTAAGAATGTAATCAGGCACAAGGTTGACCGTGGACTCGCGAATCATTCTCTGAGTTTGACCGCCAGTCAAGGTACATCCAACATTCCTTTTTCCTCACATCTTTTTTCCAAGCTCACTGCCAAGCATGGGCCCCACAAGCTTTAATTCAACCTAATGCGACAATATGGCAATGAAATGTAGGCGCGCCTTTTGTTGTTAGTTTGCATTTGCTCTTTCGGGTTGTGCATGTCATTGTAAAGGAAATATTGAAAGAAAATACCAATAAGACCCAAACTAGCATAATGAAACGAAGCAAAAGGCGTGCATCCTTTACCATTTTGTTCCTTGCACTACACTGGTTTGTCCTTTTGGGGTTCGCTTCGCTCCACATCCTACATTGACTGACTTTCCTGTAATCAAAGATGATGTAGTTTAAAGAGAGCGAAGACAATGTAGCATAAGAGAAAGCGTGCTTTGTTCATCGTGAAACGCACCACGAGGTGAACGAGACAAACGAATCAAATTTTCATGTATGAAATAGAGGAAAAAGTGCGATCCTTACCTTCTCTTCATTTCGTTAGTTTAGCATGGGTCTTTTGGTTGTCTTCACTTCCCAGCTTACACCTATACGAGTTTATAATGCTGGAAGTACAACTCGAATCTAATGGTATCTTTATAGGTAATCTATAGTGGTATCTTCTAAGGATTATGAATGAAGAAAGACGCAAAAGAGCCAGATTTGGCTAATGAAAGATAAATTGGCGCATGCCTATTTATTTTAATCAGGGCTTTTGTAGTGAACGGTCCAATTCCTGGTATGTTATTCGTTGAGACCGTATTTCGTTCATGCGTTCGTTCACTTGTTTCTCGCTGACACTTCGTTCGTTGAAAATCAGGAACGAAATCATTCACTTCATCTCACCCTTCACTCAGATTTCTTTCCCTGTTGTTTCATGCGTTAAAAGATAATGAGGTGAATGTAAAAGAGCGAGCGCATGCTTTCTGGAGATCTGGAACTCGTTTCCAATTCTCAAGATTTAAAAATCTTTGCTATTGGGGGGGTCTGGAATTTCGTTTAAATTTCGGAGTATTCAAAAAATTTTATATGTTTAAATATTCGGCCTTGGGAGGTCTGGAATTCTTTTAAATTTTTTATAATTTTTATAATTTTTGAAATTTTTAAAATTTTTAGAAATTGGCCTTTGGGGGTCTGGAATTCTTTTAAAATTTTTGAAAATATTTTTTTTTGAAAATTTGGCCTTCGGGGGTCTGGCATTCTTAAAAATTTTTCAATTTTATATAAATTTGCCCTTTGGAGGTCTGGAATTCTTTTCAAATTTTTGAAAATTTTGAAATTTGTAAAAAATTTATAGAAATTTGCCCTTTGGGGGGTCTGGAAATCTTTTAAATTTGGTGTTTCTTAATATTTCGAAAATTTTCAAAACTTTCAAAAATTCTAAAAGTTTTAAAAGAATTCCAGACCCCCAAAGACCAAATTTTTCAAAATTTCACGCATTTTTACAAATTTTGACAAATCTTAAAAGAATTCCAGACCCCTAAAGGCCAAATTTCTAAAAACTTCAATTATTTTTAAAATTTGAAAAATGAATTCCAGATCCCCGGAGATCAAACTCATACTGCCCACAGAGCCTGCCCTTTAAGAAGAAACAATTACTCAAATAGCGCATAGAGGCCCCACGCACTGAGGGGGGAGAGGGGCCGGTGGATTGATTCGATATAATTCAATTCCTATATGATTCGATCGCGGCGAGTTCATTATTTGGAGAGTGGGGTCCGGCGGAACGAAAGCTAAATTAATATTATTGTTATTATTGCTGTCGAAATTTCTTTTATGGATCGTAAAAATTATCGTATTTCGTGTATAGATAGAGATGAGATAGATATTTAGGGGTCGAGACGAGAAGCAGAGAGATAAATTCAATTTGCGGCGAATTTATAGATCTATATAATAGAAGATTCTTCACCTTTCTCTTTTTGATTTTCTCTTTCTATATTGATTTTTCTCTATCTTATTTATTTCATGTTCGTATTTATTCTATCTTATTTTATTTTCTTATTTCTCTTCGAATCATTTTTCTCTTCTCTTCTTTTCTCCTTCATTCTATTTTATTCCCTAGGCATAAATCGTTCAAATAACGAATTTAACGAACATCCTTTCGAATCTCGGAAACAGAGAAAAATGAGCGATTCTAATTTCTCCCTTTTATATCAAATAATAAAATCAAGACGATGTATATAAATAACGATTATAGCGAAGATTCTAATGAAATATTCGCAAGCAAAAGCGAGACGAATTAATTTATTCTCTCTTTCCAATAAAAATCCGTAAATACGATATAAATATTAACGAAGACAAAGATAATATTTATAAATACCACGCACATATATAATACCCAATACTCAGCCAACACAACCCCCAACAACTCATATAATACATAACACACACAACCCATATAACACACACCACACAATCATACATCACATACCACTTCACCGTGCAGCATATAACACACACCACATAGAACCCAACAAGCACCGCACGCAACAGCACGCCCAACACACACAACACCGCGCATAACACAGCACAACATGCGCAATGCACAGACAACACCGCGTACACTCCTCTAGATGGATTAATATGGGGTTCTGCGCCTTTAATCATAACAATCGATTTTGAAAAGACTTTAAGTGAATTATAGTAATCTATCATGTAAACTTGTACTTTACCACTGTTTTGAGTAAACCCTAAAATTCATATAACATCTAAAAAATCTTGACATTCCACATTAATCAAACAATACAATCCAAAGAAACGTGTTTATGATTTATTTTCGATTATAGAAACCCAAAGTGTACATCCAACAATAGTTTGAATTTTCATAACCCTCAGAAATCTAGAATATACTCTCTAGATAATCAAAAACTGCAGAAAACTTTCTAAATTTTTCTATTAAATTACACACTGTAGAATTTACGATCAATTTTATCACCCTCAACCTGATATAGCGTTGAAACCCGATAGACGCAAGAGAAAGTACCAATTTAACAATTCTCAAATGAAAAACCAAACGCTACTTTTCATAAAAAGTGACAAGTGACAAAGAAGAGAGTGATTATGCGCCGGCCTACCAGCCCGGATTGCTAGCAACTGGCACGGAGGGGCTGATCAACTTCGGGCCGGAATTCTTAGAGACGGTCCTTGTCTCGTCCTCGCGTGCTCGGCAAAGGCCATAATTGAGGCATGGCAGCTGTAGAATTCTGGACGACGCCAGCAGCAGCGGTTTCAAGTGCTGTGTCAGCTGGCACAGGGAGCACGAGTTCACCGCCTACAGTAGTCGTTAGGACAATAAAGAGATGGAAGCCGCTCTTGGATAGTTTAAAGTTTACAGACTGCAGGATTACAATTACGTTTCAGCCTGTCGACCTGCGCCATAAGCATCTTAACTCACATTGCGCAATCAATTACTCGAAATTGGGCCATGATCCAGGACATGACTTGAGGTTCCACTCCGTTGGCGAAAAACGAGAAGCAGTCTTTCTCTGCAGTATGCCTGAATGTGAAAAATCTTCCTAGAACCCAAACCGGCAGACCCAGATCGCAGGGCGGCCGTTTTGTCAAGCCTTGGTTGGCTTTAGCTTCGTCGTGCTTCTGGCGCCGTTTTGGCAGCCTGGCCCGCAGCGAGCGAAATCATGCTAATGAGCAATGCCACCCATGTGCTGTGACGACCAGCCTGAGCCTATCTTACACACCCGACGTGCACTACAGAAAGCGAGTGAGTAGCACGGCTGCAGGATGCCTGATTGGACCTTTCTCTTGGGACCGCTGGGCGCTTAATGCATTGGTGTTCCAGGAAGCCCCATTGCCAGATGCGGAGACAAGAACCTAAGGAGAACACAGCGTGCCGTGACTCGAATTAAAAGTATGTTGCCGGGTGTAGTTAAGTCTTTGGCGGCTTAGTGCTAGTTCACCCTGGCCCGTAAACACCAGTTTCAGACGCACACATTTTGACAGTCTTCTCAGGAAAGCATAGAAAAAAGATATACCGGTGACATGCTTCTTGAGTTGGTCTTCGTTTATACACCCTCCAGTGCAGGAGCTCGCCTATGCATGTCTGGGACGTGCATATGTTGAGAGGCCCGAATCGAAGCTGACGTTGGCCTGACAGAAGGCGCCAGTCAATTGCACAAGCGAGGCACGGCGGACGCAGCAATGCACCTACGGATCTACGGTAGTGTAACGGTAGGTGTTACACGACAAACACTACACCATTGTCGTGCCCGACAGGACACGAACTGGGCGGGGTGCACTGGGCAGGGAGCAGATCATGAGGGCCAGTGTCAAGTTCGCAGGGTGTGCTTTTGACAGCGGCTTGCTTAAGGTGCCTGACAGGTCTATTCCAAGCTGGCTCGTCTGAGCCGACGCTGCAACGCTTGCTGAGCTTCTTCCAGCTGGAGCCCTCCTGAGGCGACGCCCTCTCATAATCCACCGAATGGTGCAAAGCTTTGCCATAAACATGTGCAGGCGAAACACTAAACACCCCATGTACCATCAAAGCGCAAGACATGCTAGACCGCAGCCAAGGTCTGCACGCTCCGTGGTCCACTGGCCAAGCGTCCTGCAGACCGGCTGAGCTGGCAGATGCTGGGAGCCAAGAGCGGAAACATGGCACCGTGCGGCCAAGTCTGTCGCAGGCCCCACCTGAATCGGTCGTTCCATGTCTGCGGGCTCAGGTTGTGGCGTCGCAACAACTTGTCACGCAGGGAGCGGAGGTCCTGTCATGTTCAGACCGTGCATGGCTCCAGGCTACAGGAAACAAACGCCCTCCGGATCTCCCAACAACCGCAGCCGATCGTGGGACGGGTGGTAAAATTGCCCTCAGACTCGTTTTTGACGACATACCCGCGTCTGTTGTTCTTGCAACTCCCAAGCAGCTCCTGCTCGTTCTCTCGCACATCGTCGGCTCCTTCTACACCACTCCTGCAACGTGAAGAAATGATACGGTGTCACTTGCCTGTCTGCTTGCTGCAACTTCTGAGTGGCAGAGCCCTCGGCATATGCACTCGGAGTTTTCGTCTTCGACTCATTCTGTGGTTCATGCAAAACCTTGAGACTCGTGCAGGCACCCACCCCGGATTTCTGCTTTCCAGACATTCCAGAGCATCGCTGCAGCAAAATGTTCGGACAGAATCAGCGAATCTCCATCGATGCGTCCCTTTCCGAACCTCTTGGGGTCCAACTACTTCGTTCATGGTCGGAGCCGTGGAGGAAACAGCAGGATGCAGCCGCCGAATGGTTGAAAGGTTGGTGCCTTAGCCGATTTCCAGACACCCAGATCAGCCATCTTCCAGCTCTAGCTGTCAGACAGCAAAGGTCCATGCGAGGTTGCCTTTTGATGGTGAAGCCCGTGCTTGCTGTGAATGGCTTGCAAACCACCAGGCCGAAACAAAGGCATGACCCGGAATTCTGCATGACTCCGCAGCATTCCGCAGTATGCTCCTGTGCAGCAGACTCTGCCACCAGAGGATGCAACGGGCGTCCTCCAAAGCCGGTATTGCCCAGACGCGAGCTTTGTGTGAAACGAATAGGGCAGTCTACAACCTTGACAGGGTTGCTATGCGTTTTGGCCATTCGCTGTGGTGCGCCGAAGTGAAGTTTAAGATATTTCAGACGTAGCGATACATTTCACCGGTCGTCAGCTGGATGTGTCACAGATGATAGTGGTGTTCGACTCCGAACCTTCTCTTGCAAAGGTATCAATCGAGCATGGTGAATCATCGACAACGGCAGAGACAAGAACAATCAGCCAAGCCCTGTCACTAGGAAACAGTTGGGAGTGCGCTGTATTGCAATCTGTCTTGTAGTACCGCCTGCTACGCCACATTGACATGTATTTTGTGCTGCTGGAGCAACTTGGACTCACTCCCTCCGCTGCATGCTGCATGCTGCATGCATTTGCCACTGTGTGCGTTGTCGACTCCGTCGGGACCCGACCCTCGAGCCTCGGCGGGCTTTGCACGTGACTTGGGAGCAGCGGCAAAAAAGGCGCGCCATGGTCCTCTCGTCTCGAAGCGCTGAAGTGCGCAGTCCGAGCTTCAGAAGATCGGGCGAATGTCCTGAGCCTGTGCTGCCGCAGCAGCAAGGCGGGTCGCGGAAGCCGTCGACGCTGCAAGAGCCTGGCAGCGTGGCCGCTGGCCAACCCTGTCGCAGTGGCTGTCGCAGTGGCTCGGTTGGATCGGCCTGGCGGGCTGCAGCCCGCTGTCGGAAGGCCTGCGACTCGACGTATCGACGTATCGTGCGCAAGACCACAAGAGAGTACAAGAGATGATCCGAATCGCAGTGCCAAGCGGGCAGTAGCCTGCAGCTGCGCCGAAGTGAACGGAGTCTCCTCCACCGCCTCGGCGGACGACAGCTGCCAGCACTCCACTGATCCTACAGCCAAGGGCAGCGCTGCAGGAGGCGGTGGTGGCGGTGGCGGATCAGGAGCCTTCGACACCTGTCAGACACTGTGTGCGGTGGCCAAGCCCAGAGAGGAAAAGCAGGCGGTGAACTTTGGTACTTTTTCACTGTGCCGTTTGACAGAAACGTCCTCCCACTTTGTGGCTTCTCTGTGTCATGCTTGCTGACTGAAGCGAACGCGAGACGCTGAGGCACATGCGTTCTCTGGAAAGACCGCAGATGACCCCGACATTGATATCGGTTCTTGGAGCACCTGTTCAGGGGTTATGGCGAGGTAATCCCTTACATAAATAGCAGAAGCAGCGTGCGCATACAAAATCATGCAAATGCGTAGCCGCCAAGACACCACGGCGACCGGCTCCTGCGCCAGGCTGCGCGGGGTGGATGGAGTCGGTTCGACGGTGCCGAGACCTGGGAGTGAGGGCTGTGTGCGGCCTGTCCCGGCCAAGGACTCGCCCCAGATCCGGACGGGAGCGGCTGGGTGGAGTCTCTGCAGAAACCTGGACATTTGCATATGTCATGATAGGATCAAGCAGGATGGTCGCTCGGCATTCACAAGCTTCGTCTATACGAGCAACAGTTTGCATAGCTTGCTGGTGCGCTGGCGAGGCAAGCTCGTCCTGAAGCCCACGGATCCTGACGCCGTGCTGCGGTTCGCACGAGCACAGGAGTTCCACTGCTGCCCGCCTCTGCATCACTGCAGCCACCTGCGCTGCGGGTTGCTTAAATTGGCTGTTGTGCGGTTGGGGGTTTCTCAGCATGGCATCAAGCTTGAAATTGGCGCCTGGTGGTGAAGCTTCCCCTGCTGGGCACAGTCCCCTTGCACGATGCGAGCAAGCTCCGTGGCATGATGGATCATGTACTGGAGGAGCGATTGCCTTGGCTTCGGCTTTTGGCAGCTCCATGCAGAGCACAAGAAAGCGGCGTCAGACTCATCGCGCCAAGCAGCAAATGGTGGACTTGGCCTTGAAGTTGGACATGTTGATGTCTCCAAGAAGCTATCATCACCTCCTGCTACCAAGCTACCACTTCCAGCAGACCGGCAACGACAAATCGTTATGATGCACAACAACTGACGCTCCTGCTTGGCACGGTGACTCTCCAGCGCTGCAGCCGGTTCGGCTGATGCTTTCTTGGCAGCGGCAAGCTCGACCCGGAGGCTTGAAAGCTCCGCCAGCAGGCTCCTCAGTCAGGGCGATGCGCTTGCGCGCGCCAAAGCGCTGACGGTACTCGTAGCCAGGACCGGGCTGCAACTGCTGCAACACTATCACGAGACATTCTGCACAAGCTCGGCACAGATGCCGTCTGCAACATGTCACAGTTTCTTCCAATGTCACAAACACCGAACTGAAGCGTGCCAGGAAGCTGATTCCGCTTTCTGAGCTCCAGGAGCTCTTGTGGGTCTTCAGAATCTGCAGGATCCTTGCAAAGATCCGCACGGGGATGCATGTTACTTCGATGTTCCATGGCCTGGCTTTACTCAACGTGCCGTCCAAGCGGCGTGGTCTGGTCCGACTTTGACATGCCGCTTGTCATTGGCATCAACAGAGGCATCCATCGCAGGAAACGAGAAAAACTCAGTCGGCTCCATCTCCTGGAGAGGAGCTTCAACATGCAACGCGTGTGAAGACATTACAGGCATGCAGCCGTCCTGGGCTTTGCAGCGCTTGCACACCCAGCCCACTAGGAGGACCATCAAAATGAGCAGGACCAGGATGACCTCTTACAGCATCTCTTGAAATATCGTTGCAACTCCGTCTCGGCAAACACAGGGCTGAGGAGGGCACCGGCACAACCACGGATAGTGCGACTGCACTGTCGCCTTCATCGGTCGTTGCCAGCCTGGCAATTTCATGCGCTACAGAACCTGCTCATGATTCCGTACGTTTCGTCTTTCCATCATGCTGCCATCAGATGCAGACGAGCTTCCCCGGTGGGACGTAATTGATGCCAATGCTGCAAGATGCACAGCAGCCACACGTCTCAGTGCTGGAGGACGTTGTGCTTGTCAGCGTGGTGCTTGAGATGGTGGTCGTGACCTTATGCCCGGCGACGCATGTGACAGCGGGAAGTGATGTGCAGCGGTCAAGGAAGAGATCAGCTGCAGACTGCAAACCCCAAGGGCGGCACAGAGAGAGTTGTCGAAGTGATGCTTGTCGTCGTCACCGTGCTTCGTGTAAGGGTGCTCGAGGTGGTCAGGGTGTTTGTTGCAGTTGTTGTCTCCGTTTGGCTGGTGACGCTCAGGGAGCTCGTAGTGCTTGTTGTCGTCCAGGTGCTGGACAGTGTCAGCGTACTCGACATGGTCGTGGATGCGCTGACGGTGGTGCTCGTGGAGCTTCCAGTCACGGTTGCGGTGGAGGACTCGGAGGTTGTCGATGTCCACGTCATCGACGTGGAGGTCACCGACGTGGAGGTCGTCGAGCTGGAGGTTGATGAGGACGAAGTGGTGGTCCTACGGATCAGAAAGGGATGGATGATGGTATCAGACAGGCTTTTGCCTTCCCGGCATCTTGCATAGACGCACCTGGCTCCACAAGAGCAAGACTTCCTCAGAAACTCCGGACGATGTAGGATGTCAGTGTAGGCAGGCAAAAGGCAGCGCGAAGTCACTACGAAAACGCCTATCTCGCACACCTTCACCAGTCTCGCTTCGCACGCACGGATGGGATTTGCAGCAAGTGATTCGCTTCTCGCTATGCCTGGCCAAAATGAAACACACAACTACCTCTGACTTCGATGCCCTCCACACGCCATTTGCGATTATGATGGGCCCTCTATAGCTGGCCACACGGCTGCAGTTATGTCGCGGGTCGACTGGCTTAGAATCGCGTTGCTTCAGAAGCCCGGGCTCGGCAAGTGCTCATTTTCGGCTAAACCGGAAATGCCCGAAAGGTTTGCTTTTCTTTCTTTCTGGAGGCGCAAGCACGAGAGTGTGCTTGCCTGCTGTGGCGATTTCTGTGTCCGAAACAAAGCTCTCGCTTGAGAGGAGGGATTGGCCCACAAAGCAGTCCTCGACACGGTCCACGTGGAGGTCTGCGAAGTTGAGGTTTCCGAGGTCAAGGTTGCAGTCGTAGTCCGAGTCGTGGTCGTGGAGAAAGTAATGGTAGTTGTCAGGGAGCTTGATGATGTTGCAGTTCTGCTAGTGGAGCTTGTCGTGACGGTGTGGGTGTTCGTGTTCGTTTGGCTGGTGGTCGAGGAGATGGTAAGTGTCTTACTTGAAGAAGTACTTGAAGTTCGCGTTTCCGTCTCCGCACTGGAGCTGCTGGTCGTGGTGCTGAACGTCCTGCTGGTGCTGGTTAGTGTGGCCGAGGTACTTGTTGATGATCCTGTTGCAGGCGCTACAGCTGATTACGGTCTAAGACAGGACTGTCACATGCTGCCTGTGCAAGTCGACTCAGCCAGGAAGGACGAGAAAACGCAGCCTACAGTCTTCTGCTTCCCCATTCGCCTGACGTACTTCTTGAGGTCGTGGTGCTCGTGGAGGTTGCGGTAAGCGTCGTCGTGTCGGTGTAGCTGGTGGTTGAGCTGGTGCTGCTTGCAGTGGAGGTACCAGTTGCGGAAGTTGATGTTGTGGTTGCTGTTTTCGTCGTCACCTCAAACTTCAGAAATGCTCACCTCTTGTGGATTTATATCTCGATAGGTCAGCACTGGTACATCCGAACTGCGCTAGGACTTGAGGAATTGCAAGAACCGTTTGCTGGCCAAGATTCTGTGTGTGACAGGGTCGTTGACGATGTTCTGGAGGAAGAGGTGGAGCTTGTGACAGTAACCGACGTTTGCGTACCTTGGATACCCAAAGTCTGCAAAGCAACAGCGCTAATCCGCTCGCGGACGATGGTATTGCGCACGCAGGACAGTGCTGCCTCTTCACCAATACTTGCCAGCTATAGACCCCAAACATGCATGTGTTCAAACACTGCGAAGTAGTCCAGGAGCACCCTGAAGCTCCCAAGACCACCCCCGTAACTCCCGAAACGTGCGCCAGCGGACCAGCGCTGTGGCACCGTCAAAGTACCATGCCGGGAGCAGAAAATCAAGTTTGGCACATTCCCAAATTAACGGCTTGGAAAGGCCGGCTTTCCAGACTCCAGAAACGAGGCCCGGAGCAGGCAGCTAGTTTGGCATCTAGGAGTTCAGGGGCTTTCCACCCAATGACACCCCGAGTGCGATCATCAAATTCCGAAGCTTGCAATGAATGATTTAGCGTGCGGGGCGTCACCTCAGTGGACCGTGAAAAACACGATGTTAATCACAGTTGCGAATTTGCGCACGGACAGCTCTACACTTAATGTAGGAACACTGTTTGGGGAATGATTTTAAAAGGAAGACACAGGCAGTTCTCAATGCCACGCTGCAGCTTCTGCAGTCGGGCAACAAGTCAAGACAAACACTGGGCCAAGACACGTGCGCATACCGTAACATATCTAGACACTGCGCAACGACCTCAATATACAGCAAAAGATACACATACACAGACTCAGCAAGTAGGGCCCTAGGCAAAAACTATACTTTCATGTCGAACCCAGTGACACAGCCACTAAACCCTCTCGCTGTTTAGCGGAATTGCTTGTGGTGGTGGTCTGCGTCGTGGCTTCGCAAACGACGACTGCACTGCCATCACAAATCTTTTTGTCAAAGGGGCCGCAACCTTGGCATGAAGCATGCTACACAGGATTTGAACAGCCAAGGGGAATGCGTGCACCCTGAGAACTTTGTAAGCAAAGGACGATCATATTGTTCACAGGGTATGCAGCCAGGAAGTTGAGTAGGACATGGCGAGATGGGATCATTCCGCACTTGAACCTGCGCATGGACACAATGCCGACACGATCGCAAAGCGGAACAACCATCTCCGACATTGCGGCATTGCGGGGTGCACGGAGCTCTCGGCCTGCAGCTCCCCTCCGCTGGGCGCCTCGACGTGGTAGCATGCGAAGGCACATGTCACTCCAGATTGACTTACACGTCGGACCTCCACCCAAATGTCGAGAAGCTGCGTCACCCTGCCTGCGTGAGAAGGCAAGCGAAGGCACAATCCACAAGTAAGGCCTTTGAAGGTCTTTCTCCGTAGCTGGAAAGGTGGCGTGCGAGGTCGGTTCGACGCTGCTCATGTTAGCTCAGCATGACAAGGCTGCGAGTACGGCCTTGTAGAGAGAGCTTCTCGAAGACAGGCGCGAGCTGCTTATCCCCACTGAAGTACCAGTTCATCCCCTCGTAAGTGACGCAGTAATCGTTCTCATCTGCGCAGCCGGTGCCTGCCTCCGGTGCTCTTTCACACGGGACTACGAAGTGACTGCCGGAAAGACCTCCTAGCGTCTTCTTGCCTGACGTTCCTTCGACTCTGCCTCGCAACTTCGCTAGCGACTAGCCAGTGCAAGACTATGCCGCGGCTTTGTCAACCTGTGTATAACTGACCACGAAATGCGGAACGTGTCCACCAAATACAAAACATTACAAAACAAAACGGAAGACAAATCAGCTACGGCAAGCAGTAATGCCCGGCACCCAAGGAAACCAAGGGACGTTTGCAGGCCGGCCGCCGTCAGGACACGTATCTCCAACAGCTCCAGCGACGCAAATGCCTCGAGTTCAGAATCGGCAGTCGTTTGCCCGACTGGTCTTGCCAGGCCGTGCATGGCCGTGCTATCTGCAGACAAAGGGCCAGCGGCAGGATCAACTAATTGCAGATCCTGATCCGTCTGGCGTGTGGTCATCTCCACACGGATGCCGCTGCTATTGACTGGAATCTGCATGAAGAGTTGGGACTTCCCTTTGAGAATGTCATCCTGCAAGGCACTGCAAGTGTCAGGTACTTAAGACCGCTTGTGATCCTTCCGTGATGGCCTCCACTGTGCAGCCGCCTCCTCCGCACAGTGCCACCAGAGGTAGGGCCTTGAACTGGCCGGGCTGGCACGGGGCATTGCACTCCGTGGAGTCCGAGAGTCGCCTCCCAACAAAGAAAGTCTCTCTCGGCTCTCGGAAGTCTGCCGTCTGCCCTTCAAGGCCGATGCCTGGCTCTCAGGAATCAAGCGACTAGCTTCACTGGCGACTGACAACTGACAACCTTCTGCCATATCTAGCGCTGCAAACATTGCACGCCGACTTCGACTTCCGGGAAGGTCGCGGTTTCGTTGCTTTCCGGGCTGCCGCGCCTTGGGTCGGCAGCCGAGCTGCACAGAAGTATGCCAAGCACGACCTCGTTGCAGATCCACATCACTCAGCTCCGGCTTCACAAAAGTGACAAGACAGCGGGTGATTTTGTCCTGTCGCAGCGAGCACGATGCCGGTGACTTATGTGCAATTCATCTGCCGCTACCTTGGGCACACGCCCACGCTCGCACATTGTGTGCTTGGAAGGCGACCATGGCAAAGCCATCTGTGCGCTGTCAAGCCTACTTGAAACACGAGGCCGAGGCTATCTGTGTGTCTTCAAACGTCTGTACACCCCAGACTCTGCATTCGTTCTGCGACCAGGATAAGGCCTTCTGATAAAGCTCAATAGAACGACCCATTTGGTCCAGCAAGCATGACTGTTCTCTGGTTTTGCTCTAGCGTACCGAGACTCGTGGCGGTCGGAGCCCTAATCTTTGCTGAGAGCTTCTTGTCGAGCCCAGGTGCCAGGACACAATCGCTTGGATACAGTAGACAGCATCATGTGGTCCGGAGGCATCCGGACAACATGTGCATGACGACAATGGAGGGAGAATGCACTGCCCGCAGGCGGGCTTGCGGCCGCCAAACAGGAGCCCTTGTTGCGGGCATCATGTTGTTGGGGTTTCATAACCTTTGCTTTCGTTTGCTCTTCTTCTTTCTTCCACGGTGGCGCTGCCCGTGCGAACCGCCGGTAGCTGCGCAAGCGCCGCTCTCTGAACGAAATCCTTAGCACTCAGAAAGCACATCAAGAAAAGTTTTGAACCTCCCACGCAAAACAAACATTGACAATTACGCAACATGCAACGACTGGCATCTTCCTCGTTTCGCGTACAAATGCGGCGATATGGGCCCTTTCCTCGTTGCACAGAGGCTCAGCTCTTCTTGGCTCCCTTTTGCTGGAGCCACGAAGGGAATCAGCAACGTGTCCAACTGCGGCCTGACATCAGTGCAGCAGACAGAGGCAAAATCATCTTGATGGCAAGACCCCTGCCTGAATCTATCTTGCTGAATGCTAGCGGCTAGCGGTACAGTGTAGGAATCATCTCGCAGCCAGGTTGCTGAAAGAAGAAGACGGCCGTGAGGCGCTGCTTCTTCAGGTCTCCGGCGCGAGTCACCACTCGATGTGCTCCTTTGGCAAATCGCCTGAGTGCAGCAAAACCTAACTGGCCTCAGCCCAATGTGGAACACGAGCTTCAACGATGTAGGTCCACTCCTTTAGGGGCCTTGAGGCTTCATCGATTCAAGCGGTTCTCGGACAGTTGCGACTGCGATTTTGTTTTGCACCACTGAACCCTCAATTTCCCGGGCCAACTCTGCTGTGGCGCAATGGCAGAGCTGTATCTAGCGGCTAGCAGGAAGGGTGCAGAACGAGGAGGCCTTCGATGTGATAGCAAAATGATATGACACGATCGGGACCAAAAAAAAGAAGCTTCCGTCCATGAATGCTGCACTCCAAACAGAAGCCGGCAAAAAATGCAGGCGAATGTCAATGGCTCCAGGGCCTAGATGACACGACCCGTCGCTGCATCCTAAAACTCCCAAATTCAGCAGGAGTCATTCAAGAACTTTGCCGTCCTTTGCAGGGTTCGATCCGCAAAGGCAGAGCAGCAAGGATTTCCTACCCAGGTTATACTCACGTTCGTGACATGTTTCGAGGACCAGGGCTTCGAAGCATTCGGAGCGGCTGCGAAGTACGAGAGCGACCAAGCTGCATGTCCCCGCGCCCACAAAGCAGATGAAACAGCTGGCCGATGAAAACGGTGGCGACCTCGCAGCCGGACCTGAGCTTCCGTACCCCACGGAACAGACCGCAAGTCGTTCATGGTGGTTCAAGGTCCCCGGCCGAGGAACTGCGACGAACTCCTTCGACATTCAAAGACAAGACCCGGCCAGGCTTTGCGTGCCACACAACTCTGAAGGAGCTCCTGTGCTGCCTCATCCCAGATCTCCAGGCCTTGACCTGGCGGATCCGATGAACCATGGATCAGCAGGGACCTGAAAGCCAGGACACTCACGTGACTCACGTGCAGTCGCCGCAACAAATCCAACGACAGTCTGACCCAAGGGGCATAAAGCTTGGGTCTTGGTGCAGCGGCAGTCGGACCTGGCAAGCACATGCCGCAACGTCGAAATATTTCTGATTCTGTAGCACCTCCTAATTGTCGAGCGGCTTGCTGCTGAAGTCAACAACTTGGGAATCTCTCACGTCCACAAGCTGAGTCAAGGGACTGTCTCTCCAGGCCCAGAGCCTGATCACAGATGTCGACGTGTCGACGGCAGCTGGACATGGGAAAGCTCGGACCCAGGACCTCTGGGCTCGGAGACGGAGGGCACTGAGTGCATCTGCTTCAGCTGGAAGTGCGACCCTGAGATCCTCAAGGCTTCAACATCGCCCTCGCTCTCCTCCAGCAGCAGGAAAACATCACGGGCGCGTGGCATGTCGACGGCGGCGCCCTCGCTGAAAGAACCCATGCCCAGGTTCACCTGGTAGCCGCAAAGCCAGGCTGGATCAGAAGCAGGACTTCACGCAAGGCTGCTCCATGTGTATGCAGCATGCATGGTCTGGCACCTCTGTCTTGCTGCTCCGGCACAGCTCGTCCCGGAGCTGCTCCAGAATCCTACCAGGGATGGAGCCGTGGTGCCGCCAGAATCGTGGACTTGCATCTCTGAGGTGAGGGGCACACCGTGCGCACCCGTCAGCCCTCTTTCAAACGAAGTGATGCCTTTAAGAGACCGTGGTGGGTTCTCGAAGGGACTTGGGTTTCCAAGACTGAGTGCCATGGTATTGAGAGGTTTCTCTTTCAGGGGCTGCAGCTGCCCCGTGGACAGACAAAATATGTGCATGCCTGGGCAGCCGGTATCCTTCTCCGGAAATACTTCTAGATGCAAGTCAGGCTAGCTAACCCTGCAAGCAGCGCATCCTCTCCGAAAGCCGCCACACTCGGTCTCGCCAGCGTCCGATGTCAGCCTGCCGGCCGAGATCATGCCCTCTTCTCGAACTGCGAATTAGCTGCGCTAAGCCGCTAAGCTTGTGTTTTCACCCACCTGCTATCACACCACGAATGCCCGAACAGCCGAAATGCTGGGAAACGGGACGTAGTCTCTTATTTTTCGGGGACTGCCCGGCAGGTTACCTCAAAAGGCTCCGGCAGCAAGGGCAGCGTGCTCTTGCCGTGGAACACAATGCCGGAGCGGAATCGATTGAAACCTTCAACACATCTGAGCTTGCGCTGCAAGTACTTGATATGGTCGTGCAGAGTGTACTGTAGCCGTAGGCCTGAAACTTACAAGATGCGCTTAAGACGACGATCGAGCTCCTGTGAAGCCCTTTGTCAGCTCTTCTGGGGTCCGACATGGTAAGTGCTTGGCAAAGAGCGTTCGCCCTCTCCGCCTCGAGGCTGATAGCCGTGCACCTGGGCGGCTGCTGCGACTACTGAATACTGCGATGCTGGTCTTCTGCTCGTCGACAGGCTGCACAAAGAGCAGCAACACATGCAACAGCCAAGCTGCAACCAGCACCTCCCCAGGGTCACACAAGAAGCGGTGCCGAGCCTCAAGCTGTCAGACATGACCACACAAGCCTAAGAAAAACAGAAGCATGAGGAGCTTAAAGTCGATTCGAGCGGCATCCAGCCACAGCACCGTATAAACCTAGACCAGTCTGGTGCAAGTCCGGCGGCTGCTTCCGGCAGCGCCATGAAAGTCTCAAAGTGCTTAAAGACGCGCTGGGCGTCTCGTGCCAGCGGTGCGGGCACCCGAACCTGTGAGAACTATTTCGCAACTCGCTCATGCACTGCCGGCCTCAGCTTCGCTTCCCTCGACTGTTGCTGCGGTGTCCCTACGGTACAACAACATGGGCAAATAACATCAGAGGTGCCTGGAAAGCACCGATACCTCTAAACGCATCCAAGAGCGGGGTGCATGCGGAGGCCTGCCAAGTTCAAACAGACGAAGAACAGCACATGTAACAGCTTCCAAAATCACGTGATGCATGTCTCGCCTCAGACTGCTGGCATTGAGCAAGATCCAGCAGTGGCACAGCAAGCGATGCTCGAGTGGAGCCTGGAACTGATACAACCCAATGAGACATGAACTGCCGTGGAATCATGACCTGCTGCAGCTATCCGCCGGCGCGCGGTGCAGGCCGCAGCGATCAGTGCGCCGTGGGCTTGCAGAAACCCCTGCATGCCTCCTTGGCGAGTAGGAAGCTGCTTGGAACACAGCTCTTACATCAGACACTGGCCCACGGGGCCCTGGCGGGCAGGTCGGTGGTAAGGGCACCTTGGCAGAAACAACATCACCACAAAGGCTACAGTACAACTTACAGTGATATTGGCCGACATTCAAAGTACTCCCGCGCAAACACGTGAAGCAGTACTCGAAGCCCGATGGCTTGCGCCCGAGTAACATAGTAGGACACAGCAGGTATATGACTGAGGGCAAAATCGGTAGTCGTGGCAGCAGGGCATGCCCAACTAATCAATTAAGCACAAGGCTCCGGACATGTCATTGCCAATTTGCTGTAACACTCAGCTTGCATGGCGTGCTGGGTTCTCCAGCTGCTTCTTCTGGTACTTTGGGGCGACAACTTGTTATGTATTGTCCTGTGAATCAACAGCGAAAAGCAGCCTGAAAACATGGGCCTAAAGCCTCAAGACCTGCATCAGGGCAGGGCGTCAACATCAACACTGGATCTAAGACCCCTGACTCCGACTCCAGATCCCTCATCCCTGAACAGCCCGAACCCTGAATCCCAAGGCCCGCACCCCACTGGCCTTGGTGGCAAGCCTGGACGAGGCTCGGACGAGGAAGGTCTTTTCAAGCAGCAGGGGATGAGAAGACAGGGACAACAGCATCAACGATCGGAGCCTCAATAGTATACCTTATTTCAACAATACTTGGGGGTACGAGGAGGGATTTCAAGGTTCGCTTGGCTTGCCTGGCTTCAGAGTTCCGGGGTTGAGAGCTGAAGTCGCGTGGGAGGCAGCCCCCCCCACATGTCGAAGACCAACCAGCGCAGGTGGCCGGTGGCCGCCGGCTTGATCGAGTCACCGCAGAACCACCAGCAACACGGTGTCCCAGCACCACTGTTGAATTCCATCGCTGCTTGTGCTGCCTACAAGACCGGTTGGCCGGCAGTCAGACCAAATCAAGCATTGCATGCAGGTTACGCGACTTGCGGGCATCAAGCCCTCTTCTCCTTCCCACGCACGCTCGATACAGATGCGATCTCCCACGCTGTCGGGATACAAATCCGACAGTAGGTCCCAGATACCGCTTGGACAAGCTGACGGGATCTCTTCGGTGCATGCAAAGCTTCCGGACGTTGAACTGCTTGTTTGCAGATGGCTGGATTAACGGACACCACATTCACACATCCTAAGGCAATGCAGTTGAATCCTTGAGCACTGAATGAGCTCATCACCAAATCTTTCAGGTCCCAGCACAGTATGCTCGAAACCTAACGGCCATGTTACAAGCTGCCGCATCCCAAAAGCAAACCCACTCCCTCCGCTTACACTCCCTTCCGCGCAATCCTAAACTTACAAGACCCTACTGCCAATAAGAGTGGAACCCAAGGTCAAAGGGCCCTGCCTTCTAAAGCGCCGCCAATTCCCGCAGGCTTTCTGCGACACTGCGAAAGGACTGCTCGCAGCGGCGCGCAGTAGCCCATGCGAGACTGCACCCCGGCAAAGTGCAACAATGTGGACAGCTTGCAGACTCACAGCGTGGAAATGCGTTAACGTTCAATGCTCGTTACATCTCGTTACAATTTCCTCCCCGACGGCACACAGAGACTGTCCTACGGAGCCATTGCCCCCAAAAACGGACAACTGCCCTGGCAAAATGCTTCGAGTGCAGCTTCACCGCAAACTCTGGGCGTGTATGATGCTTTCCAGCATACTGAAGCACATGTCTGCAACCCGACAGACCGTGGGACGGGGCGTTCGAGTCTTAACAAACGGCCCTGGTGCACAAAACTTCTCAACTCCGCCCTGAGCCGTGTCCTGAAGCATCGGTGCAGCGGCCGAGGCTCTGCAACTGCGCGCCATGTCGCAGCAGGGCCCATGGCGGGGCCCATGGGGTTCCGCTGGTGACAAGCGCTGGGTTTGCTTTGCGGTATGGAAGCCATGAACACGATAACGTCCTTCTCGCGCTTGCATGGCATACGTGACTCTTCGGATTGAGACACATGGTAACTGAGTCTGTTTATGTAACGCCGTAGGACCGAATGTATCGAGCTGAGACCCTGGTCTTGTCTCGTCAGCGCGATCAGCGGCCAACACACAGTCACAAAATCAATTACAAGGAAGATCAGGAGCATCGTGGGCCGCCTGTTGACGGCACCATGATGCATCGGCTCGAATGTTAAGGCGAAGTTAAGCTTCAATTGTTGCTCCGGCAATAGCCCTGAAACACAAGGAGGGGGGTGCAGCCAAGGATGATCAGGACGACGCGAGGAGGATGGCGGGGAAGATGAAGATGATGAAGATAATGAGGCTGTCAAGCATGGCAAGAATGTCGATGATCATGCTGCTGCTGATGCTGCTGGTGAACACAACATCAATTTTCCAATCCCCATCACCTTCACCAAGAAGGTCCTTGTCCACCACATCATAGTCACCAGAAGTAGTCCTCCTCCTCATCATCACCGCTATGGTCATCCTCACTTGCATGACGATCATCACCGTCATCGGTGTTCTTCGCCAGCAGCATCAAGGCCATGCAAAGGGGCAGTGTTATACATTCGCCCCGGTGACCTGTAGATGCGAATTGCTTGAGTCTGCCTTTCAGTCAGTCTGCTTCCGAAGTGGTTCGGCGAGCATTCAAAGGGGTCTGCCGCACCGAAGCCGGCACGACATCCATGTGATATCGACTGCTCGCTGGGGCAGGGCAGCAACGTGGCCATGTGACGTTGCCGCCTGCTTGCGAAGGTGCTATGCAAAATTCGAGTCTTTGCACACGTAGTTCGTGCCAGGCAAGCACAGACAACGGCGGCTAAAGCATGTGGTGTTAATTTACGAGTACGCTTACTAAGGTCGAATCGAAGACGCGAGACCTTGTCGAAGAGCTTGAAACCCGGTGCCTGGGGTTCAATCGCGAGGCTGTGAGGCGCGCTCGGGCTGTTGGGCATCAGTGCGTTTATGCCGATCTTGGAGACTCGCGGGAAACCGATTCATCGGGGAATCGAGGCCCATGTCAGTAAGTGAGCCGAATATTGTCCGGGGCATTCCGGGGCTTTCACTGCAGCGGTGTACTTGAGCAAGCATCAGCCAACACCCGGGTCAAGATTGCATCTCAGAGGACATATGTCGGTATCGGGGACACACTATGGCAGTGTAAGCACTGTGAGTCTATTCAACAACCATTTACACGATATTCGGCCCGGACATTGGGGTCTGGATTCATGAACATGGTTGGCAGATTGATTGAACTCCCGACATTCGAGGCCCGGCACTCGCAACAGTTCCGCTCACGCCAAACTTAGAGCCTCAGCCCTCTGCCGATTTTGTGCTGGGCACCATCTCTTTGCGACACGACCCGTCAACATGGATTAATGATGACGCCGCTGCACGACAATTCAGAGTCGTGCGTCAGCGTCTACATCTACCTCGGACCCTAGCTGCAGAGAATTGATTGATCGAATTTAATACGAAACAAAAAGGCTTGGACATGTTGCTCTAAAGCCAACACTTCAAGCCCGCACGGGCTCCTGCACCAACCTCCCTGTAGCACGTTGGGGGGGCAAGACCGTTCCTTCAGCATTAAATGTCCTGGAACTCAAGAGCAGAGCCACGACAAAAACGCACGCCTCCGTACAAGGTCCAAATACGGAAAGTTGAAGGTTCTCTGCGACTACGCATGGGATTTACAACAAGCTTCCAGCAACGTCTGTAACAAAATCGCACTCATGGTTGCAACGGTGTCAATGGGCTGCAAGATACTCATGCGGAGAAGGTCTAGCAGTGCTCCGCTTGGCTTGCAAGGCTTGAGGCTGGTCCGAACATGCACACTGAAGGAGCACTCAACGTCTTCTACCAAGCCGCGTGGTGAAGAAGGAGAGCAGGCTTCAAGCTGGGGTACAGGTCAACTTATCCCAAGGATATTGCGGCTGCTTTCATTGAGTTGAAAACATGTGCATGAAACCTATCGGCATTACCCCAAGAAACCCGTGACATTCCACCAAGAAAGAAAACAATTGTATCGTGCAAAAGCTCTGTTCCGGCATGCCTGGAACGCCATGTTCGGATCTGCGCAGGCTCTGGGCTGGCTCTTGTGGACAAGTCCAGTTTAATCACTTGAGAATATGTGATCGACATTTTGGGCTCAGCGAATGCATTGAAGTTCTAGAAGAGTCAACAGAAACCAGTGCAAAATTGAAATCCTGCCACCGCATGGACCCTTGCAAAGCTGAAGCTACGACAACCTGCAGCATTTTTCCACGATGTCGCCGACGTTCGCCGCGGTCCCAAAGCCCAAAGAGAGCGCGACCTGCGAGACTAGCACTCAGCAGCACCACCAATGTGGACCCCACACTCACTATTGGCATCATACCATCATTGAAGTCCGATGCCGTCCTAGCAACAGAACGGTCGCCGTCGCCGGCACGGCTAAACAGCACCGACATGACCACTGCCGGACAAGTTCCATTTACAGCACCAACATCACCGCGGTGATAACAGGCAACCACCACCACCATCACCAATTGAAACGCCGGACTGAAGTGTATCAAGTATATCAGTTTATCCTGATGCGTTGTTATGATGGTCATCTTCAGACATTACAGTCAATCTAGAATCTAGAAGCCTTCTGCATTTCAGAATTCCGGCCCAAGGCTGTCAAATTTCTTGCGTCTCGCTTCTTCAACTTTTTTGCTTTGCATGCGTTTTGGAGCCCTGTTAAATTGCTGCTGGCGCCGCTGTCGTGCTGCTTCCCGCTGTGAGAGAGAGTGGCAAATTAATAGAATGTGCGTTTTGAAAGGCTAGACTGTTCGACCTGGGCAACTTTGATAATCTTATACGACTCAATACTCCTCCAAAGTGCGTTTCCGGAGGCGAGCAGATGTCATATCTTAATATGCGCTGAAGTGGTGCCGCACCGTGACATCAAGGACTGCAACACAGTGCAAGGGAATGCAAGGGTTCTAACCAACCAAGTTGGTCAATGCATCCATTCATCCGACGTTGCAGTCTTTGGAAGAGACTCCGGCCTCGAGAAACTCATCGTACTCCTGCCGGCTCGTCATCAGCATCTGCCTCAGTGGGTTTTGCTCACGGAACCAACCGGCAAAAAAACTGGTAAATCATAAACATGCATTGAAGTTGGTGCACTTGAAGGTCAGGCGGCTTTGAGGAGGAGGAGGAAAGGCAGGCGATGGACGGGGAGGACAATGAGAACAATGAGAATGATGAAACGCGTGGTCAAGGTGACAGCAATGCAACGGCAACGGTGACGGTTATGGCAATGATGCTGACGATGACGAAGACCATGCATACACTGCCCCAGGCTTTCAGCCTCGACATTGTGTCTTCTGCTGCTCCCCGCGACCCTTTCGAGTTGGACCTCGAGAAGCTCGTGAACGAGGAAGCCAAGTTCTCACAGGTCGCACGCTTCACAAGCAGCCCCGGAAGAAGTCACGCCACCGCCACCCAAGCGTTTGCGCGGGGATAACCTGTGCAAGCCTTAATCTATGTTGCATGTCACCCAGTGATGGCGCAGCCAGATTTCTGCTCAGTGGATCACCTGCTGCAGGTAGAGCCAGTGCTCCCTCACCACCAAAGGCCATGGTCGTATCTGCACTTGATCCTGACGTCGTTCCGAACAGGTAGTTCTCGCCCCAGTAGGCAGAGCCTACGGCTGATAGCCTGCATGACTTGTTCTCAGTTCTCACTCTTCCCTCTTTCCCAATCCCTTGAAGCACACTACGGACAAGCTGACATTCTCCTTCGGCGTGGCACGGCTCTCCGATGGCCTTTGCCGGAACGGGACGGCTTGATATATACATATATATATATATATAAATATCAGGCGATGGCCGAATGGCTGCCGTCCTCACTTAGTGCGACATCTCATTCTTGAGCCACAGGCTTGCGGCTGAGCGGAGCAGGCAAAGTGAGAGCGGTCTACATTGACATAGGAGGCCCGTAGTCACCACAAGGAGTACGAGTAGCTTAGGCACGCCCTCTTATCACTGTTACATGATGTTACATGTTCTGCGAACTTCCGAATGGACAATGCTTCGATGTCCACGCACAATAAATCTAGTGGTACGGGTGACAATATCTGCAACGGGAACAGTAAACGTAACAGCAGTGGTGCCGTGGAGCCACTCTAGCCTAACATTCGGATGAGTAGGGGTCGTTCTGAAATATGGTCCAAACGCAGTGATTTACAGCACTTCAGACTTGAGATAGAAACGAAAGACTAGCTACGCTAGCAATCGTGAAGTATTTTTAAAGACCCGTTTTCCTTGCAAACAACGTTTGGAACTCAAAACAACAAACAAAACCCAATACAAATACACTCTTCCGCTGGCCGATTCAGAAAATGCATAAAGATGAGCCAAAATCATAATGTAGTCCCGAGAGACCTGCTGTTTTTCCATAAGCAGGGCACGGTATGGAACCGTTCCACCTTGCCTGCCAGTTGCACTGCTTTTCTTCTGAGGGACTTGAGGGTTTAGGTTCTAACGGGCTCGAAAGGCTAAGGGGTTTTGGAGGGGTTAAGGTTTCGGCGTCTTGATCTGTGCCAAGTCTCGGCTTAGTTTGATGGAGCCTGAACCAGGTTTCTGAACTTTGGACTGCCGTAACCATCACGAAACCCCAGACCATAGAACTGATTATACAAGGGCCTTACGAACTAAAATAGGGTTTGGTGTCTACGATACCGTGGCTCTGCTATAGGTGGGCTATCAGGCGAAAACGGGATTCGAGTAGCTCTCAGTATCAAAGAACCCTGAGGAACAGTTCCACGGGGCAACCAATTCCACAGAAAGCTCGAGGTTCAAGAGCCGTTCCACATGGGGGCCCAGGGGGAGGGGGAGCGGAGGGGGGGCGGGCCGGAGCGCAACGATTTATATATATATATATATATACATATGTATATATATATATACATATGTATATATATATATATACATACATATGTATATACGCAAAGAATAGTACGCTACATATGTAATACAGGCGAGCTAGCGTTTCTTCGCATTCAGGGTCTAGAGTTGAACCTTGAAGCTGTGCCGTGTCGGGTCGAGGGCATGGCGCTGAACTAGTCGTGAGCCTTGAGCATTAAAGCAGCTGGATTCGAGGTTTAAGGTTGCAACCAGGGTTGGAATATGATGAGATACCCTTGAGGCACCAAGTCAGGGCTCAGAGCCCTTCGACAGTCCAACAAACAGGTCCTTTTAGAAGTACCCTAAACGGCTAAAAGTCCCCCAATTAGGTTGCGACTTAGTCTCCTCTCATAACCCTAGCCCTGCTGGCCTCTCTATAACACTGCAGGCCACGGTCTCGGTCGCCTTCCAGGCTTTTGGGACTTGCGCGAAGGTTTGGAACGCTTTCCTTATGTAGGCAGTGCAACGGTACCAACGACAGCCCTGCTTGAAACCCTCGTGCGATCCGACAATTTAGACAGTTCAAGCTTTACCATGCTTTATGCCACGCTCTCGGACCAGGGAGACTAGATCGATCTCTTGAGGTTGGCTTGCGCGAATCACCGAGGCTCACATGAACATAATGCGAAGATCCTGCAGAGCCGCAAATACACCCTGGACTGTGGAATTTTAACATTGTTCCTTATACCTTACATAAATGCAGAGCAACGATGCCAGGAACAATAGATGCCTCATAGAGCCCTGTTAGTCAGTCCCAAAGCAGGCCCCTCACCACCACCACCACCACCACCAGCACCACCAGCACCACCAACAAGAAGAAGAACAACAGCAACCAGAACCACATGTGCTCCAGAATCGAAACCCTACAAAGTGATGGTTTCAGGGTTTCGGTGTAGGAGAAGTTCATGTTCCACCTGTGACCCGGCTTGCTGAATTTCCCGGTCCTCTAGATAGACCCGAGCAGCCCTGTGCCAAAAACCCTTAGCCCAAGACACCTGCCATAAACCCTGGACCTTTTCATTTAGGGCTTACAGGATTTAAGCTCGGAGTTTGCTTGGGGCTTGGCCTTATAGGGTTTATGGGGTCTGAAATCACTGAAATAGACGAAGCCGCAAATGCGAAGAATGATCGATGCCTCCGACCGTCGTCTGGCGCACAAGCCACCCTTTTTTTGCCCATGCCTGAGGGCACTTCAGACTAGACATTTATAAAGGCCAGAACTATCGCAAGCTTTACCGTTGGAGCCACCACAGGGTAAACGACCTAAACCACGCTACGCTGCTGTCAGCACGAGCTACATGAAACGCACGGAGAAAAGAGGAAAGCCCAAAGCCAAACTTGAACTCCCGCTGAGCCCGCTGGGGCTTACCTCTGCATCAAGGTTGCGGGTTACGGGGGTCTTGAAAAACTAGAATTGCCTCAACAGGCCCTAAACACCCCCAGACCCTCCACCCTGACGCATGCCCGAACCTTAAGACCCTCGTGGAGCCAATAAAACATGAACTCTAAGCCACGTCTCAGTTGCCGTCACTACGACGTACATGAAACCCGAGACAGCGTACAAAAAGAAACTGCGTCTCCGCTGTTGATGGCTTGTTGTTCAGGGTTCTGTAAAGAAATGTACGGTACAGGGTTGCGGGTATGGTAAACAGGAAGCCTCATGAAGAGTCTTAGTCATTGTCAAAGTTGGCATAATTATTGAAACTGGTATTTTAGACTGGCAGACAACCCGCCTAGGGACCTAGAGTTGCCACGGGCCTCTCTATCGTTGCCGATAGCTCCTCAGGGGACTCGTAGCATTTTCCAGTTCTTTCGCACAAGCTCTTGATGCTGGACGTATTCTGGGATTGATTCGAATTTCGCTGAAATCGAGCCCTACACGCCGAAGCCTGCCTGCGGTCCCAAACCCTCTGAGACTGACCGAGGCGCACCACAACCCTAGCGGGGCACATGAAGTCACAGGTGCACTCGAGCCAGCGCGTCAAGGGCAGGCAAACACTTCAAATCCATGGGTAAGACAACCAGTCACCCCCGGCAGCAGCCAACACAAAGGGCATGGGCAAAACCGAAAGCCGCGAGCAGTCCACCACAGCTTTTCACTCGATATCACATCTTGCTTGACCTACGTGTGCTACGCTTGCACGCCGAAGTCAGACACGCAAGGCAGCGTTCGGGGAGAAACGACAACCAGCTGCCCTCGTCATGATCGAGCCATCTCTCCATGACATCCAGTGCAGGCTCCGCTGGCCTGATCCACTCGATTCACTCGATGCGCGGACTCGTCGAGGCCGGGAGAAAGAGTCCTTCCTCGCGCAACTGATCGGTACCCTTCGGCAGCTCACGACCCAGGTGACCGAGAAGCTCCGGGAAAAAGCCGAGGATGCCAGGATGCAGTGGTCAGTTTACGATGTCTCCGCACTCGAGGAGCCTTCGCTCCCTCACACATTCCGAAGCAGCTTCAAGCACGCCTGCAGGATGGAGAACTTGAGCAAACAGCGAGAGCCGATGAACTGGACTTCCAGGAACGAGTCGCTCTTGTCAGCCAGAGTGGTTGCAAGGCACCGTGAGGTAGCGACTAGCGAGCAACAGCACCGGAGAATCCCATCTGCATGCGTGGTGATTGAAGAGCTTCCGCCAACACACGTCCAGCATTGTCTGCAAAAAGAGATGCGGAATCCAGGCCATCGCTGCGGACGGTGTCCGTTCACAAGTCTTCCAAGATGTTGGTCCGCAACTGCTCGGCCTGCCGCAATTATTCGACCTCCTTGGCTTCGGCTTGACCCGCCGTCCCCTGTGCCTTGGGCTGGGATCGGCTTGGCAATGTGGGCCGGGAAGCCTCGGAAAGCGGAAAGATCGAAAAGGCTAAGCGGCTAAGCATTGCGCTTCAACGTCGACGACACGTCTAAGGGACCAGCTATGGCTGCCAGCAGCTCGCTGCGTGGATCCGTGGCAGGCTCCTGCGTGAGAAAAGGTGCGGCGCTCGCATTGCGACCCAATTTTTGAAATGAAGAAGGCATTGACAAGGGACCAATATCTGCAGGCTGCCAGCATCTCTACCCCATGTTGGTCGTTGTCCAGACTACCCAGTACTTAGACGAGTGCCACGCCGCATTCATCTCCTTGTGAAGGTGCTGTTGCAGAAGGTCAGGCGTTTCAGACCTGGGCGATTCTAATGCATCCCAGACTGCTTGCACATGCGAGGTGATCGCGCAGTGCCGATTTGGCGCAGACTCGGCTCCAACCCTTGAGGTTCGCGGCACTGGCTGCGTCTTCGGGACTCCATGACCTTTGCCGGACGAAGTCTGGCTCTCATCACATCGCGCTGACTGGACAACTGCTTTTCTGCAAACACTGCATGAGTACACTGGCTCGTCAGCGACACCTTCATTGAACTCCCGAACCATGTCCATGAAGTCTGATTGTCCCCGTGCAGGAGCCTTGTCCCGGAATGGAAGTTGCTCATCAAATCATCTGCGACTCTGAGAAAAAGCAAGGCCGGCTCTGATTCCACCGGCGCTTGCACCAAGGGGGTCGTGCGGCCAGATGGAGGCGCCTGCTACGCGTACTTCTCAACTCTCGGTGGGAACCGTAGGGGCATCCGGGCATCCCTCCATGACGGGATGCTGCTGTGCTGCTAGGCTATGCCGGCCTGCCGAGGCACCGGCTGTGAGGATTGGATCCTACAGCGGAGCGCTTCCAAACACGGCAAGATCATGCAAGATCCAACAGATCACCAAGGACTCCGAGACAGAAAAGAAGTCATCAAGGAGGACTGGCGCGTTCGTATCCCGAGCTTAAGCTTGACACGCAGAGGCAGCAGCGGTTGCATGTGTCACGCCTTGCTGCCGTGGTGCAAAAGCTGACTCCGCTAAAGCAAAAAGGGCACATTTGACAGGGGGTGCCACAGCCGTGCCTCCCCAGGAAGGCAGTCGAACGACTTGTAAACTGGGCAGATGCATCGCCTCAAAGACGCCAAGCCAATCGCTCTCTGAAATTCTGTAGGAAGCTGCACCACTCCAAGAGGACAGTATCGGTTGCAACTCAGCATCCGGCACCCTCTGGCTGAAATCCTCGAAAAGCCAAGCGATATATCTCGCCCTACGGACGCTTCGAGACTTCCTTGCCTACATCTCGGAAAAAGTCCCCACCGTGCATGTCTTCGACCTGAGACTTTATGGAACTAACATGCCACGACAGCAATCATGCTCCCTGCACTGCAGCGTGAGTCTTGGAAGGTGGTCAGTCAGCGACGATGCGCGCCGGAGCTGCTTGGAGACTACTCGGGAAGGAACAAATGTGACGAGCACCTACGAGGAAAAGCGAGAAGTCACCCCTCGGTTGCCCTTGGATGAACATCTCCTCTCTCCAGGCCGAGCCTCGCCCGTCATTGCCTGCCCAGTCCAACACGCTTTACGCTTTGCTGACTCTTGTTAGGAGAAGCGATGCTGGGCAATGAAAACGCAATCAAAACGCGGACCTTCTGCGACGAAAAGCTGCAAACGGTATCCTGGCTCATTGTGTCAGGTAGACTTGCAGCCCGCTCATCAACCGCTGATACTTCACGGTTCCCGCACAACGATCTATGTTCTGTGCCAACGAGGCTAGCAACTCCTGCTCCTTCGTTCAATCCTCATTATCGGAATACTGAGAAATCCTGCAGCTCTACCGCTGTCGAGCAAATTCGCACAAGGCTGGAAACACCAAGTCGCGAACTCGTCATGCACTTGCCCGGCTTCGTCTGCTGCTTCGGCTCTGGAGAAGATGTCTTGTTGGGGTCCACACGGCAGATCGGCAAGCCCAACGCTGTGTTGCTAGTTGTCCGTTCACGTAAGCTCTTGAGGCACGCCTCAGACAGCCTCTGGTAAAGACCAAGCAGATATGGAGAGAGCGGGAATCTGTAAGAAGACCAGACACATGATCCAAAAGGACATCGTTGCAGGCCAATCATGTTTGCAAACGCTACTTGAGAACCAGGCGCATACTCTCCCAGCAATTGGATGCACCCAGCCCTTCTGTCTTCTGCTTTCATGCCATCGGCACTGTGGACGATGCTTTCGTTCACGGTTTCAACCCAACAGCAGAGGGTCCTTGATCCCCTCGACGTGGATCTGCCCCTGCTAAACCACAGCAACCCTCTTGCAGTGACATTGACACCGTGACATGACAGTCTCAGTCTGCACCTGTCGCGTCGCTTTCGCCTTCACGGCCTCAGCAGTGTCAAAGCAGATCTTGACGCGGCACTGAAAGACTGACACACTCTGTGCTCATTCGTTTGCCAGCACGTGCAATGCACCAGTCGACCAGCGAAAGCTGCACTGAACTTCCATCGGACATCTTTTGCTTCAGCCTGGAGCATCCTCTTCTCCTCCGAATGTTCAGCGTCATCAAGTTTCCCTTCTATTTGCGAATGTCATGGAGCTTTCGGGAAGCTGCCCGACTCGAATCGCGGGTTGGTATTGCTTCAGCTGTTCCACCGTCCACAATCGGCAAGGCTCGGATAAACGGCCGCAGTGGGACAGAGTTGGAACCCGAGCGAATGCATCCATGCTTGTGATGCTTCGGAATCCGCCAACACCAGGGGTCTGCAAGTCCGAGAAGGCCGCCAGCAGCCGCGATCACCGCAAATGAGATCAGTGCGCAGGTGCTTCAGACACATCAAGTGCAAATGCGGTGCAGGCCCTGGTACAAGCCGTTGCCTCCGTACCTTGCCAACATGTCGAGTCATCGGGGTCAGTGATATGCAGGAGAAACTCTTACGACCCCATGCTTTGCGGGAATGATCAAGTCGGGAGGCTGCTCCATGAAAGACATCCACTGGAGGGCCAGCTCTTCGCGACGGCGCAAGGCCCTCAACTCCCCCAAGGTCTGGCAAGGTCAGGCCGGCTGTAGTAGTAGTCGTCGTGGTCGTCGTCGTAGCAGTAGCAGTAGCGCACTATACCACTATAGCACTGTAGCAGCAGTAGAAGCAGCAGTTGAAGCAGCAGTGCTAGCGGCAGTGGCAGTGGCAGCAGCAGCAGCAGCAGCAGCAGCAGTAGCAAAGTAGAAATAGCAGCAGCAGTAGGGCACGAGCAGGAGTATGGGGTGGTAGAAGTGGGGGTGGTAGTCGTGGCTGTAGTCGTAGAAGTAATCGTACTTGTAGTAGCAGTCGTCGTCGTAGCGGTAGTGCTCGTCGTCACCGCCGGAGCAGGAGTTTCAGTAGCAGCAGCATTAGCAGTAGCGGCTGCAGCAGCTTCGGCAATGAAAGCAATCCTTTGCTGTTGCCTCCTCCAATCGGCGGGCCACTGCTGCAGATCGCTGCAGGCCAACGCCCAGGCGCCCAGTCACCTCACAGCGGATGAGAAACCCAGCTTGCGGTCCTTCGGCCCAAAGGTTCTCGGGCTCACGGGTTCTGCTCCAAGCTGTATTTGTTTACGCATTCAATAGGACTCTTGTTGAGGTTGCTTGGCTTCTGGGGGGTCGATGTCTCCTGAAGTCAATGGGGGTCGTCTACTCTCAGTGTATGTACATTGCTTGGGTCTATCACGGCCGAGACACGTCAGCCGACACGAGCAAGTCTCCTTTGCTCAGCAAGGGATAAGCAGATCATCACTGAAACACGCAAAATGCGCTCCGACCACTCACTGCACAGCGTCGTGGTCTAGCCACTGCGGATACACAGCGACTGTTCACGGAAACTAATCTCTGGAGCACATTAGCAGTTTTTCGACAGTTCTATGCGTTGCTGTAGGTAGCTCGAAAGGCCAGGGTGCGTACGGCACCCTCAGCTTGTGACAAGCAGCTCAATGCCTGCAGAGGACATTGAAGAGGCATTGTGAGTTTCGGGGGAGCAATGTGATGGGCAGGGGACAGCACCCAAGCAACAGCAAGGCTCATTCATCTGTCCATGGTCTTTGATGCATACTGCAACACTGCGTCATTGCAGTTTACACTGCATTCGAAATTGTCCGCGACAAGTTCATAAAGGTGGGGGGTGAAGCCACGATGATAAGACTCTGGCCTTCTGCAGGTCTTCATCGCCCATGGAAGTCTCCATCTCTTCCAAGCGCAGGCAGGCCGCGTCATTCGTCGAAAGCGCAGTTGCAGCTGCCTTCGACACGGTCGGCACAGACGTGAGCTGCAACTGATTTTTCACCTCCGAGAGCGCCACTCGCTCCAGCAAGCTCGCGGCACAAGACCTCGCCTGACCAAGGTTGGACTTGCACCCACAAGTGTTCCATGGACTTCTCAGCGATGTGCGCGGCAACAACCGACTCACTCGGCGGTGATTCATGAGTCACGAATGCCAAGCGAACCCCTGGCGACCAGCAGCACGCTGCCGGCGGCGGTGCTACAGAGTTCTGCCGCCGCCAAACAGCCAGCGATGCAGAGCCATGTGTCCTCTCTGCCGAGGCTACGATGGCAAGAGTGAAAAGAAAGTGGAGAACTCTGCTTGCTTCGGCAGCTCCTCGTGGACGGCCATCGCACGCTGCTCAGGGAGAGGGGCCGTAACATCGAAAGGCTTGGGCAGAGAAAACATGGGCTTAAGCCGTCCTAAAGCCATCGCTTACCAGGCTTACCATCCACCAACTACAGGTATAACATGTGTTAAGACGAGGGCTGCTGATCACCTCCACTTTACCCAGCAGGAGCTCATCATCTTCCGACCTGAGTAGTTTCGCAAAAGAAGAAACGTTTTCCGCATCTGACAGGGAAGGTGCAGCGCACCCCATGACCGAGAAGGCCAAGATGTGTCCTCTTCCGGCTTTCTCCAGAGAAAATTCGAACCTGCGGTGGCGAGCGAACAGCTCAGAGCAGCACAGCCGGGCAGTGTGGGGACCTGGTACTCAGCTGCGCGGATATTCCAGCCGAGCGCGCGCTCAGGACAGCCGCCTCCATGCGCTTGAGCCGCTTAAGTGGCACAGGAGTTTAAACACCAGGCTGCCAGGCCTCATTGCTGGCATAGCTGCGGAGCATGAACCTGAAGCCAATAGCTGTGCAAGAGATTGTCAGACCACCACAAACGGTGGAACAGCAAATCCACCTGACAGATCTCTGAGACTAGCGCGTGTGGGCACATGCCGGCAGCTTGTCTTGACAGTGCATGAAGCTTCCGCAATCGAGCACGACATCCTGGAACCGCCACACATTCTTCCAGGCTGCAGAAACGGGACCGTGAAGTTCCTCGTTTTCGCAGGCGGGGAAGGCAATGGCAAGTTCTCGGTACCTCCAGCTAGCAAGGCAAAGCTGCATTGTCTCGCTGTGGCGGAAGGCCGCCTGCGTGTCTTCAACCATTCAACTGGCAATAACAATCTGCACTTCACATGGCCCAAGCTCACGGTCCAGACGAAGTGTTCCGGAAGTCACCAATGCCGACACCTGGACACAGAAGCAGGTACAGCGGGCAGCAGAGTCCCTGCAACCAAGAGAATCGGTGAAACTGCACATCGGCCGTGCCCACGATCGCTGGCACTGCATTCAAACGTCTCTCTGCTGGCTTTGCCTCTCAACACGGCTCTTCATGCGATGCGGAGACTCGGCTTCGAGCTCATGAGCGCTCTCGGCTCCTTCCCATCCTTCAGAGCCAGCACGCGAACGCGGATGAGCTTTCTGCCGGAGGAGCTCCACCTCCGACAGCTGCACCGGCCGCCATCTTCTCGAGCTCAAGCTGTCCTGGCTCCGCAGGAATGCTAGCAACGCAGCGGCCAGGATGATGCGAATTCTGTGATGATTCTCTGATTCTAGCTGTTCTAGCTATGGCGATGGCCACGACCACGGGCATGTTGGCTAGTATGCAGCTGGTGACCATGATGGCAACGATGCTCCTGAGCATGCTGTTCCGGTGTTGCTGGTGATGACAATCGACATGCAATCGTGGTCATAATCGTGGTGAAGACGACGGCGAAGATGATGACAGTGGTTGTGACCAATGATCGTGATGACGATGATGATGACAACGATGTCGGAGACAATGTGGTGCTGGGTTGGCCCAGATCAGCACCACCAATGTCAGCTTCAACAACGTCAGATGACCCACGACTGCAGATGACAGCAGAGTCAGAGTCTTGATCGTACTTAAACGATCTCAACAGCAGCATCATCAACATGCTGACTCCTGCTCGTGATCACAAGAATATGTAGCCCAACGGTAGCGGTCGAAAATCATAATCGCGTGAGCATGCCACTCAACCATGTCAGGTCTCTAAATGACTTGGGCCTCGAGGTTCCTACGAGTGCCGGAGCCTGCAAGCCCTCCACCCGAGCAGTGCCGACGATCTGCACCTGCCATCGCTCTTGGGAGCGGCTGAGGCAAGCTGTTGTCAACAGGACAGCACGACCGACTCAGCGTCGTAAACTGCATGCTGAGCCGGGTCAACCACCTGGAACGCAAGTCTCTGTCTTTGCGGCTCGCAGGGATTCCGGGAAACAGCTTGCAAAAGAACAGCTGCTTGATCGGCCAGGGGACTGGAAAGATGTCAAAAAAGCTCGCCTGGCAACGCCCAGGCAACTCTCTGCCATGCCGTCGGTTCGAGTCCCACTGGTGTCTGTCTTATCTTCGATGCTGTTTCTGATGTGTCAGGAAGGCACTCGCCAGCCTGCCTCCGCGGTACAGGTCGTAAGCAGCAAGCACAAGAAGGAGTCCATGGTGCATATTTTGATGTGTAGGTCTGACTATTTCCTTACAGAAAGCTTGTGCTGCTATTACATCTCGCTGCTTGGTTCATGCCCGGCACAGAACGATGTCTTAGCACCAACTGCTGTCCAGTCTGCATCTACTTCACACTCGAGTCTGCAGTGTTGCACGAGAAGCTCCAATCAAGGAGGGCAGCACTGCCACAGCGGCCAAGCAGTGCGGCATCTGAAGTCGCACGTCAGTTTCAGCACCTTTTCAGACTTCACCAGTCAGCTCAAGAACATGGTCCGCAAGAGAATGCCATCACGTAGTGGGCAGGCGATCCCTCTCTGCTTCAGTGTCCTCCGGGCACTGGTCCGGCTCGCACACATGCGTGCTAGTCACGCCTGATCATGCCTGATCCAGCATGCAAAGACTCTTCAAAAAGCCTTCTTCGGTGCTCGCATTTCCTTCGCGAGCTAGAGTATAACAAACTGCGAGCACGTGAGTCCGTAACGAGCTCAGCACTCACAGTCGATGAAGGTTCGTTGCTCGTAGCACTTGATGCGGATACTCGGACAGTTTTCGATGCGTTTTGTGGAAGTCTGGCCATGTCAGGCTTCCTAGTCGGAACTCCGACTACAACCATGGCTCAGCAGGGCATGTGCCGCCGCTGTGTGCACTCTCGGCAGCAAACTTCCACCAAATAACCTGTCAAAGATATCCTCCAAGAGACATCATCCTTCACAGTGCTTCAGTCCACTCTGAGACGACTGTCGTCGTACCCGCATCAAACGAACCCAGCAAGGGATTCGAAGATTCTAAGACTGCGCGAGGTCTTGTCCGAAGCACGGAACGCGCACAGAGCTTGCTCGCACTCCGCTCATGTTCCCTCAACTGCTGGTGCAGTCGCATGCTGCACGGTCAGGATGACGCTGATGCGGTAGTTAGTTCAAAGACTGCTGAAAGAACCAACGTTCACAGTTAGGGAACATAGAATCCCCCGAGTTCTGGACGGGGGAGTCTTGACACCATTTCAAAGAGTAGCCAGGTGTCCTGGACATGCTGGTAACTGCTTTCGTCTTGGTCCCGGCAATTGTCGGAGCCCTCACTTTCCTCCATCTCCCCAGTGTCGCACTTTTTGGGTGCAGCATCTTGGTATATGGCTTGCTGCTCACACTCACACGCCAACACAGACGGCACACACCGTGGGGATGGAGCTAGGCTTAAACGAAAGTAACCGAAAAAGAGAAGTCTAGACGGCTCTAAGTCAAGTCACGTCCCGAGCTATCCGGTGGTCTCACTGGATGCATTGCGATGGCATCTGGAGGGTCTTCGTACGTGTGATGCATTCTGCAGTCATTTGCAGTGCCGCGGCTGCTCAACCACATGACAGACGGCCATCGTCCACAGAAGCTCGGGGTCATGAGGTAACAGGATTAAACGATTGGCGACCATGAAAGAATCAGGTCAGCTTTCCAAACTGGCGCACAAGCGCAACACCAGCGCCATCTCGTGGCTTTGCTGGTTTCCGGGATGAGGACTCCCTCAACTTCCTCCAGTGGAGGCGAAAGAAGACGTAATCTTGCGAGACAGTCATCCGATCCAGACAGTTCTAGACCGAGGCCGCCCTTCAACTTCGTTCATTTCACTCTCACTGTGTGGGGAGGTTGTGGATTCGCGCTGTACCCAGCTTCCTGCCAGTGTTCAACAGGCTCTGCATGACAAGAACCTGATGCGACAGACGTAATGTCTTTCTGATGTTTTTTGCGGTCGTCCTCCACCGGCTCGATCTCAAAGCTCATGAACGACTCGGCCTGACCACAACGAGAGACGCATGCCCACAGCGACGTCTGGCAAGCAGCTGGGCAGTGGACGGACCAAACTTCGTAGCGACGTGCTGGATCGGGATTCAGCAAGATTTCCATCCTGAGAGTGTCCCGGAGTTGCCTGGTCCTAACTATCGCAGTCGAGGCACCGAGGCATCGGCAGCTGCAAAAGTTCAGGGGACAAGAGTCCCTCAACAGGCTGCCTGGCCGAGACGACAATGGCATCGCCAGGCATTCACAGGCCGGCTGCGGAGGTGGAATTTGAGGCGGGGAACCACCACCAGGGGAGGTCCGTGAAACCGGAAACCATGATTATACAATTCTGGTATGCACTTGAACACCTATCATACATGACAACCAACTGGCTTATCGCTTCATCTCAAAGTCAGTTCACCGATTTTTCAAACACCAACCAACCAACAAACCCAGCAAACAAGCAACCAAGCAAGCAAGCGAGACATTAAGTAATTGATAAAAGAAGAAATTGCTTGATCGCGTCATTGCTGTCTAATTCGTGCAAAAAACTGATTAGTTGCTAGAGAACTGCAAGTTAACCAACTATTCAGATACCTCAACAAATAGGATGCATGGTATATACACACAACAAACGACAGGAGCATTCCGGCATCTCGCTTGCACCAGGTGGCCATTTAACAGTGCTTGTCAATTTCGTGACATATGAACACCTTATGAACTTGTAGTGCATCAACTTATTCGCGGGAACCCGCGGTACAGTCTTAACACTCCAAGCGGAACAGCAAGCACAGGCTCGCCCTCTCGAGCCGTCTGCGAGGCGTACACGTCTCTTTCGAAGGAAAGCCTCTGCCACGGACAGTCGCTGGCATTCGTTTCATGAGCAAGGAGTACGACTGCCGCCTTATCTTAAGTCCTGATTGCCAGAATCTCAGCCCTTGGAAGCTGGAATGTGCCGCATGCCACCCAGCAAAGAGAACAACAAGGATGCATGTCTTGTTGGATCCCCGCACGAATCTTTCATGTCCCATGACCCGGGCCGTCAGCCCGTGCATCATGAAGAACTCGAAAGCAGAGCACTCGTGCGGCCTGGATGCAAAGTCGCAGGCATACATGTGCTATGTCCGAAAGAGGTGAAGCAGAGGAAAGCGAACCGCAACTGCTACACCGACAGCAGCGCCTACAAGCATGATGGATACCTGGGCATCGAAAAAATTGGCCCACGAGCCTCTTACCCGAGTCATCTCCAAACCCTCGGCAGTACCCCCGAGGTTCACAAAAAAGATGTGAAGGCTAAAAGCCAGATCGCTCGCTGCTTCTGTGTCTCGTTGATCATCCTTGACTTGTGCATGCGATGCAACATGATGCAAGTTGCGTTCTCTACCGAGAGCCAGGATCGCCAGCCAAAAGCCCTGCAACTTGTATGTGTGTGCGTGTCGGGTTGTGCGGCACATTGGCCTGGCTGAGCCACTGTTGGAAACTGATTGTGGATGTTGATCACTCTTGAGCCTTCTTTGGCTTCCATTCTTCATTGCTAACATCCGCATTCTGAATCTTGTATATGTGCCTTTGTGGGAATGCATGTGCGTCTGCAAGTCCAATCTGGCCTGGTGCACTTCCAGGGATAGTCTGCGCACGCGAGACAGTAGGCGAAGACCTCCGGACAGGGGACAGGGAGGAGTTGGCAGGGTGGGAGGGAGGGAAGGAGGGAGGGAGTGAGGGAGGGGCATTGGACAACAACGTAAAGTACTGCCATCAAAGCTGGTCAATCATCTTCAGGCCCCCACTCCGCAGGCAAAGAGATCAGCCGCTCTGGCATCATAGCAGCCGGACCTTGTGGGCTGTCCAGCGAAGTGGGGTGAAGGCTGGAGAAATGCTTCCAAGGCCAGTGCTGGTGCATTTCTGGGGCCTGCACTAATCGTTTGACTCGACCGCTCTTTGACTGTAGCTTGACTGCATCCCTCCAGCAGCCTGATAAGAAGGCTTGCCGCGAATGCCCTGCACCCAGACGTCTTCTTCCTGCCATGGGCTCTCTGCAAGTAGACGGAGAACAGCATGCCTAGAGTCTACGAAGCTAGAAATCCAAACACATGCCAGACTCCGCTGCAGCTGCAAAGTCAATCAGCCTGACCTGGCCAGATCGAAAGATGCCAATCATCCTGCTTGTTTCGTGACGGAAAGGCCTCTCCATCCGGACCGAGCAAAGCATTCTCCAGCGAAATGTCGCCGTGTGCCACCTTGTAAGGGCTCCCCAGACCCGACTCTCGACACTCACACCCTTCGGAGAAAGATCTGGCTGGAGATGTAGCTTGAGAAGGCTGTCTGCTGAGGCGGAAGGAACTATCAGAACATTCACCGTACAGTATAGTTTAAGTCTTAAGTAGAATTGAAAAGCAGTCGGGGAGGCTGAGGCAGGTAGGGCCGTTGCGCCAGCGCTGTGCAGGCAGCGGACCTCGGCTGACGATGGGTCCAAGGCCGCCAGCGGATTCCACGCATCGCTGGGCTGCTGGGTCAGAGACTCCGCGCAGCAGCGAGAGCACCACCGGCCACACCTGCAACGTGCGCTGTGCCAGTGCGGGTCGAAAAGCGGATGCATTTTGTCCGTGGCCTTCTGCTCCCTCTCTGGTCCAGGCTTGGTGGAGCATCTACTCGCCAGGTCGTGCAAGTCGCCACCGCTGATGTACTGATCAGGACACGAACACGCCCTGACACAAGTTTACAACACCGCTGCCGCAATCTCTGTCGCCTCCATGAAGAGCAGGATGTCGCCCTGTCCAGGAAAGCTCACTGTGACTGTGACCTCGAAATCCTTTTGTGGTCACTCTCGCCTCTTCATCTCGGAAGGCTCCGAAGCTCTTGCACACTCCGAGCTTCCCCTATGGAGACCGCAGGAAATGCCATAATGTGAGGCCAAAAGCGCGAGGTTGCCTGGACTTTGTTCAAGCCCAACACAAGGCTGATCTCCACTTCCTGCCATTTGGGAAGGCTCGGTCCCGTCTCCCCGGAGCATTTGCCAGACCTTCCATGGGCTCTCCAGCAGGTCGGGATGGGCTGTTGCGAACTCCTCAAGGCGCAGGCAGCACATTAACTACAATCGCTACAACAGGCTACAACGTTACAACACGATCAAAATTGCTACAGCTTCTGGGGCAGACCTCGGCACTGCCCAGTGTCCACGAGCGGAAGATTCGCTTTCCCACCACCTGCAGCAAAGATGCCTTCATCTTCTGCATGCACCAAAACCAATCCAGGTAACATGGTCAGCCTTGCAACCCTGCAGTTGGTCTTCATACAATTCAATCCTCATCTTCGCGGCGACCAGAACACTCGGCCAAGGGAAGCACTGAGTTTCTCCAAGGTCGCGGCTGCCCATGATTCCTCTCCTCTTGCACCAGAACTTGCAGCCGCCTCTGCCGGTCGCTCCGTCTGATGAGACCGAGAAAGGAAACAACACGCAGTCTCTCCGCATCCTCACACTACCGGAGCCCAGCCAGCGCCTGAAGCGCTCTTTGTCCACTGGCGGCAACGGGAGCTCCTGTGACGGGGTCTCACCGCTCACCGCTGCGCTTGTTCGAGGCTCCGAGTTTGAGGCTCCCACAAAGGGGCCCAAACTGGCGGCCTTCCTGAATGACACTCTCTGGATGTCCCTTCCTTCGACTTGCTGCGTGCTCTTCCCGGGCGCTCCCGCCTGGGCTCGTCGCTAGCTTGCTCCTTTGACATGCACATGTCCTTGGCACTCGGGTGATAACGGCTGTTGGGTGTAAGCATTGGCCTCAACAACTCAGGCATGAACAACTTTGAAGGGGCAAACCGAGCTCAAGCCCACCACATGGCAGACTACTGCAATCTGCGGTTTGATCCAATTGTAGTATGATAAGTAACACGTTCCGCTAACATGTGTGAGATCGTTCGCGCACTGGTATCACGCACAAGCCAACATCAAGATGACACGCACTAGCACAGGCATAGGCACAGAGACAAAGTCGGTGGAAAACCATCTTTGTCACCTTCAGCGTGTGGTCGAAGGTCTGCCACATGGAATCGCTGCACAGCTCGGCGCTCCGTCACTCCGTGTCGTCGCAGGAGGGGCCATCCACAAATCTGGAACTCGTCTCGTCTCTTCATGTCGAGCTGAGGCGGGATGATGGGGTGCTCTGCTCCGTTGCCATGACGCTCTTCACACGTCACAAGATCTCCATGTCGGCCCTGGTGCTGTGGACGCCGTCCTCCTTCAGAGTGGCCCCCGTTGAGCGACTTCCCGCCTGCGCGAAACTAATGCAAGAACACACAGAACTCTTCTTCGTATCCATGGATGCATGGTGAACCTCTGACCCTCTCTGTTGTGCTTCGGTCCATGCTGGCGTGCGGCCAGACACAAGAGCAGTGCACTGAACCCATCCTCTGCAGTTTCGCCACGAGCTCTTCGTCCACCGTGAACTCGCAAGATCACCGCGTGCAGACTTTGTTATAGGCTGGATGTGACCAAAGTCAGAGCAGGGCGGCCTCTTGTTTGTCGGGAGAATCCAGCCATCGCTGCCATTCCTGCGCAACATTGCGCACCCGCACTCGACCACTTGAGCAGCAACTGGTCACTCTGGAACAACAGCCGTCTGTACACATGCTCAGTGCGCTTGCCATGTCCGTGCTCCTCGGCGTGCTGGAGAGTGTCACGACTCCCCACAACTATCAGCCCACGACCTTCTGCACAACACGAGGGACAGGCTGCAATCATGGTTGTTGAAGCATGCAAAGACTGCACGGCCCGGACGTGCTCGTGTGAGCAAAACGCAGAGGCGCTGTGGATTTCCCGAGAAACCTGTCGCGGTGCCACCACTCCGCACCTCAGGCTGGCTGACTACCCCAGTCATCTTAGAACGCTGAATGCCTTGTTGCCAGGACCCGTCATGTCTCCTACAAGGACCCACCTAAGTGTGCTGCGAGGGTATATGACGTGATTGTTCTGGCACCATTGGTGGATGATGGATGCACCAGAAGCACGTGCAGCTAGAATAGATGCTTTGGCAAAATGATGTAGCAGCATCGCGTCCTGCGACTGACTACCTGTCTAAACGAGAGACAAGATCCAGGCTACATTGTCGATCAAGTGATGCCTTCGTAAGCGCCGCGCAGCTGAGTAGAAGACATAGTCACTCTCGTTGCCCTCCAAACTGGATACTGGACAAGTTCATCATGTGTATCTAGACTCAACTCAACGCATCAGTCTGCAACCACCGCGGGGGAATCGCTTTCCGAATCACAGGCTGACAAGCTTCTGATTAATATGGGTGCCTTGACCAAAGCAGTGAAGTCGCCCCCGATGCTGTCAGTTTACTGTTGACGGGCCTGGAAACCATCCACCGTGTAGATGCGCGGATGGGACTCTTTCTCCAAAGGGTCCACGCCTTGCCTGGGGCTTTCTGTCTGTGCTGAGCCGCTAGTATCTCTTAGTAAGTTCTGGTATGGCATGGTATAGTATAGTATAGTATGGTACAGTATAGTATAGTATAGTTCTGGTATGGTATAGTATAGTATAGTGCACGATGATATGTCACATTCTAGTGGATTAGATCATTGCTCTGCATCTCTGCTGCGCCTCCGCTCGCCGAGGCAGTTGCTCCCGGATCATCGTCGAGCGGCTCTTCCGCTTCTTCAGGCGCTCGGCCGAGCTGCCTCCGTGAATGACCTTGTAACCAAGCCGGAGATGATCAATCGCCTCGACTACGCTCTTTTCGCCTCGTCCAGCAAGCTGTCCTGTGCCTTGTAGGCTGTGAGCACCTTAAAGCCACTGCACAACACAGAAGATGTACGGCAACCTAGAGCACGATTTTTCAATCCGTGGAGCTACGGCACTTCTGCGTTTGCTACGCCCTTCGATCGAGGCCCGCGGCACAGAGGCGGGCGGCCTCGATAGAAGCAGCCTCGGAGAGTTTGATGAACACTTCGCCCTCAGAAGATCAGTTTGGCAGCGTTTCGCCTGGAAGCCACGCAGCAGCTCTGCGACCTCTGCTGCCAGCTCTGGCAGTAAAAGCTGCTGCACATGGATTCGAAGCATCTGGGAATCTTGCGATCTGCGCCTCCATCCTGTTGTGGATAGAGATGCTTCCGAAGAAGGGCACCTAGCGTCACCATCTGAACTGGCCCAGCGATCCCATGAGAATCGCTTTTCACGTCACGAGCTTGGAACAAGACCAACTTTTCTCTGCATCCCTCGATCGCTGAGGTGTCCTGCTGAAACCCGCTGCATTTCTTGACAGACAACGGGCGCGGCGCACCAGGAAGACAACAGGATGCCCTGGAATTCCATCCTGCAGCAAGGCCAATTCCACGTGGTCTACTGGAATTTGCGTCAACCCCTGGTCACTTGGTAGGGCTGTCAAGTATCATCTGTTGCATGAGCCGACGTTCACTAAAGCGTTGCCTTGAAGATGACTCCAGCTGGAAGCATCTGTGGAGTCACGCCTCCTTCCCTGACCTTGCAACCATGAGCATTGAGAGATGCTTTGTTGCAGGGCGTGTCTTCGGCAAGCTGCAGATGTAGCGGTTTCAAGCTCACCGTTGTAGAAACGATGCGAAGGGTAGTCACCTCTGGTGTGCGGGACTGCAGCTTGCAGGAAGTTGGGCAGACGTAGGTCTGTCTGAGTTCCTGGCAGAGGCGCTGGTCCATACGATACTGAACCTTTCGGCACTACTTGATCGTTGGGCTGCATTTCTTCGTATCTGTCGCCGGCAAAACACACGTAATCAATGGTGGGCTGGCATTCCCTTTCAAGCGGCCGTAACTGCGGAGGCAATGTACGCAAAGGGAACAGTTATTGTCTTGACAGGTAGAGCCGTGACATTATCCGGTCATGATGTCCAGGCATCTCTTGTTGCATCTTAACACCTTAATTTAGATCCTGATGGTATGAACAAGTTCGGTGCTGTTGACAAAACGAACCTCTAAAACCTTTCACATGATCACTCGCGCAGACATGCGCACTGAAACATGCACATGGGCCAATGCTGTCCCTCAGCGAGTTTCGACAGCTAATCGAAGTGTAGGCATAATGCCATCGATCAGCGAGAGACCTGTGAACTGCTCCCCACGGGCATGGCTGGCAGGCTTCTTCGACAAGTCGAAACGATCAAGCAGCGTATTTTCGGCTCGACGCGAAAACGGCGAGAAGGAGTTGCTCTCACGAGTTTGGGGGACCCTCAGAATGTTCTACTTTGGCTAATTAAGATCACTCGCACACAGCGGGGTTGGGGGACCATCAGACTGTTCTAAGATCAGACGCACAGAGAACGGCATTTTGGGATGCCCCTGGCCTGCAGTCTATGCGGCTGCAATCGGAATTTGCCGGCGAGTATCTGCGCGGAGTGCGTATGGGACGAGGGTGAACAGGCTTGATACTTCCACACAAGCAAGACCCTCCGACCTCGAAGAAACTCCGTCGCTCCTCCGCAAACGCATCAAGCCCGCTGTCAAGCCTGAGCACGAAAACCAGAAAAATTCCACGCTCACCTCATGAGTCCAGCCACGGCTAAAGCCGTCAAGTCCCGAGCTTTGGTGCGGAGCCAAAGCTGGAGACAGGCCTGACAGCCCACACAAAACCATGGGCAACACATGAGAAAGCAAATATTTCCGAATTCACCAGAGGCGCATTTGAGGTAATTGTCGGGCCACTGGTCTGGTCATTACGAGGGATGTGCTGCCGGTAGCGAGGCTGGCAGAAATCATCCTTCCCATCTCAAAATGCGCGGAGCCACTTTGTCCTGAAAGCAGGCAGCCCCTTGCTGCCGATCCCATGGTGTTAACCACAGGCCTTACACATGCAGGAGGTGGAAGGCATACTCGAGCGGGGCATGATCCCTCCCAATTCGGCGAAGGCAGGGTTGAGAAGGGGGGCCTTCTCGAAGGGGGCTTGAAGCCCCTTCCGTAGCTCCCCCCCTTCGGGCAGCAGGGGAGGCAAAAGAAGGTCGAAGGCTTGAGTAGGGGCTTGATGGGGGGCGGTCTGGGGGCCTGTTGAAAACGCACCAAACAAGCACTTTCGAACTTTGGCCCGCAGTGCCACAGAGGGGATCTGGGCAGGGCTGGACGCACTAAACGGAACGCATCTTGCCGTGGCCTTCCAAACTGGCCACCACTGATAGACAGGTGTCATGGGGGGTTCTTGTGACTACCCAGACCTTTCAACAGCGGAGGAGTGGCCTTACTTGGTGGTGGCCTGATGGCGCTGAAACAATGCTCAAGAAGAGGATGGCCTGAGATTGAACTGATACTATTATGCTAGCGCTCCTTCTGCTGCTGATGCTGATGGTTCTGACAACTCTGATAAAGTCGACGGTGATGAGGTGGAAGGACGAAGACTTGATTGGCTGATTGCTTGACTCGATAGCTGGCAGCTATCGTCACCAGCGGCGCTAACTCTCGAGGGATTTGGCACCCATATTTTGGATTCGCGCCGCACTCCCACTGCAGGCACCCAACCTATTCTGTTCCATGACAGCACATGAATGATTGTCAATGAGTGCAGCCAACGCAAAGACACCATGCCAGGGCTCAGACCCCAGTTGTTGGGGATCTCCGATGAGCACAAGCCTCATCAAGCGCCATCAACTTCGTCAACTATCGCGGCACTACAACAAACCCAAGTTCTGTTGAGGGACTTCTCGCAGCCATGCGTCAAAGCCACAAGTGCCTGGCGAATCCCACACGAAAGTGGAAGAAGCAGAGGAAGATGAAGAAGAAGAGGAGGAGAGTGAAAACTCGTCTTGTGCTTGCACTGGCATCAGCAACAGCAACTCACAGTCCAAGCGCGGCAAGTTCACGGCTGCCGTCGTTATTTGCGAGCTCCTTGAATGGTGTACGGACGTGTGCAGGGCCAAGACACGTCCCCTCTCAGCATCCGGCTCGTCCAGAAGGACTTTGGGCACAGTCCTGCAGCTAGGTCCGGTGCATGGGAGAGGCAGTTCATCAGTGCTCCACAAGCCATGGCCTGCCCGGAGCTGACCCAGACATGTAGACTGTTTCGACGAATACCTGTCGGGCCATTGATGAAGCAATCGAGCGCATGGGACAAAGCAACCGACCGCCTCTGCTTTTCTGGCAATACGCGAGCTATTGCTTCGAACACCTCAGCTCTGGTCCGGAGTGACACTATGTAACGAGCATGGAGCCTGGCCGGGCTGTTGCTTCTTCTATGTGGATATTGCCGTCTGCAAGGTATTGCTTGCACACACCCAAACACACACACACACACACACACACACACTCTGGACACAATGTGTCGCCAGGTCTCAAGACACTCGCATTGCAGGAAATCACTTCAGACAGGCACTCAGACATGTAGTTAAGATCTCTTCACTACTCTGGAACGAAACAACATGAAACAACAGCATTTGCATTTTGGGGTACATTTGGGCGACCTTTTCCGCAGGCATGTGGTTCCAGCTCCCCGAACCATAGCAGCACACTCTGACGAGCCGCTCTATTAGATGCCCACTGCTCAGGTGTGGGGCATCCCCCTGCTCGGCTTCAAAGCGTAAGCTAGAAACTCGTCAGCTCCACTTAAAGACTTTGCCTAGAGACTCTTGGAAACAGAGCGTGACACACAGAGACGAACACGTTGGTTGAGCCGTGCCTAGCCTCACCATCAAACTGACCCGGAGAACACGACGCAGAATGAAGGCAGCCGCTCTTGTGCACGGTGGCATCAGCATTCCGAGTCATGCACGCAAGCTCGGCTGAATCCTTCGCAGTTGTGCTGAACGAAGGTTACAAGCGAGTTCAGGATCATTCAAACCGCTGCTGTGGGCGCTGCTGCCGGCGTCGCAAACGCTTTGCGAGCACATCCTGCAGCCAGCAAGCGGCTTCTCATCATTTATCCGCGGAAGCTGTAGTAGAGTCCATATCGTCCTTGGCGGCGTGTGTAGAGGTCGCCAAGAGCACAGACCTGGCGACTGAAGTGTCACTTTGCAGGGGGATCTGATCGAAAAGCGGCCGGATGTGCTCCGTCTCATCCTTCACCCATTGCTGAACAATGGCTGCCTGAATCTCCACTGTTTCGCTTCATTCTCGCCGTACTTCTCTCTCCATTTTCATGGGTCGTTTTCTGGGTAGCCTGAGATTCCCGCGGCAACTTCGCCTTTGGAGCGTCTTTCAATGGTATAGCAGTATAGCATGCTTTGCAGAAGCTAAGTGCCATGCTCTTGCCCGTCCCGGGGGGCCCCTGTACCTGATCAAGAACCCCGAGCAAAACCGCGCATGCAATGCGGGAAACCATTGCTCGTTCCATGACTGCCTCCTCTTAGAAACATGCATAAGACAGCAGATCAGGTCGCTGAAGTCTTTCTTTGGCCGTCTCGAACCGCTTAAGCATCAAACGTGCCAGCAGATGGCTGACGGGGCAGGTTTCGACTTGATGCAAAGCACTGGCAGAGGGCACCAACGTGAGCTTCGCAGCACTCGCACGTGCGACGGCCGCTATCTGCTGCTGGTTGAGCTCCGCATCTTCGACCTTCGGTAGCGGCAAGGCAGGTCCCAGCCGTCCAGGCATGCAGCACAGCACATCCCTGGAGATCCCTGGAGCCTCCACCACCTCTGCCGTAGCCTCACGACGCCCGGTGCCAAGACTACATGCACATCGACTTTGACATGCTGTGATGTGTGCCAGCGTCTCATGAATCCATCAAAGAACTGAAGCGTAGCCTGGATGGAGCCGGCAGTGCCGAAGAGAAGGTCATCCACGAAGGGCGTGATGGACCTTGGAGACAGCGAGCTCTTGTTCGACACTCGCGAATGCTTCGACTCTAATTCTTTGGGGAAATTCTGCTGAGGGACCCATCTTGGCGACAAGCTGCCCAAATCGCCTGAAGACTACGTGCATGAGATGAGGGCTTCAAACCCCCAGGTGACGCTTCGACGTTCGCGTGCTGCCTCCACCTCGCGGTTTACGACGACTGGAAGGATGTCGCTGACAGGCACGACCTCTCCCGGGGCTGCCGGGCTCTCTCCGTGCTTGGGTGGCTCGGGGCTTGGGGCGCCTGGAACCGGGATCCCTTGTCAGCAGAGCTGACCTCGTCTTGGCCCAGGAAGAAGAGCCTGAGCACTGGAAAAATCTCTCTGCGAGAAGGCGAGAAAACTGCTGCCCCAAGTTCGAGTGCCCAACCTTGCCGACAGGAGGAAGACGTCTGACCGGGCAAGTCACGTCAAGCACATGCTGGATGATCGAGGGGTGGCAAAACGACAACGAACGACTGAGTAGGAATTCTGTTCTTGCTGGCAGTTAGAGCTTCGAGACGTTTGGCGCAAATGCCGCTTTGCTTCGTCCTGCTGTGGTACCTTCTCTTAGAAGAAGGGTGAGCCCTGACTGTGCGCCGCTTCCTGGCTAAGTCGATCCCACGGCCCCATGCCAATGACATCGATGTTACCAGCTCTTGGAGAAGAGCTTGGAGAAGAGAAAAAGTTAGAAAAAGGGAGGCCCCCGGCGTTATCGTTAAGGTGAGAGAGAGGGAATTAAGGCCATGATGGCCATGCGAGACCTAGAGCCCCCATTTACACAACACAGGTGCCATATCTGCTGCCGGGTGTTGCTGTAAAGTTATTCCGAGGCCAAGGCCGGGGGGGACCCAATCGGCCCGCTGTGTTCGATCGTCTTTGGCTTCGCGATAACAAGTGCACGATTTGCGGGGGGGGAGCATCAAAGCTATCGCCTGCAAGGCGGATGTCAGGCTGATGAGTCCATGGCTTGAATTCAAATCAATACACTAGCCGTAGCCCTGCGAAGGAGAAAACAGCATCAAATCGCCTGGAAGAGATGTCGATATCAGATCAGATGCTCTTGTCCCCAGAGGTGCCGGATGCGAGCGCTTCCAACGTACCGATACTGTAAAGCGTACTGCCACGGTCTATAGGGGCACCAAACGCGTTCGATCCTGTCCCTTTGCTGACTTTCACGTCGTGCGCTCGGCAGCGTTGGCCGTTCTTATTGGCCTGGAGCCTTCGTACTACTCGCAATGGATGCTACATAAGCTACTGGGCTTATAGAATCTAGAACGACTCTTCGATTGGACTGCAAAGTTCGCCCAACTAAGTTCTTTCATAGGCTCAGTGTTTGCGTGAGCAGAGGCTCTGCTTTTCAACCGGCTGAGTGCCGGCACTTGTCGCTGTCCGTCCGGAGGCCCTCTACGAACGAGCATGAAATTGACACTGCCACATCTAGCAGATGTTCAGTCTCGTTTACCGGATCTGCATTACCATACTACGACAACAAAGGCTGAAGCTTTCGAAGCTGACGAACTGACGTGACAGGAATGTTCCTACAGCACCCACCCGAACGATACAAGACGCCCCTATGATGTTGTACTAGCGTCCAGGGATTTAACGACATCGATGAAGATCCAAACTTCAGGATACAAGTAGCAAGTTGAGGGTGCATGCGCTGAGGTCACCCTGCATGCGCCGGAACGAGCTCAACTGTCGCGAGACCCCCTCCACCCGTACAGCCCTGCTTTCGCAAGAGCCGATGGTTCGACCTCTTTACCGTAGCTGCTAGCTGAAGCCATCGATCCCCACGTGACCACGGGCTCGCTCGCGCGGGGATAGTACCGCACAGTTCCAGCTCCACGCCCCGCGGAGCAAAGCCGGGCCTGATCGCGGCGGGGCCTTCACCATCTCCGCCACGCCCAACCTTGAGAGAGTTCTTGGGTACCGCAGGAGTGCCGTTGTTGGGTTTGGATTCACACCAGATGGTAGACTTCGACTAGCATTTGTCAAGCAAACCGAACTTGAATTAATGGCATCCCCTGAACTCGATGCGGGCTATGGCAGTCTGATGAGTGTGAGGGGTGATCGGGATCTCGCTGGAAGGCCTTTCCCTTGATTCCGGAGTGGATGTAATGTGATGCAAGGCAATCCATAGGACAATGATAAAGCTTCTCTGCTGCGGCATGCCGTACTGTACCTGCTTCTGACGAGCTGACACCCAGCGATCCGACTCCCTGCGAACTTCTTATCACAGGTTCATATGTACTCTGCGTCATCTTAATTCGGGCATATGGCGCAGCATCATTGGCGAAGTAATTGTCGAGAATTGCAGATGCCCCGGACTTGGACTAGCCGACTTGAGGCGGCAACGAAAAGGGCTGTTCAACCCGCTCTAAGACAACTCCCCCGGAACTGGGCCAGCAACATCCAGCCACGGCCATCGGGCTGAGCCTGTAGCAGCCTCAGACAGGCACTGCCCAAGCCAGAACAGTACAGGCCCCAGACGAGGAAGCGGAATTCTTCCTCGCTGAAGGTCTTGAGGTGGGGGCACGCAAGCCTGTGTGGTGGACCACTGGGCAGCCCTGCCCGGTGCCATCATCCTGCCGGCCTCCTCCAGCGGAAATTCCTGCAGTGATCTTTCCAAACCCCCGAAAAATCTGGCAGCCTAAACTACGTCTGAGGAGCCAGCGATGGAAGTAGAAAACCTTCCAAGCTACACCACTGCACCACCGCTGGTTTCACAGGCCAGATTGTGGCAGTTCGGATGGAGTCGTCCGCGTAGCCTCGTGCCGCCCGCTTGCAGACAGCTGCTCAGCCTCCAGCTACAAAGTTCCAGAAGCCGACACTCCCACTTCGTGATACAAGCTTTCTGGACGCAAAAGTCGTGCTCGCAAATACTGATGATGATATGACTCGACGTACCAGTGAGAACACAGCGGTGCAAAAAAGATTTCGTGATTTCAAGTAAGCTTTGCGCCTGGTTTGCTTTGTTCTGTCAGAGGACGTCCTAGATTCTGGATCATGCTTCGTAAGTTGAGTCCCACATAGCTTAGCCTCATGACCTCATTTCACTCAGCTTTCCCTGACTTCCATCAGCAAGCTTTGAAGCTTTGTATATGCACTTGTGCTCTATTATGCTCTATCCCTAGCCCACACTCTGGCCAGCATGGATTAAACCTGTCTTGCCGCCGCTTAGGACGGCCTGCCTCAGAACAAGGTGTGGCACATGATCCGTTGAAAAGGCTGTAGAACATGCTTTAGTCGATTCTAGTACGGGTGCAAACGTGCTGTATGGTGACTCAGTAAGACAGAAGGTGACAGTCCTGGGCAGCATCAATCAAGAAGTCCTGGCAAGGAGGCAGACTCTCAGAGGATCCTCAGAGTCATCGTGAACAAGCCGGAAGCTCAACCAAGACGCCCTGCCCGTGCCCGAAGGCTGCATGGTGACCATGCTCCTCCGAGCAGACAGACTTTGGGCAGTCCCCTGTGCCAGATCAGATACCGATATCAAGTGCATACATATGTACATACCTAACATATAATACATGAACTAAATACCTAAAAGCATCTATGTAGACAGATAGGTAGATAGAGAGACGGATAGATAGATAAATAGATAGGTAGATAGCTGGCGCGAGAGAGAGACATGTGCGAACATGTGTATGTAAACAACACATGCACTTGCCATGGGGCTTGCTAGAATTCTGCTCAACCGAAACACTAAGACTAAGCCTGTGTAGCTAAATATACAGAATCAGGAAGTCAAGCAACGTCAATGAACAGACTGCCCATTCGCAATGCCGCTATTCCTGCACTTGGAATGTTGATTAAACGTTCAAGTCACCTTAAGAGAGCCGAGGTGGCAGGGCACCTGACCTTGTGCAAGTAGGCACAGCCAACTTGCGGTGGGGGGACGTTTAATTTGCTGTTGCCGGAGGGTGTGGGCGGGGGGGTCTCTCTCTAGGACCAGATAAGGTCCTAGTCCTAGACACGATTTTGACCTGGGACCTGGCTCACTACTTCCTAGGTGAGTTGGTAAACGACAACTCCTGCAAGCTCCACAGTGCTAGTTTTCGTGACTTCATACTTATTTGTTGTTCCCTTCTGCTTGCTTCATCTTACTTCTACTTTCATCAGGAGCGCACTCCTCCCCAGCAGGGAGCCCTTCGTCCGGAGCCGGGTCGAGCTGACCTCTCCCAGAAAGCGCTTCTCGTTCAAGAAGCTTTCGGAGATCTCAAATCGGATTTGGGGGAGATCGGGGGCTGGGATCCCAATTCGTCAGAGGTGCCTGGAAGCCGATTGAGCACAGCCTCGAACATGAATAAGGACTCCTTGGCATTGGCACCATTCCCACTAAGGACAACATTTGCTGTGACTGCGCGAACGGAAAGCATGGTAAGAAAGTTGCTGAACAGCGTACATCAATCTACCAGCAGGATGCTTCTTCTTTCCGTGCATGTTAGCTGAGCAGGCAACCGTCAAGTGAGGATCAAGGACCTTCCGGAATCCATACCCGAGTCGACCAGGCATGCCACATGACAAACACTGCCTTGTCAGTCTCGGTCAAGATCTTGTAGGACTCACGTACCTTGCACAACTTAGACGACTCTTCGCACGGAAACTTCTCTGAACCTCGTTGAGTATCCAGCGGAAACCGCTAACTCGGCATACATGTGCAGAATCTGGCAGAACCGGGAGCGCAAAGGTGACAGGGGCGCAATAGACTGACAACGGAGAAGCTGAACTCTCGAGCCTGGTTCTGAAAGAACTGCCTCCGCACACCTGGTTCGGGGGGGGCTCCGTTTCGCTACAAAGCCGAGCTAGGTGCCAGGCCTTCAAAGCCCTCACAGAAGACGTGCTTCTGCAGCCTTTCGGGGCTTCGAACTCCGGGGGCCCCGGGCCGCAAACCCAACGGAGCAAACACGCCACCCGGACAGCTCCCAACGACACCCCCTCGAGAGCCCAGCAGCTGAAGCAGCTCCAGCGAAAATGCGGGGCACAGCACCGAGTCCTCGCAAGTCTGCTTGCCGCTGTGGGCCTTTCTGATTTCTTGGAGCACTAAGAGGGCGAAGACACGCGAAGACCTTGAGAACATGAAGCAGATCTTGTGGTGGCAGGAAAACCTCTTCGGAGTGGGAGCCATCCTTCAGGATCCTGAAAAGCGGAGGAGCTTGCAGCCACTGAGGCCGAGAGCCCTGAGTCCCTGAGCCTTTGAAGCGCTTCTCGCGCCGCTTCTCGTCTGCGTTTCTGGCACAGGAGTCTTCGTCTTCATGCTCTGCTCTGCATGGCTTGATGCTTTGAAGTGCCCACAGCTCCTTGTCGGGCAAAGGTCCGTGTTTGAGGTGTTCTTTTTGAAGATGCAGCCATCGTCTTAGACCATATGCTGATTCGCACGTCTTCCGTGCTGCAAGCACTGGGCTTCGAGCTGTAGCCTGCTGGGCTCCTGCAAGCACGCGAGATGCAACAAGCAGAGCTTCTCCACAACGGCTGATGTCCAAGCATGCAGCCTACTGGCCTACTTCGCTCTGATTGGTAGTGCAGAGGCTACTGCTATTGCCTGCAAAGACTCCGCGAAGAATCGAAGCCTTTTCGGATCACGGCAGTGAAGCTGATCCTGACAGCGTCGGCAGGCTTCTGCTGCATTGCCGCCGCATCGCCACCAGACATTGCGCACTCAACGGTTTCAAGTTGCTGATAGACTGCAGGAGTTCTCAACAAGTTGCCGCATAATCAGGGTGTTACGTTGCTGTCTTTCAAAACGGGTGGTGCCTTATCAAAGCACAGGCCGACGCCAACGAGCGCGTGTGGAGCAACACACGATGAACAAACCTTCGAACAAGCAAGGATCACCACTCTTCACAAGTCACAAATAAAATGATCGACACTTCCTGCAACATGTACACTCACAGAGACATACAGGCGCACAGACAGACGGGTGCACAGACCAACAGGCAGACAAATACACAGACAGAGCCAGACAAAGCCAGACAGAGATAGACAGAGACGGGCGGAGATGGCGGAGACGGACAGAGACAGACACAGAGACAAGGACTCGCAGACCGAGACAGGCAGAACGACAGACAGACAGGCCCATGCTTAAACACATTCATGCGCATGCGCTCGGATGCAAGCAAATGCTTGCCTGCAGGTGTCTGCCCAAATGAGGTGAGAAGATGCCTGCATGTGGCAGGAGGACACGATAAGAGATGCCGTCTGGGTCGACGAAGCCTCTCACCAAGCATCGCATTCTGCGGCGGCAAAGTACATCTGCCCAGCTTGCAGGGGCTCTGACGCGCTCGAACACAGACGTGCCAAAGGGTCGCTTGCTGAAGTGCTGAGACACTTAAAGCTCGTGAGGTTCATCCATGATCGCTGACTGGACTCGGCACATGCCAGGGTCTAGACCGAAGCTAGGTACAATTGTCCTTTTCGGTGGCTGTCTTGATGCTTGCAAGTGCTTCAGCCGGATGCAGACTTGAGCATAAAATCTTAAAAGGAGGCCATCGTTGAGCAATCAGCAATAGCCGGAGAGCTACCTCACTAAACCTCCAGCTGCTTCTGCGGCGGTTGTTCCGTGGAGTAAGGGGAGCGGGGGCGGATTACCAATCCATGCTATTCTTGCCTTACAGTTTTGGCCTGAAGGTCCGCACTTTCCGACCTGCGAGCTTGATTGACGAAACCGGATGCAACTTCTGTCGTGATCTTGGAGGATGCGGAGGTGCTTCGACACTGAGCATGTCAGATAAACTCCTTCCACAAGTTGTCCGAACACTTCAAACCACTGTCGCTCCTCCGCCTAACCACGGTTCCCACAGCACTCAATCTCAGGGAATCTGCGAAGAAACCATGGCGACCGTACCCAACGCCGGGTGGCTTCGGCTACAACCCGGGAGGCTCGGGCACCTCCACTTCTGACATCGAGGGGTTGTCCTTTCGCCGACGTTGGGGCCGGAAGCCTCTCTTGCCTCTCAGAGGAGACCAGCCTTAGTATCAGCTGCATCTATCTGTCTTCTTATCTATACATACAAACATTAACACATACACATGCCATGCACATGCACGTGCACAGACGCATATACATAGACATACAAGTACACAGACATAGACATGCATAGAGTGTTCACACAAACATTGTGTGTATGTACGTGTCTATGCATGCACATCTATCCGTCTAAATACACGGACAAACTCAGAATCATATAGTTACATGTGTGTATGCACATCTGTAGAAATACGTGAACATAGATGTTTATACCTTATTTGCTACTACAGAGCGAGCGAAAGAGAGAGAGAGAGAGAGAGAGAGAGAGAGAGAGAGCGAGAGCGAGAGCGAGAGCGAGAGCGAGAGCGAGAGAGAGAGAGAGAGAGAGAGCGAGAGCGAGAGCGAGAGCGAGAGCGAGAGCGAGAGCGAGAGCGAGAGCGAGAGCGAGAGCGAGAGCGAGAGAGAGAGAGAGAGAGAGAGCGAGCGAGAGAGCGAGAGAGCGAGGGAGCGAGCGAGGGCGAGGGAGCGAGGGAGCGAGGAGGCATCCGGGAAGCAGATAAAGCTTTTTGCTTCTGAAGTGAGCTTAGGCCCTGGCTTGACAGTAGCCTCAAGATGCCCTTCACTGCCCCTGAGGCCAAAAACGGTGACAACTTGTGGCGCTTGAGAAGCCGCGCCCAATTGCTTGCCTGTGTGCTCACCCTCATCGCTTCTCAAAGGCCTGGCCACATGTGGGAAAATGTTCCAGGGTTTGGGGTGGTCCAAGCCCCGCCGCCTTCTCCATGATCTCTTGCACACAAGACTCAACGCATGTGCTAGTGCAAGAAACCGACGCGTGGCTGCTTGCGTCGAGACGAGGGCAAGGAGGCCGGAGTCAGAAATGTCAGAAAACTGCAATGCGAGACCCGAGTACCCTGACCCTGGATGCTTGCACCTCTTCGACGAACGCTGCCAGCGCCTTGGCTAAAACATCGCCTTCAACTGCAGGCTTCCTCCAAAGGGGCACGGAACTAATTCGGGCCTTGCAGGCCTCACGCTGTCTGAGGCGAGGTCTCACTCATCCTCACTCGGCAGGCTTGATGCTTCGCCTCTGCCAAGTGAACAGTCGCTTTTTGCTCAGAGAAGTTAAGTCAGAAGCTGCAGTGTAGCCAGCATTTTGGTGTCCGGTCGTCCCACCCCTTGTGTCAGAACGAAATCATCCTGTGTTCAGTGAGGTCGTTAAAATGAGACCACGTTGCTGGACACGTGCAGGGTCGCATCTGCCCAGTGTTTTATTTCCCGCCTCCAAGGCGCTCAGGCGAGCATCCACCTGCATCATGACAAGACCAGAGAGCGACCGGTGCAATGGCACTGTGCAAGCTCACCGCGCAGCCTGCTTGGGGCATCGGCCAGCCGCTGCCCAGACCTTTGTAGACACTCAGGAAACAAGCTTCTGAAGGCCGTTTGCTGCGAGGGGCCTCAATGTGCGTCTGTCGCAGCCGAGACCAGGCCGCCTGTCGAAGAGAGAGTTCTTATGGGCTCTGCAAGAAGTGTGCATTGTGCCAAGAACCTCAAGATCATCCGGAGCGTGATGACGCAGAATCGTGTATCGGTTCCTAGGTCCGGAGACTGAAGCGAGCAATGAAGGAATCAGGCACTGTACGGTGCTGCATCTGTACCTCAAGGTTCACCAGGCAGTCACACGTCCGCTTTGTGTAGATCGCCAAGCGCATGCGGCTGAGCAATCTCCAGGCGCGGAGCCTAAGCGCAGGTCAGAACAAGACCTGCTAACCGCTGGCCGTGGTAAAGCAGAAAGGGCAGGATGTCGCCTTGCTGCCGCATGTGTCACAGCGAATGAGCAACCTCTTTTCCACACATCACAGACTGTCACACTTTGCAACCTGGGCATCATGACATCGTGACGACTGGATCGTTCACGATGCTTGAACAGCAAGGAACTCACACAACCTTCGCTGTGGAGCTGTTGGAAAACGCTAGCCTCGAAAGGCCTCGCTAGCCGTAGCAGGTCTTCAGATGTTCTTGTACTTCTCCTTGGCCGGATAGAGTCTATCCAACTTGCTGCCCAGGAACATGCAGCTTCTGTCTTTGACTGCGCACATACACAAATAGTTGACAACATGACGACATGCCGACTTTGCCTGACTCTGCCACTAGGTGTCAATGGCACTCTTCACCTGCTCCTGCTGATCCGCGGGGACCATGCAGATGCACTTATCCATGGTTCCGACCGGACCGCCGCAGCAAGGAAAGAAGGGCTTAATGGAGCCAGGTGCTTTGTCTGCCATCTCGTCCTCAATCTTCTTCTTGGCCTGTGTGGAGGACATGACACGAATCTGCGTTGCAAAGCTTCTGTGTCAACAGCCCTGTCCTGCTCCTTCATGGCATCACCCATACCACCCATCATGCTTGCCATCGCTCCCTAGAGAGACTGCAGAAGGCAGATTCGCAAAGAGGTGGTCTGAGAACCCAAATGGCTGTCGGATGCTGTCGGTAGTCAGTGAGAGGGGGCGGCTGGGCTATCCACCAGGCGGGCTCATGAGGGGCTCTAGAACAGAACTTTCTCGCGTGAGCTACAAGTAAATTGCTCGCAATGGTACGTCCTCAGCATCGCTGACGACGGAATCGTCCACTGCGCTGCAGCAGCAAGGTGACGTCAACAGCATCTGGGCACAACTCACACAACCTTCGCTGTGGAGCTGTTGGAAAACGCTAGCCTCGAAAGGCCTCGCTAGCCGTAGCAGGTCTTCAGATGTTCTTGTACTTCTCCTTGGCCGGATAGAGTCTATCCAACTTGCTGCCCAGGAACATGCAGCTTCTGTCTTTGACTGCGCACATACACAAATAGTTGACAACATGACGACATGCCGACTTTGCCTGACTCTGCCACTAGGTGTCAATGGCACTCTTCACCTGCTCCTGCTGATCCGCGGGGACCATGCAGATGCACTTATCCATGGTTCCGACCGGACCGCCGCAGCAAGGAAAGAAGGGCTTAATGGAGCCAGGTGCTTTGTCTGCCATCTCGTCCTCAATCTTCTTCTTGGCCTGTGTGGAGGACATGACACGAATCTGCGTTGCAAAGCTTCTGTGTCAACAGCCCTGTCCTGCTCCTTCATGGCATCACCCATACCACCCATCATGCTTGCCATCGCTCCCTAGAGAGACTGCAGAAGGCAGATTCGCAAAGAGGTGGTCTGAGAACCCAAATGGCTGTCGGATGCTGTCGGTAGTCAGTGAGAGGGGGCGGCTGGGCTATCCACCAGGCGGGCTCATGAGGGGCTCTAGAACAGAACTTTCTCGCGTGAGCTACAAGTAAATTGCTCGCAATGGTACGTCCTCAGCATCGCTGACGACGGAATCGTCCACTGCGCTGCAGCAGCAAGGTGACGTCAACAGCATCTGGGCACAACTCACACAGCCTTTGCTGTGGAGCTGTTGAAAAACGATAGCCTTGAAAGGCCTCGCTAGCCGTAGCAGGTCTTCAGATGTTCTTGTACTTCTCCTTGGCTGCCAGTCTCTCCAACTTGCTGCCTAGAAATATGCAGCTTCTGTCTGTGACCGCGCACATACACAAATAGTTGACAACATGACGACATGCCGACTTTGCCTCACTCTGCTACTGGGTGTCAATGGCACTCTTCACCTGCTCCTGCTGATCCGCGGGGACCATGCAGATGCACTTATCCATGGTTCCGACCGGACCGCCGCAGCAAGGAAAGAAGGGCTTAATGGAGCCAGGTGCTTTGTCTGCCATCTCGTCCTCAATCTTCTTCTTGGCCTGTGTGGAGGACATGACACGAATCTGCGTTGCAAAGCTTCTGTGTCAACAGCCCTGTCCTGCTCCTTCATGGCATCACCCATACCACCCATCATGCTTGCCATCGCTCCCTAGAGAGACTGCAGAAGGCAGATTCGCAAAGAGGTGGTCTGAGAACCCAAATGGCTGTCGGATGCTGTCGGTAGTCAGCGAGCAGGGCGGCTGGGCTATCCACCAGGCGGGCTCATGAGGGGCTCTAGAACAGAACTTTCTCGCGTGAGCTACAAGTAGATTGATCGCAATGGTACGTCCTCAGCAGCGCTGACGACGGAATCGTCCACTGCGCTGCTACAGCAAGGTGACATCAACAGCATCTGGGCACAACTCACACAGCCTTTGCTGTGGAGCTGTTGAAAAACGATAGCCTTGAAAGGCCTCGTTAGCCGTAGCAGGTCTTCAGATGTTCTTGTACTTCTCCTTGGCCGGATAGAGTCTATCCAACTTGCTGCCCAGAAACATGCAGCTTCTGTGCGCATACAATGAGTTGACAATATGACGACATGCTGACTTTGCCTCACTCTGCCACTAGGTGTCAATGGCACTCTTCACCTGCTCCTGCTGATCCGCGGGGACCATGCAGATGCACTTATCCATGGTTCCGACCGGACCGCCGCAGCAAGGAAAGAAGGGCTTAATGGAGCCAGGTGCTTTGTCTGCCATCTCGTCCTCAATCTTCTTCTTGGCCTGTGTGGAGGACATGACACGAATCTGCGTTGCAAAGCTTCTGTGTCAACAGCCCTGTCCTGCTCCTTCATGGCATCACCCATACCACCCATCATGCTTGCCATCGCTCCCTAGAGAGACTGCAGAAGGCAGATTCGCAAAGAGGTGGTCTGAGAACCCAAATGGCTGTCGGATGCTGTCGGCAGTCAGTGAAAGGGGCGGCTGGGTTATCCACCAGGCGGGCTCATGCGGGGCTCTAGAACAGAACTTTCTCGCGAGAGCTACAAGTAGATTGCTCGCAATGGCACGTCCTCAGCATCGCTGACGACGGAATCGTCCACTGCGCTGCAGCAGCAAGGTGACGTCAACAGCATCTGGGCACAACTCACACAGCCTTTGCTGTGGCGCTGTTGAAAAACGATAGCCTTGAAAGGCCTCGCTAGCCGTAGCAGGTCTTCAGATGTTCTTGTACTTCTCCTTGGCTGCCAGTCTCTCCAACTTGCTGCCTAGAAATATACAGCTTCTGTCTGTGACCGCGCACATACACAAATAGTTGACAACATGACGACATGCAAACTTTGCCTCACTCTGCTACTGGGTGTCAATGGCACTCTTCACCTGCTCCTGCTGATCCGCGGGGACCATGCAGATGCACTTATCCATGGTTCCGACCGGACCGCCGCAGCAAGGAAAGAAGGGCTTAATGGAGCCGGTGCTTTGTCTGCCATCTCGTCCTCAATCTTCTTCTTGGCCTGTGTGGAGGACATGACACGAATCTGCGTTGCAAAGCTTCTGTGTCAACAGCCCTGTCCTGCTCCTTCATGGCATCACCCATACCACCCATCATGCTTGCCATCGCTCCCTAGAGAGACTGCAGAAGGCAGATTCGCAAAGAGGTGGTCTGAGAACCCAAATGGCTGTCGGATGCTGTCGGTAGTCAGTGAGAGGGGGCGGCTGGGCTATCCACCAGCCGGGCTCATGGGGGGCTCTAGAACAGAACTTTCTCGCATGAGCTACAAGTAGATTGCTCGCAATGGTACGTCCTCAGCATCGCTGACGACGGAATCGTCCACTGGGCTGCTACAGCAAGGGTGACGTCAACAGCATCTGGGCACAACTCACACAGCCTTTGCTGTGGAGCTGTCGAAAAACGATAGCCTTGAAAGGCCTCGTTAGCCGTAGCAGGTCTTCAGATGTTCTTGTACTTCTCCTTGGCTGCCCAGTCTATCCAACTTGCTGCCTAGAAACCTGCAGCTTCTGTCTGTGACTGCGCACATACACAAATAGTTGACAACATGACGACATGCCAACTTTGCCTCACTCTGCTACTGGGTGTCAATGGCACTCTTCACCTGCTCCTGCTGATCCGCGGGGACCATGCAGATGCACTTATCCATGGTTCCGACCGGACCGCCGCAGCAAGGAAAGAAGGGCTTAATGGAGCCAGGTGCTTTGTCTGCCATCTCGTCCTCAATCTTCTTCTTGGCCTGTGTGGAGGACATGACACGAATCTGCGTTGCAATTCTTCTGTGTCAACAGCCCTGTCCTGCTCCTTCATGGCATCACCCATACCACCCATCATGCTTGCCATCGCTCCCTAGAGAGACTGCAGAAGGCAGATTCGCAAAGAGGTGGTCTGAGAACTCAAATGGCTGTCGGATGCTGTCGGTAGTCAGTGAGAGGGGCGGCTGGGCTATCCACCAGCCGGGCTCATGGGGGGCTCTAGAACAGAACTTTCTCGCATGAGCTACAAGTAGATTGCTCGCAATGGTACGTCCTCAGCATCGCTGACGACGGAATCGTCCACTGCGCTGCAGCAGCAAGGTGACGTCAACAGCATCTGGGCACAACTCACACAGCCTTTGCTGTGGAGCTGTTGAAAAACGATAGCCTTGAAAGGCCTCGCTAGCCGTAGCAGGTCTTCAGATGTTCTTGTACTTCTCCTTGGCTGCCAGTCTCTCCAACTTGCTGCCTAGAAATATGCAGCTTCTGTCTTTGACTGCGCACATACACAAATAGTTGACAACATGACGACATGCCGACTTTGCCTGACTCTGCCACTAGGTGTCAATGGCACTCTTCACCTGCTCCTGCTGATCCGCGGGGACCATGCAGATGCACTTATCCATGGTTCCGACCGGACCGCCGCAGCAAGGAAAGAAGGGCTTAATGGAGCCAGGTGCTTTGTCTGCCATCTCGTCCTCAATCTTCTTCTTGGCCTGTGTGGAGGACATGACACGAATCTGCGTTGCAAAGCTTCTGTGTCAACAGCCCTGTCCTGCTCCTTCATGGCATCACCCATACCACCCATCATGCTTGCCATCGCTCCCTAGAGAGACTGCAGAAGGCAGATTCGCAAAGAGGTGGTCTGAGAACCCAAATGGCTGTCGGATGCTGTCGGTAGTCAGTGAGAGGGGGCGGCTGGGCTATCCACCAGGCGGGCTCATGAGGGGCTCTAGAACAGAACTTTCTCGCGTGAGCTACAAGTAAATTGCTCGCAATGGTACGTCCTCAGCATCGCTGACAACGGAAGCGTCCACTGCGCTGCAATAGCAAGGGTGACGTCAACAGCATCTGTGCACAACTCACACAACCTTTGCCGTGGAGATGTTGGAAAACACTAGCCTCGTTAGCGGCGGCACGTCTTCAGATGTTCTTGTACTTCTCCTTGGCTGCCCAGTCTATCCAACTTGCTGCCTAGAAATATGCAGCTTCTGTCTGTGACCGCGCACATACACAAATAGTTGACAACATGACGACATGCCGACTTTGCCTCACTCTGCTACTGGGTGTCAATGGCACTCTTCACCTGCTCCTGCTGATCCGCGGGGACCATGCAGATGCACTTATCCATGGTTCCGACCGGACCGCCGCAGCAAGGAAAGAAGGGCTTAATGGAGCCAGGTGCTTTGTCTGCCATCTCGTCCTCAATCTTCTTCTTGGCCTGTGTGGAGGACATGACACGAATCTGCGTTGCAAAGCTTCTGTGTCAACAGCCCTGTCCTGCTCCTTCATGGCATCACCCATACCACCCATCATGCTTGCCATCGCTCCCTAGAGAGACTGCAGAAGGCAGATTCGCAAAGAGGTGGTCTGAGAACCCAAATGGCTGTCGGATGCTGTCGGTAGTCAGTGAGAGGGGCGGCTGGGCTATCCACCAGCCGGGCTCATGGGGGGCTCTAGAACAGAACTTTCTCGCGAGAGCTACAAGTAGATTGCTCGCAATGGCACGTCCTCAGCATCGCTGACGACGGAATCGTCCACTGCGCTGCAGCAGCAAGGTGACGTCAACAGCATCTGGGCACAACTCACACAGCCTTTGCTGTGGAGCTGTTGAAAAACGATAGCCTTGAAAGGCCTCGCTAGCCGTAGCAGGTCTTCAGATGTTCTTGTACTTCTCCTTGGCTGCCAGTCTCTCCAACTTGCTGCCTAGAAATATGCAGCTTCTGTCTGTGACTGCGCACATACACAAATAGTTGACAACATGACGACATGCCGACTTTGCCTCACTCTGCTACTGGGTGTCAATGGCACTCTTCACCTGCTCCTGCTGATCCGCGGGGACCATGCAGATGCACTTATCCATGGTTCCGACCGGACCGCCGCAGCAAGGAAAGAAGGGCTTAATGGAGCCAGGTGCTTTGTCTGCCATCTCGTCCTCAATCTTCTTCTTGGCCTGTGCGGAGGACATGACACGAATCTGCATTGCAATTCTTCTGTGTCAACAGCCCTGTCCTGCTCCTTCATGGCATCACCCATACCACCCATCATGCTTGCCATGGCTTCCAAGAGAGACGGCCGAAAGCAGATTCGCAAAGAGGTGGTCTGAGAACCCAAATAGCTGAGCAGAGCCACAGTGCTCTTGAGAGGTCCAGCTGCATGCCCTTTTGAGAGTGGTGTCGCAGCTTCTTGAGTCCAAAGCCCGTGGTCGAGACCTTCGCCGAGCACCGGAAAGTGTGGTGTAGTCAGGGCCTGCCACGAGTCTCGGAATGACTTTGGACAGCAACCAAAACTGGATGCCTGGCCAACCCAGTAGCTGGCCTCGGATATGAACCACAGCTGCTGGGTGACTAGATTCACTGCGGATGCCTTGAGGCTCAAGCCGGAATGTTGGCGTAGAAATAAAGCCTGCCCGAGTCTGAAACAAGACAGAAGCGAAGCTCCATGAATGCATGCCATGCATGTGCACGCTGCACTGCACAGGTGACACGGCTACTTTTGGCAGAACCTCTCCTTTCCGAAGCATGCCTGACCTCTTCGGCTGAAGTCTCCGTGTCAAATCGGAACAGCATCCACCAGCCAAGGCTGCCAACATGATACTGCGCCCCCCTCCAAAAGCCAGACCGCTTGTGCAGGTCAAAAGAGGCATCCTCAATTCGCCTGGCATGGCCTTGTGCGATTCATTGTACTGTTTTGCTCTGAGACACGATGCCTCCCCATGCTTGGAGCTGAGCCCTAAACCCTATACATCCCTAACCCCTTAACCCTAACCCCTAAACCCTAAGCCCCTAAACCCTAAGCCCCTAAACCCTAACCCCTAAACCCTAAGCCCCTAAACCCTAACCCCTAAACCCTAACCCCTAAATCCTAAGCCCCTAAGCCCTAGGTGATGGTACTAGTCCTTCCGGCCTTCCGGAGCCGAGGCCAGTGAGCTCCTCCTGGATGGCACTCCGGAAAGCGACCTGTGGGGGTTTCCGAAAACAGGGGACCCTAATATAGTAACCTCTAAATAGTAGGATCCTATAATATACTGTAAATATAATTTAGTACCCTAGACAGTAGGATCCTTATCATAAGGACCCCGAAAGAATGGGGACCCCTAATTTTCGGAAACTCCCCTGTCTGACAGCCAGCATGCAGCTTTCGATGCAAGCTTTTCGGGCCTCCAGAGCTTCCAGGCCTTGCTCCGTGCAAGCAGGCTCCTTCAGAGACACGAAAAGCCCGAGACCTGAGCCTCTGAGCCTCTGAGCCTCTGAGCCCCGGCTCCGTCCTGGAGCAAAGATGTCAGGACCCGAGCCCGTATGCGCAGCAAGGCCTGCAGAAAGGCTGCCAGGCACGGCGAGGCACGATGTTGAGGACCGCCTCCCGAGAAAAGAGGCCTCCAGGAAGCGACGTGCTTTGTCGGCTCCCTGCGTCAGACCCGTCTTCAAGCAAAAGGGTCCAGCCACGACCTCATCAGGGTGTCTGCAAACTTCCCAAAGTATTGGCGACACAGCTGGACGAATCGGCGAGTCGAACAGAAGTCTGAAGGACATTGCAAAATTCCGACTTCTGACCAAATCCCCCGAACCCGTTCTCAGTTGTCAAGGTCTGAATCCTATCTGTGGCTCTGACACTTGCGCGGTAGTACCGCTTCTGGCCCTGGTCAACCAAGCTCTTGATTGCACAGGCTCTCTCCCTCTGCAACCTCCCCTGCTCTCTCTTGCGCGCCCTTTGGTGGAGGTGGAGCCCAGCCATGCCAGATTTGCCTTGCCTTCACGAAGCGATGTTGGAAAGGACAGCGCACAGTAAACACAAGTCTGAACACACTCTTCTTGTCTAGCTTCTGCGCTGAAAGGACGGTTACGGTCCTCGCTGCCATATCACAAGCTCTGCTCCTCGGCTCTTTGGCTGCAACTCGCCTGCCCTTCTGTGAAGGGCGGGATGAAGCACGGCCTGCGCCAGCGCAGCGAACTTCTACGCAGCATTTCACAGCTTCTCAGAAGTCCAAGCTGAAGCAAAAAGCTGCTCGGGCGGTTCCTGCTAGGCTGCGATTCCGCACCGCGGGCGAGGGCCGCGATGATTCTCCGGCCTTGGTGCGAGCTGCAGTTGATTCGAGGAGTTTGGAGTTCTCAACTGTCCATTCTCGGGTCCAGGACTCTCTCGGCCAAGATCCACCTACATGGATCGCATCAGCAAAGGAGCTACAGCTGTGCAGCATCCGTGCCAGACTGCAAAACAAAGTAGGGAATGGAATGTAGAGGCTCTTGAACACAGGACAAAGCGTCTTCGATGTGCACCTCTCCAGTGCCAGTCGTTGAGCTTGATTGAAGCTCTGCAGCCTTGGTGACAGCATGAATTGCATGGTAGTTCTGCACCTGTCTTGAAACGAGGACTCGGCGCGAATTGCCGCACCGATGGGGACAAGCGCTGGAGGAGGGCAAAAAGCTTGGCCTTGCAGAGGCACGGCTTCGCTCGTGGTAAAACAGCGTATAAGCTTGCACTTGAACCATTATGAACGTGTACCTGATATGCATGTAGACTTTACGTGCATGCAGTGCCGCCGTTACGCTTCCCGATTTGACTCGCTTCTACACTCCAAGATAAACATTAAAGAGATTGTAAATCAGTCCCAGAGTCTCAGAGGGCACTGATGACTCGTGGCTTTCCGACGATTGTGACGGCGACGACGACGATCCGGAGATGATGCTGATGATGACTTGGACTCTTAGACGACGATGATGGTAGTGATATGTATGGTGATGATCAGGGGGAAATGAAGGCGATGACGGTCATCGTCAACGTCGCCGTTGTCCACTTCATCATCGCCATACTCATCCTCACTACCAGCATCATCAGCATGCTTCCTGGCGTTCTTCCTCCCAACAACCGGCCAACTGCTTGAAGCCTCGACCCGCTTCCCATGGTCGAACCGCACCTGGCGCAGCAGGTCATGCGAAGGAGATTCCCCCGGAGCTTCGAAGGCTTCAGGAAACTGCCTTGCGTCGGGGTCCAAGTTCCATGGCTCTTGCCTCCTACAAACAATAAGTCTTTGGGTGCAAGGTCTCTGCACAGGACCACCAAGACATGGCCTTTGAGGCCATTCGTGTAGCGATCTGTTCGCCTGACCAACGGAAGTCTGCACCCAGATCTCACGGTTACTCCGAGGCCGGGGCGTGGGACTTCAAAGTGGCCCAGGGACCTGGAAGTTGTGCAGAGCTGCAGCGCAGGAAACTGACCAAGGAACCCAAGAGAAGCTCGCGTGGTCCCTCAGAGGTTCGCATGGCTGCTGTCGAGGCTGATTCGCGTCGCCTGGAAAACACGAAATGTTGCCGGAGAAGGAAGGGCCGCAAAAAGAATCTTAGGAACTGACAGTCGCTGCAACGACAGCCACTAGTGTGCAGAATGCACCCGCTGCCTCCTGCACGTGCAGCGGCACGAAATTAGTGCTTTTGTCAAACACAAGTTCGTTCCGTCCTCCAGGACCAGTCCACGCTCTTGCTCCCACATCTAAGCCTGTCACTGGGTTGGTGTTCTTGCAAACTTTGTTTGGAGCTGTGGTCACTGAGAGCTCAAAATTTTAGCAGGGCTTGATCCATGCTCTGTGTTGCCTCAGAAGTCAAGCTGGAAGGATTGTCACCCGTCACGGTAGACCCGGTAGACTGCGAAAAAACTGATGTCCGGCAGAATCCGTGCCCCGTTGCCTTTGACCTAAATCTGCAAGTAATGCGGCAGAGATGCGGTAGTAGTTCCGGTAGTAGTGGTAGTAGTACCTGGTGCAGGCACGGAGCTCGAACTGTCACAGCAAAGTGTAATCGAACGCCGGCAAGCCACCACCAGTAGTGGTAGTGGTAGTAGTCCTGTCAATTCCGCAGCGCATCGTTCTGGACATGCCCATGACCGGCGCAATGACAATGACAGCTGTCCGGGTGGTGATCTGGTGGTGGTGGCGAAGGTCTCCGAGGATTGGGAGGTGGAGGAATCTGAAGAGAGCACGGGCCAGGCACGAATTCAGAGCCCAGAGCCAGGTGCTTGGATGCTTGGGCGCTAGCGCGGCAACGGACATCACGTTGGAGGACATGGTTGCAACCTGCACGGAAAGTGCTGCTGGCTGGTTCTGCTTGTTGCGGCTCAAGTAACTTCTGGTCTCGCCTTTGGAGCCCGGGGGGGCAAAGCACGACAGCAGACTGTTTTGCAGAGCTAACAGCCGCGGGCAATGCAGAATGGTGGCTGTGGCGAGTCCCCGAGAATGAGAAGCGTCACGGGTCTCTGGATGTCATGAGAGGGGTGCCTGCTCACGCGCTGCCAAGTTTTTCCTGCGAGACGGACTCTGTACGGTGTGCGGCCGCCAATTGTGGCACTTAGCTCAAACAAGCGGCGCAGGTGCCTAGACATCTGCTGACAGGAATCGGCGCGAGAAGCATCAACTGTTTCCATGGGGAGGACGAGGTCCTCCTAAAGTTGCTCTCGGCATTCAGTAAACTTCCAGGATTTTGCTAACTGCCTTGGCGTTCGGCGAGTCTTGCCGCAAAAGGCAGATGGAAGATGAGATTCTACCAAAAAGGCACGAAACTCTAAGTTCAAGACTGAGTGCGTTGGGAGCAGCTCAGCCTCTCTGGCTAGGCATGCTGCCTGCAGCTGTTGATGTGCATCTGCTTCCAGTTTACAGATCTTCGGTGATCTGCAGGAGCATGCAGCCGGAGGTAGCTGGGGATACCAGTTTTGCGTGCACTGCTGGCACCGTCCAAAGATCGAAACAATCATGAACGACTCAGACTGATCCCAGCCACGTGGCCAACAGTAACAGCCTGTAGACATTCAGTTTTGCTGCTAGCAACTTCTGGGCATTAGGCTTCAGACAGGACTGTAAAGACATCCAGCCAAAGTTCAAAAGGGATCAGCCTGCGATTTTGTGCAAGATCAACACGCTAACTCAGTAGACAGAGCCACGACACCGCAACGCAAGTCGTCGATGCTCGAACAGTTCGGTGCTCCAGGTGTTGTCACGAAGGACATCACCACTGACATCGCTCGAGACCGCGGCGTCACCGTATCACAGTCATGCGTGTGGAGGGTTTCGGGGCTTTTGCACCTCAAGCTTGCACAAACGACTGGTGACGCCTCGCGGCACCTCAAAGGTTTCGGATTGGTTGTGCGGCAGCCGGCAGCTGTACATGACTTGCATCTGCCGGGACATCACAACTTCTTTACACATGCCCAAGGCAGCCAGGGCCAGAATGCCGTATCGAAACTTAGCATCTCCCTTCACCTTGAACAGTCTTGCAGGGAAGCTTCCCGAGGCTCGACTTCAACCCTTAAATGGGGAGCGCCTGCTGGATCTCTGCGGGACCACTCACGGATCAGCCTGCCCTGCTGGCACCGCCACGCTGGCAATCTACCGGGATCCTGAACCTCTAAAGAAAGATTCAGCGCAAGCCTGCTGCAGGAGTGGCCATTGGCTTCCTCTACGCTGCACCTGGCACACTCCCGCTGGCCCCGGACAGCTTGGAATAGCCTTTGAATGGGTTTGAGTTCGTTGAGCATGGTTCCGGAGGAAGAAAATGTCCGAGGCTTGGACCGGAAGCATAAAAGTCTGCGCTAGTTCACTGCCCTGCCCTCGGGAGATCTGTGTTTTCAGACGCTGGGTACACTAAGTTCAGATCGACAAGCATCAGGTCTCCTGAGATCCCATCATACTGGGTCGCCACTGTTGAGTGACCGATGGGCCCACAAGGCTAGAGTATTGTGACCGGACCGGGAAAGCCCGTCAAACCATCAAACCATCTCTTGGAGGTCGAGGCACAAAAGCTCTCGGTTGAAGTCGCAATCACAAGGGAAAAACCTCAGCTCAACCTCTGCAAGGTGGGCGAAAAGGTACCGCTTTTAGAAAGTGACGAGCATGACCGGAGGGTGGGCGCCGTCTGCTTTGTGCAAGCACCCACAATCGCAGTCACGCCTCAGAAAATTGCTTTGGCCCGAAAGTTTCCCACCCCAGCGCCGCCTTCCTGGACAGACACGTCCAAAGTCAAGGAAAGGAGGAGCAAACGGCTCCGGTCCGCCGCCTCCCACGGATGCTGCGCAACGCGTGTCTTTGCCTCAGCCGAACACTCCGTGGCATTCCGTGGCACGGCACTCGCGGGCGCGCCGAAAGCCCTACCTCGAAGTCGAAGTCGGAGACGGGGGAGCTCACGCCTGCACCCGGAGCGGAGTGGAAATTTCCGATGCTTTCATCACAGCCCGTGTTTCCGTAGTGGCCCACCGAGAGTATCGTCATCTGTGCCATGCCCAAGCTCCATAACCACCTTCAACCGCCAAGAAGTGGGGCTCTTCAAAGCAGCTCTCAGCGAGGGGCCTCGCTGGATCGATCATCCCCACTCCAGCCTTGGGCAACTTTGTCCAGTCCGCTCATGCCAAGCTAACCGAGAAAGCTGACAGACGCGATCCAACCAAGGCTGGGCACACGAGACGGTGCTCGAGTCACCCGCTTCCTGCCAGGTTGCAGTACGATAGGACATGATCAGACTCAGTCGCCCCCAAGAGGCGGTTTGGGGGCTCTGTGGTGCACAGACACCAAATAAGAACACATTTCCCAAGTTTCCTGACCCCCACTTTCATTCCTGGCCCGTGAGGTGAGCTACAAGTCCACGTAATTTAGCACTTCGCAAAAAGCCGCCGAAAACATCCAGAATCGAGGAAAGTAGGAGCGTCCCGCCTCTATTGCCTCCTTGGTGTAGTCATGTATGCTAGCTTCAAGCCTCGCCTCGCGCTCAGGAATTGTCAATCAAAGGCGGCGCAATTTGAAGCATGGAACTCCCACCTCTTCTTCCACTGTGGGACGAGGCCTTCGTGCAAGAGCCTGCGCATGCGATGTCCGGTGCGGCTACAGATTCACCCTCCAGCGCTTCTAAAGGCCTGTCGACCCGCCGATGCGGCAGCAGCTGCCGCCCGCATCTGGAGCATTTGCTCTCTCATCTGCCTCACAGCCGATGTGTCGGAGACTCTCGCCATCTCTCGCCTCTGTAACAGCGAAGCCGTTCCTCTCACCGGGACCACCGTGCGCGAGGAAACCCAGGGAGGCAGGTTTTTGCCTGCCCAACTTGCACTTCCAAACGAACGAAAGCAAGCAAAGACATGCAAAGACCTCAGAAGGCTTCTCCTCTTTTCGGGGGCACCTGTCGACTCATGGCTCTGCGAAGCGGAGAGCGAAGTACGAGGACGAGCATGCGCAGTTCGACGAGTGCGAGGGGCGGGCCTTCTTTCTGCGGGCGCCGGCGCCGTGCCATCTTGGCCTAGCACGCGGGCGCTGCAAGGGACACCATACCATACATCCATGCATCATGCGAAAGTAACCCGATAGCCTTGCTGGGAAATCGATAGTCCGGAGCATCACAAGACCTGATGTCTGCAGCCAGAGGTTCACCGATCTCAACGGCCCGGCCACTGGGCTTGCCACATCGGCTGAGCTGCTCTTAACCTAGCAGAAGCTGCGACACGACGAAGCTAAAGCGACTGAATCACATGGAAACTTTGGAAACACCCCTGCCTCCAGCGAAAAGGAGTGCAGGTCAAATAAATTACAAGCACGCACTGCTTGAGATGTGCAAAAACTCCAGCGGATATTTCATGCGCAAGGTGCTGAACCGAGCTTCTCCGGAGTCAAAGTGCGCTGGGCAGCCCACGGCTTTCCCCTGGCCCCCTGGCATCCCCAACAAGGTCATCCTGAAGACTCCTGTAGGAAGCCTTCAGACCGCGAGTGCAGACTTTGTGCACCCGGCCCCCTCAACTTCGCAAGGTCTTCGGCGGAAGAAGCGGTCCGCGATCATGCGCAAAAACAGCATTGGGGCGAAGTACCGAAGACTTTGCACAACTTCGCGCGAACGTTAGTGGGCTGAGCTCCTCAGCCCGGCTCTTCGCGGGTTTCGAGGCGCTCGCTTCGGGGCGTTGCTGCGGCTTTGCATCGGTATGCTGGGACGCCCCTTGCGAGCCTCGGAGTATGGCAAAGCTCGAAGGTCACCAATGATGAGAGTGGCACCCTTGGAGCCCTGCTGCTTCTTCCAGCCAAGATAAAGATGCAGGAAGGCGGCTGCGCAGACGCGAGCGTGGCTCCTAATGCGCAAGCTGCCCGGATATGCACAGATGTGGGATCACCCACAGGTGTTCCAACGCGAAGTTTCTATGCTCTCTCACAACCCTGATGTGTAGATGTGCCCCTCTGCCAGTCCTGTTTCGGAGCTGCGAGCGGCTTGAAGCCTGGATCCAGAGAACTGAGACCACAGTCTGACCCAAAAACCACAACAAAATCTTGCACCTTCGTCCTCTTCTTCTAACTCCAGCAAGGGCTCGAGGTCGAGATCGTGTGCCTGATAGCCCAAACGGTCACCACAATTCACTGAGCTCAGGTTTTCGCATGTCCCGGCCTCCTCCTTCTCCATCTGCTCGCGGAGATTCTCCAGTGAACTTTCCATTGCTGTCATCTCCGTCATGAGACCGGAGATGCGCCTGTGACCCGAGCCACGTCGAAACACATGCAGAAAGGATCTTAAAGAAGTATTTGTAAGGCACGGGCTGTAGCACGCGCTCCGGCGTGACGTCGTCAGCACCGCGCTGGTGCTTCGGCGTCACCTGCACTGGGCTGAGGCTGAGACCCCGGACCTTCGACGTAGGCTCCGCATCGGTCGGGCCTTCGGGCTTGCTTCCTGAGAGCCTCGGCTCCGGAAGCAATGCCCTGAAGGCGACTGCAAGAGTTTTTTTCTGAGGCCTGGACTCCCGGACCTGAGAGGAAAGACTTTCGGGGGACACTCGATGGTTCTCTTCGGGACGAGCATGTTCTGTGGGACTGTGGGGGCCTACGAGCATGGCGACCTCTTTTTGGCCGCCTTTGGCAAGGCCTTCCCCGTCCCCTCTCGACCCCAGACTTGCCAGTAGATCCTTGTCAGGCCCTCCTGTGCCGGGCCTTTGAGGAGTCACTTTGGAGGTCAGCACAGCGACTCGGCGACTCGGATACAGCGAAGGTTGATCTCAAAAGATGAAAAACACATGCCATTGGGTCGCTGCTGCTTCTGTCGACACTGGCGTTCGTTAACTGGAAATATCAACAAGGATTGCGACGGCGGTTTCACATGGCGTGATGTCTCAAGATGAAATTGAATTAATTTTGAAATGGCATTGTCAACGATAGGCCGCTCCACACCGCCGTCAGTGGACTGCAGGTCTCGGCTTCCGCGACACCCTGCTGCTCAGAGATAGCAAACCTGAAGCCACCAGAAGCGTGAAGGCTGTTCCCTCGGATCTGATGCGGAGAGGGCAGAGTGGCACATGCGGCACCTTCCTGATGCTCTTGCTCTCCGTGACGACCACAGTGCCGTCCTGCCCGGGAGGAGCCAAAAGACACGGCCTCCATGTCGAAGAGTCTCTGACTCTGGTCCTTCTTTGTTGTCTTTCGCTTCTGCTCAGACATCACCTTAGGAAACCGCTTGAAAGCGCATGGTAAGTCATGCACGATGCAGCTGTGGCCTTGGTTTCCACGTGGGCATTGTTGTGCGCCTCGGCGGCTTAGGGATTCATGCGGCTTCGATTCAGTCAGAGCCGCGAAACAACCAAGCGCCCGACTCTGAAAAGCCTCTGCTCCTTTACGGACTTCTTGCTTTCCGTGTGGGTGCCATCAGGGCCTGGCACGCCGGAGAGCCTAATGCATCTTGTCTTGGAGCATGCACTCTTGACCTTCGGCAAAAGGATTCCCACAGCCAGAGAAATCTACGAGTATGGCAGGAGCAGGTAGAAGAAAAGGCCAAGAAGAGCTTCAGCCCCAGAATCAAGAGTGGGTCCAGAAAGCTGTTAGCCGCGGAACCGCTTACCATCTCTTCGGAGGCACTTGAGGGAACCCCTCGTGGCCTGAAACCGTCGACGACTGCTCCCGAGCATTCTGCACGGCCTGGCACCAGCAAACAAACCTTGTTCAATTAGCGGCACCTCGCGAACCCCACCGAGAATTCAGTTCCTGCTGACTAGATTAACTAGATATAGTGAAGGATGAAGTATGTCATCCGGCATTCACACCAAGCGTTGCCCGCACTCATCGTCAGTAATTACCAGCATCATGATCATCGCCACATCGCCATCATTAGCAACAGCATCACCACGATGTCGCCAGTAGGGTAGTCGAAAGTGGCCTCGGCTCCCTCTTTCCCTTCCCAAATCACCGCTGTAATCATCGCCAGCAACATCTTCATCGTCTACACTTCAGATACTGACTAATCGCGATCACATCGTCATTGTCCTGCGTATCATCATTCATGTCGTCGCCAATGTTATCGTCACCATCATCTCCTGCTTCGTGATCATCAGCAGCAAGCAGCGACGGCAAGCACCATGATCGCGCCTGTGTCTTCTTGGTAACCATGGTGACACTGATATTATACATCCTGAATTCCTTGTCATCTACATGAACCGCACCACCATCACAACCACCACCACCACCAGCACCACCAGCACCACCACCACCACCACCACCACCACCACCACCGACACAAGTACTTCCACGCCTGCGACGACCACGACGACGAGCGTAGCAGCAGCATCAGCAGCACATCGTCGTCCCTCATCATCCGCACCAGGAACCAATTGCACTCCACCCCTCACCAACTGCTCTTGGCACCAGACGATCGCAGATGTGGAAACTACGAAGCGAAATAAACCGTCTCAGTCTCGGAGCCTTCAAGCCGCGGCCGCCCCCTCGCGACACCAGCGCCTCCTGGCCCGGCTCGCTGGCGGCTACCAGGGCCTGCGACGACCGGAAGGCGGCACTCTGCGAGTGGTGAGGGCTGGAAGATGCCAACGACTTTCAATCAGTCCTCCGCCTTCCTCCTAGGTCCTACGCACTACTCCTCCATCACCACCACTGCCACTGCCAGCTGCGAAGTGCTACGACTCGCAGACCACTCACCAGCTAGGCTTGCAACTCAGCGGCCCGTATTGCCCCCGCAGGGTCTGACTACACTGGCTGGTGAACTCGCTGCGGCAGGCTTGAAACCGGCGAGTAAAACGACGGCATTGCGATCCATGCGTAGACATGTGTTATGCATGTGGTCGGAGAAAGACATGCTTCTGAACTGCTGTGTTTTTGTGTTTTTGCTGCACGCTTCGCGACCTCCCCTCACGTCTCCCTGGATGGTGTGTGCACTCACTACTCAACCAGAGATGCTACATGATGCTACGATAGTCAGACGCCTCGATAAAATCCGTGCAAACGAAGCTATTGCGACGCCGCCACCGCCAGCCGCCATCCGGCACCGCCACCGTGGAAATCAGACCACGAACTACAGTACCACTACGATATCCACGACCAAGACCACGACTACCGACACCCGAACGACGAAGCCATGCAGGGAGCCAATGACTACATCTCGCAATCACGATTTCCAACTGAGCACGGATATGTATGGAAGAAACTGTCTGCCACTGATGTGGTGGAAGCCATGTCAAGTCCCGAGCAAAATGCATCAGCAGAGAAATGTCTACACCGGAGCCTGGTTTTCCTTGGATGACTCAGCTGAGCCGACTTTTTGGCGCTTTTTGGGTGGGTCCTGGCAGGACCAATAGGTGACGAGCAAGCAAAGTCTCGATGTCATGGCCTCAGGGCGTGTTTTTCCGGAGACTTTCCGCGGAGCCATGTTGAGAGTGGCGAGCTCGGCACAAGTGATCTCGAGCCCGATCCGCATACGGGTCAGCCAGGGATACAGCTCCGTCCACTGCTTTGCAAATGAATCTCATCACATCCAAGCTCTCGAACACCACAAGAGGTCTGGGGCTAGGACATCAGCTGACCTTGACCTTCAAAGAACTTCAATCCATCCAGCACGCTTGTGCAGTGGCTTCACTGGATCAGAGCGGCAACTACGGCCGTACCCGAAGCACGATGAAACTGCGACACGACCTTGCAAAAGGGATCCCTTCCGATTGCAGCAGCTAAGCGCCAAGCGCGGAGATGTCTGGATGGAAACTTCCTGCAACCTCATGTGGCGAATCACGACTCAGCTGCCAGGGCCGACCTACCTGAAGCCCGTCGCTACACGCCGCTCCCTTTTTCGCAGTATCTGCCCGCCGCCAGGTTTGCACAGCATCTTTGCTGCCAGCTGCCGGGGGAGGAAAACTCAGCCATACTCAGCCCAGAGTCCCGTCAAGGGACCCCAGCCCTGCTGTGCAGGCGCTCAACACTCAGATGTCCTTGTACTTCTGAATGGCTGATTTCACCTGACTGTACTGCAAAGAAGGCATCTTGCTTGAAGACTCCTCGCTTTCCGCTTCAGAAGGTCATGCGGGCAGGCGTGCGCACGAGAAGTAAGATAGGGCAGGAACCAATAGGCGTGATGGCGTGATTCGGCAAGAGCTCTTACGTATTGCTTTCAGAGTGCTTCTCTCTCGTGTGCTCGGGTGCCACGCCTGCTCCTGCTGATCCGCGGGGACCATGCAGATGCACTTATCCATGGTTCCGACCGGACCGCCGCAGCAAGGAAAGAAGGGCTTGATGGAGCCAGGTGCTTTTTCGGCCATCTCGTCCTCAATCTTCTTCTTGGCCTGCGTGAATGTGTGGAAAACACAACACGAAACTGCACTTTAAGGCTTCGACGCCAACAGCCCGGTCCTGCTCCTTCATGGCGTCACCCATACCACCCATCATGCTAGCCATTGCACCGAGGGGAGCTTCAGAAAGGAACTGGACGTGATCTGAGGTTACACAGCGCTGCGGGGAGATAGAGCACTCTCACAAACACTGAAGCAAAAGAGTGCTCATTGCCCAGGATTGCACGAGCAGCATATGTTTCTAAACATGGATAGTCTTCCTCTGGGATGGCGCTATTTTTTCCTTCCTGGTTCTGCTTCGAATTTTGGGACAGCACTTCGGAGTAACTTTGGCAAGCCCTGTACAGTTTGTGTCTGCTCTTTGTCAGGCTTCTGATGGAAAATGCGGGCAGCAAAACGGCCAACCCCCTTTTCCTGCTGAAAATTGCGGCCGTGGGCCTGTGCAAGTGCGAAGCCGCATCTGTAGCAATCAAAGGAGCAGGTTAGCAGGTCTGTACTTCCATCGCGTTTTGTAGGCTCAAGCTCGCCAAGGCCTCCAACATGCTCAAACGATGATGGAGACGTCACTTTGACTGCCTCCCACAGAGGCAGGGGCGGCTTGATTTTGGGGCGCAAGCGGGCTTCCAGCGGCCGTCCTGGCTTTAGGCTGTCCGTCATCATCCAGTCCAACACCCGAGCAGGTGACAGAAGCTTGCCTTAGGCGCACTCTCTTATGCAAGAGCAGCGACGTGAACGCATCTGTTGCCATGCCAATGGGCAGTAGTGGATGCCAGGATAAATCCTGCAAGCATCGGCTGTCATGACATGTCTGGCTATAGCTATTCCCTTTGCAAGGGTACGACTTGAACCAACACCATCCGCCATCCGACAAATTTGAGAGCCTTCCAACCCCCTCCAAGGCAATACCAGAGATGTCCTTGCATTGACATCGGTCAGCATGGACGGGGATTGTGCTGCCATACAGGTGCTGTTCTCCTTGAGGGCAAGCCTGGGCTGCTTCATCAAAGCTTTCATGCAAAACTGTCGAGTTTCCCAACAAGGCGTACCCGTGCTCATCTCCAAGCTGGCAGCCGATCCTTGAAGACCCAGACAGGTCCGGCCACAGACGGCGAGTCATCCAGGAAGCACCAGCCACGGCCCTTCTCGCGATATCGCCGCAGCGTGCTCTCAGCTGCGAGCCTCTGTGTTGCAAGGAGGTGAGATGCCATTTACTTGTCACTGAAGTCGGTGATTCGCTCTTCTTGCTTCTTTCCGCGATGTGATTACGACTAGTACGACTCGCAGCCGAAGGAATCCCGTGAATTGTGACACGAGTCTCGTCACCCAGACGTTCTTTGTTATGACCACCACTCGTAAACATGCTGCATCACATGGTGACGGCGGTATTGAGGATGATGGTGGCAACCATGACCATGATGATGACGATGATCATGATGATGATGATTGTATAGTGATGATGTTCAAGAGGAGGATGACGAGGATGATTCGAGTGGTGCAGAGGTGGCAGCAGCGACGACGACGATGATGATGATGATGGTGGCGATGATGGCAATGATGGTGATGATGAAAACGAAGATGATGATGGTGGTGGCGATGATGATGATGATGGTGATTCTCGTGATAGTCATGCTGGTGCTGGTCCTGGTGACGACGATGACGATGACGATGATGATGACGATGGTGATCATGATGGGGACGAGGAGGAGGCGAAGGAGGAGGCGGAGGAGGAGGAGGAGGAGGAGGAGGAGGAGGAGGAGGAGGAGGAGGACATGGCTGGTGCTGGCTGTGGTGGTGGTGGTATCATCTTAGCAGGCAAGACACTGTTCAGCTACTTGCACGGCGACTCGGTTCATCGCGGCGCAGGGTAACCGTCGATGCTCAGGGTGCGTCTGGCCGGAGACAACACAGGTGAAACCCCGCTGACAAAATAAGGGTGTTTTTATAAGTTTTGGAAGGGAAGTGACAAAGGCACAACTCTGGTTCCCAGTACTCCCTCATTGAATCGCAAAGTCTAGCTCGGCTCTGGTCAATACCACGTCACCAAACGGACATTCTCATGTTGAATCAAGCATTTGGTACTTGTCTTAGCTGGTGGCCTGAAGCTGCTGGGCAACGCGCTCTGCCGATAGCAACTTGCAACCTATCTCCTCGGCCGCCGTGATTTTGCCGGTGTTGCCTTATTGGGTTCAGCGTGGCTCACGAAGCCCTGACCAGCCTCTCTGCGTCTCACACTATCCCTTCTGCTTCTTCTTCTGCAGGACATAAGAAGAAAGGAGCAGCAGACGGCCCTCCCGGACAACCCCTCTCGACTGGCGCTGCAGCTTCTCAGCCCCCGAATTGTGTCCAACCCTCGGCTGCCCCCGATTGTCCCAAGCTCAACCACTCTCATCTGAAGGCGTGCCGGTGATTGGTATTCACATGCTGCCGCGATACTGATGTCGGGATAGTAGTTCGTGTGGCTGCACGATCGGACCAGAAGCTTCTTCCCCTCCACCTCATCGCTAATTTGGCTGCAAAGAAGCAGGGCAAAGAAGGGAAGGGCGGGGTTCCAAACGTGTGCAGGAGAATCCTTCTTTTCGCTGTCGCCGTGGCGGCTTTCCTGAGGACCCTGCAGTCCACGCCGGATGGCAGTGCTCCAGATTGGGAGACGAGACATGGAAGCCGTCTTGGACCTTCTAGTTACAAAGCGGTTGTGGAAGGCTTTGTGTTTTAGAATTTCGGATTCCAAGACTTCTGTAGAAGTTCGAGGACAGCTTGACCATAAACTTGTTCAGGGCTTCAGGAATGCTACAGGTGGTATTGCTGCAGGATGCTGCCTGCTCACACCTCTATTGCTCTTAACAGGCAGCATGGAAGAGCGATGCACACGCACACCTGCGGAATCTGTTCTCACGAGAATACCAGTGGTCATGCTGTAACTGCCCCTCGTGACTCTTTCGGGAACCGCGAACCACAGCCTGCAACCGCTGCGCATCCGCTGCACTGAGACCGGCCAGGACATGTTGAGCCCGGCTGCAGAAAGGGCTCGAGCCTGCCACAGTGCCAGGAATGCACAAAGCCGTTTCTGTTGACAGAGACTTTTGCACACGCAAGACGCTTTGCGCTGTCCAAGGGTGAAGTTTGTCGAACACACTGCACAGAAGGCTTGACGTAGGTTCATGGCATGCTTAAGACATGAACGTGAATATACTCAGTTAACCCGCTGCACACTCACATCCACTGCCATGCAGTGCAAAAGGCGAAAGCTTTCAAATGACCGTGCCCACCAATGGGTCGTGGTCGACTTGCGATACCTTAGCAAGCCTTAGCACTGATTCCACAGCTGAGGTTCTTCCAGAACGGTCCAAGCTGCAGGCGAGAGCACACCAGCGAGAACTGGAGCGAAGTGCGAGGCTCAACTCGCTCCAGTTGTCGCTCGTGGTCTCTGGCCAGTTGCTCGGCTACAAGGCCCGTGGCCAGATTGCATGCGGCAGAGGCCAGAGGCCCCACGGCCGCTTTCTTGGTCTCTCGAGCTTCACCCGGGGTGCACCCCCCGGCACTCTTGGAACCATCTCTTTAGGCTGTTCAGGAGCTGTTGCTCCTCTCCTGCTTCACAGCTCCGCAGTCCGAGGCCCTGGGAGCTCTGCCATCTCGGGGTGCGCCGCGAGTCTGACTTTTCAACACAGTAGTAAGGTCCTCCGGCACTTCTCCACCCGCCGACTGCGAGGTCACGTGCTCCTCAACCTGCTGGGTCGTCAAGGCTCTCGCTGCTGTGTCCTCGTCTTCTGAGACCTCAGCAGCGACAGTCCTGGACAGCACTTCCACGTGCATGCCACCTCGCAGGCCCATGTCCCTGAGCTCTCTCCGCTTCTCTTCTTGTGTAGCTTCACCGGCGTCCCGCCGTTCCGCCATGAGGCTAGATCCTTCTGCTGCTGCTACAGCTTGAGCAGTGCCAGGCTCAAGGCTCTGCGCAGTCGCAGACACCCCTCTTTCGTATTCCTAAGGCTAACTTGTCTCTTGCTCCCCGATCCCAAGAGTTTCGAGTAAATCCCAGGTCCACATGGTGATCAGCTGCCACGACATATGCACACAGACACCTCCATCGCTCCTGAGCCCAATCTGCCCAGATTTTTGAAAAAACCCAAGTGGAAACATGAGCTCTCAAAGTCGAAGCCTTCTGAGCTTACGTTGTGGTCCGCTGCCGTTCTTTCCAACTCTTGTGCCTGGCATGAGACAACTCGAGCTAACCGCGTCGTTCTCTCTTCATCTGCGCAAGCTCCTGGCTAGACTGCAAAACATGGTGGCTCTCGAGGGGCACCTCGAGGTAGGGACCCAACAAACCTTCCGTCCACTGGAGCTGGCTCTTCAGGAGCTCAAGGGCCTGACCAGAGCACGCTACATCACCCGGACCTGAAAGGGCAAGCTGCCTGATAGAGAGACTAAGCCTCGCACTGAAGCTTTTTTTGCTTCTGCTCCCTTCCAATGGAGTGCCAGAAAAGCGGAGACTGTCTCACCAATGGTGCCTCGGGTCCCCAGCGACACTGACTCAAGACCCCGGGCTGCACCACTAAAGCCCTTCTTGTCGCCACCGATGTCGCCACCGGCGGCTTCAGGGCCGAGCCACGCGTCGCCTCCTGCTGTCCCACCTGTTGTCACTGGTCGAATGCCGCCGGACCATGCACTCCGTGAACGAGTCAACGAGACGTGCCCACGGGACCTCTGCAAGAAGGTCCCCGGGCACATCAAAGCCGGGACAGAAGTCCGAGTGGTTCAGCTTCGGCAGCACCTCGGCTGTCCAGCCGTTGCACGTAACGCTACTCGTGAGACTTCCTTCCAAGGCTGCTGCGATCACTGGCTTGTCAGTGGCCGCAGCCTTCAAGCCCTTCTGTTGCCGAAGCTTCAGGAACTGATGCCACCACGTCGAGATTTTGCCCGGCCTCTGAGAAGTCTGCACAAGGGAGAATGCACCCAAACCACATCATGCGTTCAACGCGGTATGTAGACCTATGTTCCCGCATACCATTACTAGGACGACGACTACTACTCCTCCTGCGACTATGACTAACCACTGACTATTGGTACTGCTCCTACTGCCATTGCTGCTGCTAATGCCTTGCAAGGCCGCCGTCCAGCTCCACGTTCAGGCTCAGGACCTTAAAGCGCCGCCGCTTTCTGCCAGTTCTGACGAGAGACCTGCTTGTGAAGTGCACCGGCTGGCTGAGGACAAGAGCAGGCACCGGATAGCCGAGCAGGTCGTAGTCTCCTCCGAACTCAAATGGAAGTCTTCACACACAGCAATACTCGCCGATGCTACACAACGTCACCACGCCGCCATGCTCCTGTTTCATCCACGTAGCCTCCCATGACCACCATACCAGCGTAGGGACTCGAGCCCGAGTTGCTGGAGTTGTGGGCGTTGTAGGCCTTCAAAGCCACCGAGGCGTGGCAGGCCGGGAAGGAGTTGCAGAGATGAGGGGGCCCCCTCGAGCCTGGAAAAGCTTGTTTGCACAGGTGGCACCGAGGCTGTGCCCAGCCAGCCACAAATTTTCGGAGTCGTTCGTCCGATTCCAGCCCTGCTTCGCGGCGGCGGAGAGCGCCCCCTGCAAGTCGCGACATTTCGAGTCTGACGATGCTGTGCCTCTCCTCCGTCCAACTCTCCTCCACTGCCGAGTGCAGCGGGGAGCAGAGCCACGTCGCAGCACAGCTGATGATGCAGAGGTTTTGGAAGACGGTCGGCACCACCTGGCGATGGCATGTCACACCCAAACAACCTTTATTTCGCAACAGATCGATCGGCCCAAGAGTTCCGAGGCTCCTGCCAGCCACAGGCTCAAACCTTTCTCTGCGGCAGCGTCCTTGCGATGCTGCTTCCGTAACTCTCAAAACACAAACAAAAACACATCCTGCCTGAATTGCTTGGGCCGTCTGCTGGTAGTGGTGATTTGGCACATTCCCCCCTGGAATAATCACCTCGATCTCCAGGGCTCCAGCACTATGACTGAGGAGGTACCAGCGGAGTCTGAGCTGTCGTGACGAGGTTCCATCATCTTCTGTGACTTGCCAGCCTGCCGCAGGCAATTCGCAAAGGGGGACAAAGCCTCAGAGAGTCCTGCCTCCGCTTCTCCCGGCTTCAAGACGATGGGTTCATCCGCTTGCGCAAGGACACCCATCACCGCCAGCAGCAGACATCGCAACGGCCCGAAAGGTTGCATGGCACAGACGCCGAAGCACAAATGCAATGGGAGCAATGCAGCGCACCACGCAAAAATGCGCCAATGCAGGCAGTTTGTTTGGATCAGCACGGGGATTGTATGAGAGATGGGCTTCTGCGATATTTGGTGGCTCGCTTCTAACGTGACGTGTCAGGACACCCTGGTTTGCGGGCCGAAACCCTCTGACGATCGCAATTTGGGCCATACAGACTGAGAGACTTGGCCCAGGGACTACGCAAGGGAATGTGCTCAACGGCGGCTGAGGCAGACACGGAGCCGAGGGCGTTGCAGAAGGCACCTTGGCAGTGGCTCGATTGCCTTGCAGTCATAAGGACATGTCTTCCCTGCAAACCGCACCTCTTCAGGAAGACAAATGTCGAATGTTTGAAGGAATCTGCGCGATGCCTGACACTTGAAAGTCAGTGTCTTTCTAAACCGGCGGGTCAACCACCAGCCTCACCTAACAAAATCGACATCAACATCGCAGCAACGCGGGACATGCGCCTGCGGAGGCGTCATAGACAGCCACAAGGATGCGCCGTGCAGGGAACCATCAGGATCCAGCCAAACCTGCAAAGGCTACAGTGAGACATAGTGAGACACGGGGAGCGCATCATCCCGGCTTTGCATAAGCGGAAGCGTGTCGCCTCCTCGCCCAGAAGGGCACGTATGGCGTGGTCTGCCAGCACTGGAAAAACAGGTCCTGCCACATGGCTCGACCAAACTTGAAGACAGTCGGCCTGTCAACGGACAACCACTGTGGCTTGCACATCCATTGATGGAAGGCGCGCGAATGCATGTGAGGGACAGAGAAAACAACTTCTGACACAAGAAAACTTCCCAAGACTCAAGCAGGGACGCAAGAGCTGCTTGCTAGTGTTTGTGTCTTCCCCACCGCTGAGCAGGGTGGCCCGGAAAGACTTTGCCGAGAAATCCGAAGCAACTTGCCTGCACAACCAAGGAGGAGCTGCTGAAGAACCGCCAGCATTTTTCGCCATGTGGGACAAAGGGCAGCAAAGTCTCTTCCAACAGACCCTGCATTGGAGTAGGTAGCAATGGAGCAAGGTTAGCAACGTGCACGAGGGAAGCTCGCATTCGCCAGAACCAAATCTGATTCTACAAGGCTTGCAAAACACTGATCGGTGAGAAACATTGACTGCACATCAGGGATCAGGCAAGACTTCGTACGCACGGTGGCTCCTGACGGATCTTCTGCCTGCACTTCCTTGAACAAGCACGACAAGGTTCAACAAGAAGCAGCAGTCACAGTACCCCTCATCAGCTGCAGCACACCTCTGGAAGATGCGAAGCCGGTGATCTGCAAGGCCACTCAGAAGCAAGCACACCAGCCACTAAGCACTGCGTTCGATGCCTGTCTTCAGCCTGCGCCGCAGCATCCCGAGTGGATGTATCCTCTGCAGCTCCGAGAGCGAGAGCCAGGACGCGAGCAGAAACTCCGCCGCGTCCTTGGGAGCTTCCTTTGAGCTACGCCAAGCATGGCTCCAGGATAGGAAGCAATCGACGAGCATCAGCCGATCGTCCTGCGCGTAGAGTTTAGGCGGCCTGGTCTCACGGTTTAACGGGTGCCGGCCTTCACTCCCAGCGCGAGGCAGGACGCGGAGAGAAGCCGCTTCTTTGCCTCTGAAGTAGTTACACGCGACCAAGGACGTTCTGCGATCCACTCCGAGACCCTTCTCCTGCCTCGGCAGCCCTCTTTGCAGCAAGCTGGTCTGCGACCTTCGAGTACACAGATGCTCACAGAGCCCTATGGTTTGCTGAAACATCTGAGCGGGGACGGTATCCTGCTTTTCGGCAGTGCCGCCTGTCAGGCTCTCAGTGCCGCATGCAAGGCCCAGCAAACTTTGATGCTCCGCTCCGCCTGGAGTGCTGGTCGTACTGATGGCCTTAACGGCCTGAGAAAAGAAGCGGAGGACAGCGTACATCGGAGTTCGGCGATTTCTGCTGAATTTGTGCTTGCACCTCACTCAGCGCCCGCAACTGCTCCAGGATTTCCCGGTCCACCTCACGCAGTCCTGGAGATCGGCCAGGGCACTGAGGCTCGCTGATTTCGGTGTCCGCAAGGCCTTCGACTTGCGTTTCCTGGAGCCTCGCCTGCGTCAGAGCAAGGCGCTGCTTGAGACATCTGACCCAACCACAGAATGCGCATTGCTTGGTCTTCTTTGACTCTCATGGTGTGTTGCGCCAAATCAAGGGCCCTCTGTGAGAGTCTTCGACTGTCACCGGGCATGGCATGGGCGGCTTCTTCACACCGGGAGGCTAAGATTTGAACTATGTACAACGGCTGACCTGCACCTCGTATCTCACTGTCGACGGGAGATATTAAACTTGTCAGCTTAGCCACTCTTTGATCTCAGCTTTGGCGCGACGGTGCTCCTCTCCGCTTCAAATTCAGTTACTCGCAAGAAGGTCCCCTGCCACAGGAAGGCCCTTGGATGTCTCTGGGTCCTTGCACTTCTGGTTGTTAGCTTTGGCAGGCTTCTTCCTTCAATAGCGTCGTGAGTCATAAGCTGGCGAATGCATGAAGCACTGGGGCATAGCAAGATGCGCTTCTGAGTGATGGGCTTCTGCTGCTTCTGCAAGTTAGCTCGTGCCTGTATTGCGAAGCTCGCTGGTACAAAGAAGTTGCCATCGGTCTGCTGAGAAGGCACGCAACCACATAATGATGGGGCCTCTTTGGCTGTCTGGCGCTTGCGCACCCGCCGCCCGCCTGTGTCGACACCTTCACACTGTGGTGAGCTGACGATGTCGGAAGCAGTGACATTCTGCAACTTTCACGGATCAGTCACAGGTCTCGAGACATGCGTAAAGCAAGGTCTTCGAGCGACCAACTTCACAAAGTTGACTAATCTGCGCCAGGGAGGCTAACTTGCCCTGGCGCTGCCTCCTCCTTCACCAGGTGGTGGCTGCACACATTAAAAGCTATGCGGCAGGTTCGATGGTACAGCAAAAGCGGTCCTCGCTATCCTCGCCATCACTATCCTCATCTTCCCCTTTCGCCCTGACGGGAAGTGTGGCATTCAGCGTTGCCGAGTGCAGCACAAGTTCAGTCGGAAGGAGCAACTATGCAGCCCGGCCACTCATCACCTGGAGCCTGCGGCTCTGCCTGCTGCGCAGCCTCGCCTGCAACGGAGAAGAGAAACACCACCCGGCTCGGCCGAATCCTCCGTGACCACAGCGAGGCTGAGGTTGCTGCTGGCCGCCAGCACCTGTCCAGAAAAGAGCATCTCGCATCAGACCCCCCGCACGTTGTCTGCCGGCCTATGCCCTGTGCTCCCTTCAACGCTTCATTGATTAGGCTTAGCTTATGAACCCGCCGTGTGGAAAGGCCTCGTCCATTTTGCAGTCCTGGTGTCACAAGCAACAAGTACACGGCCAAGCGAGGCAAAAAGGATTGCAAAGCCCATCCTCTTCCAAAGCCTCTCTGCTTCCGGCAGCAAGGAGGTCTTGAAGCCCTTCCTGGCATCACGCTAGCACCCATCACCACTTTCTGCGCCTGCCTTAACCCGCCTCAACAGCTGGCCGAGCGGGGGGCTGGAAGGCCATTGCCTGAAGGATGGAAGTTCAATCAAATGAGCCGCAATCAGGGTCAAGGCGATGTTTGGAGTTTAGGGGCAGCTGCCTCCTTGACTTCGCCCGGTTGCTCCTCCACCTCCTCTTCGTCCTCTTCGTCCTCCTCGTCCTCCACGCCAGGGCAGGCCATAGCCATAGCAGGCCGAAAGCAGAGCACTTCCCTGTCAAGGCCTCCGCTCCGTCTTCGCGATGAGCTCGGCCTTGCTCGTGCGCGGCAACCTCCGGCGGGACACCAAAACACTAAGTGGAGACAGGGCCAACCGGGCCAACAGCAGCAGAGAAGTGAGGTCCCTGCCAGCAGAGCGTCTTCCTCCGCCTTGAAGCCCGTGACCTTGCTCTCCAAGTTCGACTTGTCTAATCAACGAGATCTGCTTGCTGAAGACGTGCGAGCCTTCAGGCCCCCAGAGACTTCCTCTTCTCGGTCATCCTGCAAGGCCTTCACAGGGCCAACATGGGCCAACAGTGCCGACAGCAGCCAACGGTAGCCCTCTTCGGAGGTACACTCCGATGATCTCCTATGTATCCTTGAGCACTTGGGATCAGTTGGTTTAGGGCACAAGGCATCCAATGCGCGGCTGTCCATCGGTACCGTTGCATCGCCCTCTCGCCCGCCTCCTGGAATGTCGGCCACTCTTGCACCTGCCATCAAAGACAAATAAATGCAAACCCGGGCCCTCTCATCCTCAGAATCACCAACAACGTCAGGCTGCACGCCTCGATGTTGAGCCGCTTCCGGAAGAACTCCACGATCTCAGCACTCTGCCGTGTATAAGGTCACTCAGGAACTCCGGAGGGACTTCAAGCTGAGACATCAGGCAGATCTGACATCTCTGTCAAAGAACTCCTGCAACGACGTAGTGGAGGGCATCAGAATATCAAGCGTCTCCGACCCCGGTCCTCTGCGTTTGGGTGGCTGTTGTTCACAATCTGGGGAAAGTCAATCAACGTGACTTTCTCGTCCTGGATCAGAAGCAACGAGGTGACTAGGTTCTCAAACCAACACATCGCTCACAGTCGAGAGTGCCTCATCCAGCATGAGGTTGAACTCATTGAAATCGCCGTGAACGATGCCAGCTCTCAGCAACCTGCTCAACCGAATCGCACTCCTGGAGACCTCGATTGCTGTGCGAGAATTGGCGCGAGCCTGACCACGAGCCTCATTAGGCGTTCCAACACCTCAGCTGAGAGAATCCAGCCCGCCCCACGTGGGTTTGGCCCGTCCGTGGCCCGTGCCTGGTTTGGATGTTGAAGCTGCCGCAGCTGGAACAAAGGCTTCGCATCGACCTGACACGCATCCGGGACACATCCGGCTGAGTGTCGCTCCGTTCGACTATGTCGTCCCGTTGACCTGAGGGCCTCACGAAAGACATCACCACAGCGTGGCGGTTTTGATCGATAGGAGTGGGAACAGGAAATCCCTCGTCCTGCGAACGTCAACAATTGACATACCCAGCAACTGGCATTCAAAGTCAGCAGTGCCAGCCAGTCCTTTAGAGCCTTCATGTAGGCGAACTCCTTGGCCGCGGCAAGCTTCGCCATGTACATCCAGGATGCATGGACTCGATGCCTCGGGGCAACATCTGTGTCTACCTCTCACTGCACCGCGCCCAGGGCCTCAAGTAGTCGCGCTTCTCCTTGATGGCTCGGAAACTGATTCGACCTTCGGAAACTTCGAGGCACAACCTACGGCCTGCGGCTGTGACGCTGTGGCCATGGCCAAGTCTGTGAAGCTTCAGGGCGACGAGCTCCCCGTCGGGTCCCTGCACCCACGACCACGACCGAAGGATGGCTTCCCGATGGACCCCTAGCGCGCCTGTGCGTAGTGAACATCAGACTCCTTCCCGACCTGGGGCATGCTTCAGTCCAGCTTGCATAACGGCAGCTTTCCCTGAATGGGTGAAGCGTGCACATCAGTGCCCGAGAGAAAGGAACGTCCTCAATCGCCTTGGTTCCTGAGCTTCCAGCGCCCAGCCTTCGACCGACTGCAGTGAGGGTGCCGCGAGCCGCCAGCGCCTCCCGAAGCAAAGCACTCAGCAGCTCCGGTCAGGTGCTCTTCACTGCGGCCCACCCTCAAGGCCAGGAAGTCGTAGCCGTGGTAGGTCAACCGCCACCCATCATAGCTCTGCCCTGGAAACTGGAAGGACGGCTGCAGAGCTTCCTCTCAGCGCAAGCTCTCAAATCTCAGTCCAAAGCCGTCGTGGCCCACCAGCCTGGGCTGCACTTCACTCGTGGCTTGCGCTTGCGCATCGCAAGAAGCGGATCAAAATCTGGGCTAGGCACTTGTTGCGGAGGAGATTCTGCAGAATCTTGTAGCAGCTGCTGCGATCTGGCTTCGCATCGTTCAAACCGGCGACACCGATTCGCAAAGCTCGTGGCATTTGTGCTTAGGAAGATGCTGATCTTCGCGATGCTCTCGACCAAAGGAGTTGGAACGTGCTCGTGGTTCCTGGCAGAAGATGAAACCGCCAGCACTCGGAGAGCTATGGCTGCCATCAGCCTCATTCCCATCTCAACCGCCGTGAGAACTCTGAACTCCTCCTTGGTGATGTACCGGAACATCGTCACCTCGGTACAGCTCACAGAAGGATGGGACCCACTTGTAACGATCTGCGAGGAATGGCTGCTCTGAGGCGGTTGCATCGAGCTTCATGGCTCCGACGCGGCTCCAGCTCCGAGCTACGGAAGCTTTTCAGGGGTGGGGGCCGCTTGGAAAGCCCGGGCTGGAAGATTCTCAACTGGCTTAGTCAGAAAGCCTGCAGACCGGATGAGACCGGATGCTGGGGGGAGTGAGGGGTGTTGCTCTGTATGCATCTACGGATGGTAGCTGTCGCCACGGGCTCTGCGGGGTTGTGCGATGATGTGCCGTGTGCTTCGTCCCCGTCTGAAGCTCCACAGATCGAGCCAAGAGCCGGCAGCGAGCGAAGACGCTGACGGCGGCGCTCTGAACCAAGGAGCAAAGGAGGATGCCGGGGGATGCAAAGGGATGGAGGGAAGGGAAGCTGTGGCCTCGGACCGGCGAGGCGACGGATCCACCCGCCTGCGGAGCCGCGGCCAAGCCCCGGAGTCAGAGCTGATTCTCCTTCCTCTTCCTGCCTTTCCCTGAGGTCCGGGCGGCGTCGATGTCAGCCCGGTCCAATTCGAGTCCCGTGGGCTCAGCCTGGCCAGGCTCAGCTGAGAAAAAACCGTGCATCGCGGTGTCTTGCCAACTGCAGCTGGAGCCACGGTCTTGAAGTGGCCTCGGCCACGGTAAAAATCCCTTCCCAAGCCCAAGACCGATGGGTTTTATATTCATTGCATATATTCGAGGTTCGGGCGTCCGGTAAGAGGGGCCGCGCCTGGGGCGGCTCCCCTGAAGACAAAGAGCAACTCGGCGAAACATTGCGAAACCACACCCTGCACTTCCCACACCTTGAAGCACGGCACCAAGTATGGGATGATGTCGAAGCCACGGCGAAATCGGCGCCGCGGTCCGAGGCCTCGGGAGGTAGTGCCCGGATGCGGCTCGAAAAACTCCTTCTGCTTGTGACCTGGGAGTGGCGCCCCGAAGGTGGGAACGAATCCTCCCAGCGCAGAGCTCGTGTTGACACTTACGCCGGCCCCATGCCCCGTTAGAAAAGCCGTCCTGTAAACTTCGGAGTGGTTCTTCCGCTCTCACCTAACACGTCCACTTCTGCAGGGAGGGCCGGAAGGCTGCTTTTTTTAGACACGGCCGGCCGCCGGCCTGCACAGGAGCGCGAGGCTCACTTGGGGGATCTGCTGTGACCTGCAGCGAGTCGCACACACGCAATTTGCACTGCGCTACAGGTATACGTCATTTGCACCTGCAAGAGTCTGCGGCCGGTGATCTGCAAGTTGTGCAGATCCACCGCCTCGAGGCAAGGCGAGCGAAAGCTGGAATACGCTTGAGTCAACGAGGCAGCGACCGTGGCCCGGAAGCTGCCACCCCGCGGCCACAGAGACACGGCCTCACTGCGGGATTGCAAAGCCAAGCTCACCACGTCCCACGGCTGTGCCGCGGCTGCGCCCCGTACGTCTTGTAGACGTGGCGGGCCTGCAGGCTCACAGACGTGGCCGGGGGGCCATGGTACTGCGCAACATCAGGCCTGCCAGTGCCAGTCTCTTGTGCACGTGGATGGGGTCTCCGTTCAGCGAGCTGTCCGTGAAGGCCTCACCTGGCTAGAGACATCAACTGGCATGACAGCGCCCCCCCCCCTATAGTGGCCCGCACCTGATGAGGTGCCGGTAAATGTCGAGTCGCTACCTATCGGGCACCGGCCAATTTAAGCGCCTTCGCTCGTGTGCCGATATGTGTGTTTTCTTGAGGCCCCTGCCGCTTCCACTGAATGACTCATATATTTCGTAATCGACTGCCCCATCGGAATGCCATGGCATCGCTTGTCTTCTTTCACAGGATTTTATTCATGCAGGGTCCTTGTCAGGCAACCTTGGCTGTAGCTTGTCACCTCAGACCTCACGGGAAATCCTCTTGTCATCTGCCAGACTCATTGAGCCGAAGCTGCGGACTCCAAGATTCCGATGTTCTACTGAGCTGTGTCGCATCTGGCATTGAAAACCCGCTGCCAGCACCAACGTCGGGACTTCGTAGGGCATCGGTTCTGCGACATGCCGTTGTCTGGGCAATTTTACTCTCGTGCCCGTGTCAGGCACACGGTGACCAGGCTGCACATGCTTCGTGGTACCCCTTGCAGTGTCTTTTGCAAGCTCTTTGCAAGGATCGCCTCAGTAAAGCGGATTCAAGTCTTCGTCCAACTTCATCAGGTTCGCAGGGGACCAGCAGCCCAGAGACTTCATGCCCATGTTTCCTGCAACGTCATGCGGACAACGGAACATCCACGTGGCGACACATGTTGTTCATCAGACGTGCTGATCTCTTCGTGGCCTTTCCGGAGACACACGCGGTCCTGCCAGAATAAGCCAAGCAGGGCACCATGGCGGAGCGGTGCAAGAGTTCACCAGCTAAGTGCGCCTTCGTCCCCGACGTCCCCGCAGAACAGACAACCTGCGAGCTGACATCCATCAGGCAGAATCTGCCCGAAGCACAGCCAACACGAGCTTGCCCGTGTTTGCGCCTGCGCGACTGTCCCAGCGATTTTGGCAGGCTTGGACTGCGGGAAGAAGCCTGCGCTGCATAACTCCGCATATTCTGGAAGGATGTGAGCGGCAAGCATGGCCATTTCTCCCGCGAGACCGGCCTACGCCCAGGACTTCCTGGGGCGTAGTCAGGCATTGAAAAAGTTACATCAGAAGCGCAGGCCGAGACATGGCTCATGACTCGATGCAAGGCTATAAATCCTTCAAACCACGAACTCTTCTCGGTGACCCGGCTTAAAGAAACCAGTATGCATCTGAAAAGTGATAGACTGATGTGAGTTCTGCCCAGCCACGAAGAGATGGCCGGCTGGGATCAACTTCTCGATGCTCACGATGTCGCCAAAAGCGAAGCCAAACGGTGGATCCACCTTGCCTCAAGTCAGCAAGGACGGACATGAAAGATACTGCCGAGCATCTCCTCTTCGCTCTTCTTGCTGGCTGGCTGCATTTGGGTGTCTGCCTGCAGTGCACAGGACAGCTGGACAAGTCAGGACGGGAATCGTGCGAGACAGGCGCGATCTGGGGAGCCCACGACAGTGGCCCGTCTTCCATCGGCTCTGAAACTTTGCTGATCGGCGGAGCGGCGTCAATCACGTCGCCTTGGATTGTGATCTGCTGCTGCTGATGCGGGGAGCCAGACTCGGGGAGGCATGCTGCAAACAAGTCGAGCCACCTGCGAAGCTCTTGTTCCTGCAGGACAAGCAGGCACGGGCACGGAGGCAGTGAAGGGCGCAGCGCAGCGCAGCCGTGCAGCGAAGCGGGGCGTGTTCGGGGCGAGTCTTCTCGGGCCTGAGCAACTCCGACTCGGAGACGCATCGGCACCCGCTACCCTTCACCTGCCGGCACTGCACCGCAAACTGCAGTAGTACAGAAGTGCTCAGAGCAGACAGAGAGAGGCAGACCACCCGCTGCAGTGACCCCCGCATCGACCCGCTCTGCCTCGGGGTCGTTGGGGCTGAACTTGCTCAGGGCGGCCCTGGCTCGCCACAAACTCCCTCAAAGCTCTTCCGAGAGCAGCAGAGCGAGAGCAGCAGAGCGCCTCTTTCCACAATTGAAGGACAAGTACTGCTCCTGGAAGGGATCTGCGTGTCTGCGTGTCTTCCCCTCTTGAGCTTCGCACAAGAACTGCAGGCGCCTTTTTGCACTTGCAGGCCTGCCAGCGGCGGAGGTAGGAAGCACCAAATGGATTGCAATCCTCCTTGATCACCTGCGGACGGCATCGCAAATGCCTCCATGGAATTCAGAGTTGGACGAATTCCACATCCGAGTCTCTGTTCGGGCGGATCTCGATTTTCCTGCTGCCAACTCCCTTGCTTTTGATACGCCAGGCCTGTCAGACAGGAGCCGACCAAGCTTGAAGCAACGAGGGCAGAGAGCAGGGCTCCGCTGCAGAATGCCAACATGCCCTTCGACTATGACGATGTTGCACCGAAACGCGGTGCTGTGCGCTCTTTCACCCGTCCTGGCACCTCGCTCGCTCATGTCCATGACCTTGGGAGATGGGGGTGCCACAAAATCATGCAAAGGAATCTTGCACCTCGGAGGTTCCTCTCGGCATTCTCTCTGGAATATTCTTTCTGGGGTTGAAACCATGCAGCGGCAGTTCGCTACGATCGCGGTCCTCCCGTATCCATCATCCTGGGTGCATGCAGGACGAGAACCGTCGGAACGGCAACGAATGCCGGCCGGACTGATTGAAGTGAGCTCAGGCGGCAGAGTGAAGCTACGCCAAGTTTGGGGAAGACTGCCAGTCGTTCCATGGACTCTTGCAAGGGTGGCTGGCGCCTCGACGGGCAGGCGAGTAACATCGAATTTCCGTTCCTCGGCTCAGCATCCGGTCCGCATCGGAGGCACAGTGCGCAAGACAAACTGTCTGCTACATCCCATTTCATCTTCGTCATCTCCTCGTGTGCCTGCGGCCTTCGACATGGCTTTGACGCAACGTGCCAGCCGAGACACTCCCGCTTGCTCCCCACATTCCTCAGAGAGCACGGACTCCTCGCCGGTACACTTGCACCTGATACGCTGCGCTCTTCACATACTGCTGTGAAAGTTTTGATGAAGCACCGCTACTCGCTACTGGATGTGTGGTATTCACAGGTGGCCTGCAAAGCTCCGCCTCCCGTTCTTTTCTTCCGTGCTAGGCTCCCGGGCTTCGCTGTGAAGTGAATTCCCTCCCGGGATCGAGCGCCTCCCACAGGGGCATCCGGACAAGCTCTGAAACTCCTCATGCTCACCGTCTTTTTCTGCGCCCTCTTCAGATCCTCAGGGTTTGTGGTCTAGGGCAGAAGGAAGAAAGGAATTTTACGGAGTCAATGAACAACCTCAACGGCCATACGGGGTTGTTTTCACGCTCCCTGGGTTTGGGAGTTTAAAGCCGAAGGAACAAATGAATGTTTAAGAAGGCAAAAGCAGCCTAATCGAGCGTACCTGTTTTTTCACGACAGTCTAAAGCCCACGGAACAAACGAATAAAGATACATAAAAACAGAGAGACCGAAAGACTGAAAGACAGAGATACAAAATTAATTGGAAAGACAAAGAGGGTGACAGAGGGAAGCACAGAGAGAGAGAGAGAGAGAGAGACAGAAAGAGACAAAACGAGAGACGCAGGAAACCCAGCGGGACGAGGGAAAGCAGAGGTGATAGAAAGAATACAAAGAGAGAAAGAGAAACAGAGAAACACAGCGACATACAGACAGAGTGACAGACAGAGAGACCGAAAGACCGAGAGACAGGGAGGGGAGAGGAAACGCAGAAAGGACAAAGCGTGAGCTTGGAGAAGTCTGCCAAAAGCCACCGAGCCGAGAGCCTTCGGGAGGCCCGCGAGAGGAGCACAAGAAAAGCCGCTCGAAAGGGACCAGAGATGTTGTGAACAGCCGTAGAACTTGCGAAAAAAAGGACAAAGCGCTCAAAAAATGCGGAATTTGTGGCAGGGAGCCAACCGCTCGAAAGAGACCAGAGAAAGAACGAGGAGCAAGCCGCTCGAGAGCGACTATGTAGAGAATTTGAGAACAGGGAGCAAAACCGCTCGAAAGAGACTTGAGAATTTGAGAACAAGGCGCAAACTGCTCGAAAGGGACTAGAAAACTTGAGGACGCCAGGAGCGAACCGCTCCAAAGAGATTAGAAAAATTGAGAACACCTGAGAACAAGGAACGAATCGCTCGAAAGAGACTAGAGAATTTTACAGCAAAAAGCAAACCGCTCGAAAGAGACGAAAGAATTTCAGAACACGCTCGAATGAGACTAGAGAATTTGAGAAAAAGAGACTGGAGGTTTTGAAGCAATTGAGCAAACCGCTCGAAGGGGACAGAAAAGGAAGCAAACAATTGAAAAAGATTAGAGCAGATGAGAACAAGGAGCAAACCTCCCAAAGAAACTAGAGATACTACCGCTCGAAAGCGACTAGAGATGTTGAGCAGACGGAGCAAACCACTCGACAGAGACTAGCGAATTTGAGAACAAGTAGCAAACCGCTCGAAAGGGTCCTAGAGAATTTCAGAACAAGGAGCTAACCGCTCGAACAAGGGTTGAGACTTTGAACAAGAAGAGCAAACCAAGCGAAAGAACTGGAGAATTTGAGAGCAAGGAGCAAACCGCTTGAAAGAGAATAGAGAATTTGAGAACAAGGATCAAACCGCTCGAAGAGACTAGACAATTTGAGAACAGACGCGGGCATTTGAGAAAACGGAGCGAACCGCTCGAAAGAGACTGGGGAACTTGAGAATACAAGGACAAACCATGCGAAAGAGACCAGAGAATTAGAGAAAACGAGCAAGCTGTTTGAACACGACTAGTGGAATTGAAAACAAGGAGCAAACCAAGCGAAAGAGACTTGAGACTTTGAGAAAAAAGAGCAAACCGCTCGAAACGGACTAGGCAGTTTGAAAAACATAGCACACCGCCCGAAAGAGACTACAGAGTTTATGAATAAGGAGCAAACCGCTCCAAAAACGCTGGAGAGGTTGCAAACACCAGTGCAAACCTCTCGAAAAGGGCTAGAACATTTGAGAGCACGGGAGCAAAATTTTCGGCTACAGAATTTGATAACAAGGAGAAAACCGCTCGAAAAAGACTAGAGATTTGAGAACAAGGATGAAACCGCTCCAAAGGAACAGATAAAGGAGCAGACCGTTCGAAAGAGACTAGAGAATTAAATTGCGAACAAGGAGCAAACGGCTTGCAAGTAACTAGACGATTTGAGATCAAGGAGCAAACCGCTCAAGAAGGACTTGGGAAAAAGAAACCAACCGCTCGAAAGCATACCAAACGAAGGAGACGGAGCAAACCGCTCGAAACGGCAGGAGTAGATCAGTTCTAAAACAAGGAGTAACCGCTCTAGGGAGCCCGCAAACGGCAGCGACTCCGCGAAGGAAGGGGCGAAAGCCCGCGAACGGCAGAGAGCCCAGGGCGGGAAGCCCACGAAGGGCTAAGGCCAGGAAGCCCGCGAAAACCAGGGAGCCAGTGAAGGGCAGGAAGGTGGAAGGCTGTAAAGGGCACGAAGCCCGCGAACGGCCGCAAGGGCGGAAGCCTGAGCCCTGGAAAGGTGTGAAAGTGAGCGAACTCTGCATAACCCTGCGAATTCGAATGACACTGCTTGGAGGAAAAACAAGCAACAGAAAGGATACATAAGCGCAGAAACACGCGCGCGATACCGACACGTCTGAATGAAGCCTTGTCCAGGAGTAAACAACGAACTTGAGTGACCTGTCAAGGTGCTTTCTGCCCTCCTCGAGGCTTCAGTTGTTCCTCCTTCCTCAGCGATTTTGTCGATTTTGTCGGTTGCGACCCCAGGATGCCAAGTCCTCGAAGCCGTTGTGGCAGCGGAGGAGGGATGCAAGCGTCCACACGCCCTACGGAAGAGGACAACCCGAAAGGGAGGGCCTAAACCCTACAACGAAGGGGCGGGCAAGAGAGCTAGCCGACGCCCATCAGGGCGGCATGGAGCCGCCGAGCGGCCTCCGCTGAGGCCTGGACAGCCTTGTACTCCCAAGCGCAATGCCTCTGCAGCATGAGCTGGAACGCCTCACGTCTCGACCCGTGGAGTCGACTCTTGCACTTTCTGGAAACAAGCTTGTCAACCTGATCATTCAGAGCGCTTTGGAGATCAGGGTGCGCACCCTCCCAAGGGATCCATCTGGCCGAGATCTTGCCATGGGATGGTATCCAATGCAAGTGAACCTGAGTGCCCTGAGAGACCAAGGCATTACGGAAAGCAGCAACTTCCCTGACCAAGAGCGGCAGCGCGCCTCCAGCCTCGGGACTCGATCGCAGAGCTGTGATTGCCGACTCGCAGTCGCACAAGACGTGCAAGTCCAGGAGGGCTGCAGTCCTGCAGGCAAGCACAACACGGAAAAGGATCTCGAGGCTCAGGAGCTCCATCTTGAAAGACCCTTGATCCTCATCCGATGACCCACAAGCAACTTGCACCTCGGTGCCGTGCAAAATGAAGCCATACGCACCGATGTTGGCCTCACTACTTCCGTCAGTGGCAGCAACAACAGTGTGGTCATGTAGCACAAGACCTTCAGCAGTGTCGCTGACAAGCTCTTCATTTGCAAAAGCAAACGGCGCCGGAGGCTCCTCACACGACTCAACTGCCATGAGCCGGTCCTGGCAGCGCGTGAGGGGCATTGCAATACTTCGCCTAAGATCGGCAGTGTCCGGGCAAACCCAAGTCCGATGAGCCCGAGACGGAGCAAGTAACCCACACGTACAGGCACGAGAGCTGACATCGGTCAGATTCAGCTTCTTGCCACAATGCCAAATGGAGCCACCCGTGGCAAAGGAGGCGCGTTTGCTCTCAATGTCATGGGCCTCTTTCCAGGCTTGCCGATGGCCAAGGGCCCTCACGAAGGAAGCGGCAGGCGGCCCAGGAAGGTCCAAGCCTTGGGCAAGCCCCTCGCCCTCACGTCGAAGTGAACGATTCACTCGAGCACACTTAGTGAGGGCAGCACGGCGGTGGTGCAACAGCAGCCACTCCCGAAGAACGTGCTCCCCGTCGAACCCTATCCTAAAGGATCTAGTGACGCCACCGCCGTCGATCCTGTTGATGCAACCGCCATCAGGGGTGACGGTCCATTGCAGCTTGGAAAGAAGGGCAGCTGCACAAGGCAAGGCCTCATGCCAAGGCACAGCGAGCTCATCCAAGGGCAAGTGCTCGTGCCACTCATATCTCAAGCAATGCATCCGGATCCCCGCTAGTAGGGTCGCGCGGTCATAACAAAAGGCAGGGCTCGTCTTCCACTCGAAGATCTCATGAAAGAGAGCAGGAGGAGCCTCACGGGTGAGGATGGCCCGCAGGCTCGACTTGATGGGCTCCATCAGGCTGTGCACCTCATCCTTGGAGGGACCAGCGTACCCGGCAGCCCACAGGAAGGGCGAGTAGCACAAGCAATGCAGGTGCTGCAAGGTCTGCACAGGCCGGCCCGTGACAGCACCGACATAGCGTAGCCGAACCAAGATGCGCTCAAAGCTGAGTCTGGCGAGCTCCTTAGGGCAGTCGACGTCGAAAGGGTGCGTGACCCCCAGCAAAGAAAGCTTGTCACAGCACTCGTACCCTAAGCTAGCAGCAAGCGCCTCCGCCGGACCCGAGCCGATCACAGAAGACTTCCGAGGGTCACAAGACAAAGCAAAGGCCTGGTCGAAACGCCTGGAATAACCCAACGCGCCCCGAAGGCTGCTGCATTGCTGCTCGGCAGAACCCCTGACAGCAAGGAGGGTGCGATCGTCCTGAAAGGTCAAAGGGATGACACCGTGGGGCTGCACCGTCAGAGCCCAGACCTGCATCACAGCCGCCCCAACGAGCGGAGACAGTGGACACCCCTGAATGAGGCCACAAGAGGCCTGAAACCATTGCTGGTCGCAGCAGCCCTGAACCGTGAGCATACGCTGCTGGCGGTTGTAGAAGGATTGAAACACGTGCAGCGCCACGCGCGGGATGCCAAAGTGTTCTAAAACCCTCGAAGCCAGAGGAACATGGATGGAATCAAAGAACCTCCGCAAGTCCTCCTGCACGGCCACGCGCGTGCCGCGGCGCAGTGCATGATGAACTCGTCTATGCACATCCGCAACACTGCGCTTGGGCAAGCCTCCAAAAGCAGTAGCGCCAGCCCAGGCGTCAGACCAAGGCTTCAGGCCTAAGCAAAGGCACCTCGCGCCGCAGCGCCAAGCAAGGCAGGCGAGACCTATTGGCCTATAGCCACCCGATGCCTTCGGAATCAGAGACACTCCGATGCGCTTCCAACTGGAAGGGATCTCTCCTTGCGAAAGGATGTTTGCCCACAGGCCGGCAAATCCTGTCCACCACGCGTCAGGCAGACGAAGGAGCTGTTCAGCAGTGAACCCATCACAGCCCCCTTTACGGCCAAGCATTTTCCTCATCGACCGTCGGAGCGCCGCTGACGACAAGTCAAAGGAGCAATCAGGGACGTTGATGCTCGGCAGGGAGCCCAAAAGAGCATCAACCTGGTGCTCACGGGCCTCCTGGTCCTCAACGGCCGTCCAGAGGCGCCGCCACTGAGGACCCTCATGCTCAAGTACAGCTTGCGGTAAGACCGCAGTGTGACGCGCAACCTCAGGCCCCACAGCGCCAGCGTCACGCTGAAGACAAAGCTCAGTCCTCTGCTTGATCCACTGCCTCTGACGAGACATGTCATCCTTGCAACGCAGCTTCCAAGCTTTAAGGCGGCAGTCGCGCAACTCCTGCTCACGCGCCCGCAGCACTTCAAGGACGTCACTGGCAGCACTGCCAAAGTCACACAACCCTTCACGAAGGTGGCCCAACGAAGGAAAGGGGTCACACATCTGTGCCACGTTGCGTCGCAAGACAGCCAGCAATGAGGCATGACAACCATGGCGATGTGCGTGACACAAGCGTCGGTGCAAACGGCGCAGTCTGCGAACGTCAAGCGGCTCACTAGCGGCAGCCGCCTTGTGAGTGACACGCTCCCGTCGGCGCGGCTCCCAATCACAGTGACGCCGAGAGTCCTCCAAGGGCGTATCCGTGAGAGCATGGTCAGCATAAGAAGCCAAGACCTCCCATTGACCCTCAACGGTGTCAGCACAAGCGAAGGCATGCGTAAAGGCCTCAGACAGGAAAGCAGCGCACACGTCAGGGGCAGTGTGGCGCACCGGCGCCGGGTAGCAAGGAGGCTGGAGCGGAGGCTTGACAGCCCACTGATCCACATCGTACCACACGCCACAATGGTCAGCAGTGCCCTCAAAAGTGCAAGCGCGAGAGGCTCGGATGCTTGCACTGGCAACAGCATAATCAATGCAACGGGTATTGCCAGGTCCCGTGGGAGGAGGCCGGCCCGACCTGCAGTCATCCAGCTCGTAAAACAAGCCCTGAGCCAGTGCCCAAGAGACCGGGGCCTCCAAGGCGAGGAACTGGAAGTCACCGGCAATGACAAAAGGAAGGCCAAAGGGTGCCAGGTCAGCACACGTGGTGCGCAGCAATGCGTGGGTGTCCCCAGTGTTGCCTGCGTACCCGTAAAAGCCAACGAAGAGGAACTTGAAGAAGGAATCCCCACAATTCACCTCGAAGAGGGCAGCAGCTGTCCTGGCATCAGTCGGGCTCAGCCGCCTTCATAGGCACTCGCGAGACAATGGCAGAACGGGCGCGGGCCGCACCCGGAGTGGGTACCACAGCATGCCACCCCTTGGAAGTCCAGAACTTGACAAAGCTAAGGCGATTTTCCTCGTTGAGGTCAACCTCCTGCAAAGCACACATGTCAATGGCCTCATGAACAAGCTTATCGAAGATGGGCTGGCAAAACGAGCCGCCCCCATTGCCCACGTTCATGGTGCTCAGTCGGAGGAATGCTTACGGGAAAGATCCAGGGACTCGCCTCGCAGGGCACGCTTGCATCGGACCAGGATAGCCTCAAAGTCGACCGATGCGAGCCTATCAATGGCCTGCAACCGGCTCCACAAAAGATCGGAATCCGAAGATGCCCGGTCCGGCCTGGAGCCCGAGCAACGGTGCTGGGCTGTCTCGTACTTGTGCCGGTAACAGTGCAGACAAGTGTTGCAGCGCCACGCCCTTGTAACAGTGATGCCACCTCGGCTCGGAGACCACTTGGGCCACAAGAATGTGGTGTATCCCGAGCCCGGTTCAAGGATTTGCCCCGCCTGATGGCCCTTCCCGTGGGCACTCGGCCCGCACGCTTTCGAATCAACGAGTACCAGCGCTTCACAGGAACATGTTTGTGCCGAGCCAAGCGATGCTTACGGCACGAGGCACAACGCGCAGGACCCGTAGCAAGGTTCCACGCGTCAGCAAAAAAACCCTCGTCACAACAAGGGCATACCCAGCCAAACGATTGCCCAGGCTCAAGCTCATCGACCCGACGCGTGCAGAGAAGGGTGTCAGCGAAGCGAGGCGCCCCAACCTGGAAGCACCCGTTGTGGACACGTTGGTTGTGGTTCCACCTGACCTTCGAAATCTTGGACTGAGGACCTATGACGACTAGGGTGCAGCCCGGGGCTGGACATTCCCACCTTTTGGGCTCCAGCGGCACGGCATTCCGCCGCTGCTTTTTGACTGGTGCAGCATCACAATCCTCAAGGCCAATGTCATCAAGCTGGGGAGGATGACCGTCGCAGCCACCAACGAGACCTGCCAGGTTGGCCCAGGGTCGCGACTTGCACCTAAGCCGTTTACGAGCGGGCCTAACAGTCACACGCTCAATCACAGAAGCCTCGCAGGACCCATTAGCCAAAACCATTCCCTTGCAGCATGCGAAGGTCAGCAGGCGAGGGCCAGGCCTTCGGGGCCCGACTGGAGGCGCCTGCCGAGTAGTCCGAAATCCGAGGGGCCGCAGACCTTTTGCCAATGATGCGGCGGCGCTGCGACACAGTCTCACCCCGCCCAACGGCATCGAGCTTCGGGGCAACAGTAGATGCTGCAGCGCCTGGGCATGAGCCGTCAACAGAAGCACCCTCAGCCGCACCTGTCGCCGGCCAGGGCCCACTCAAGCAAACAAAGGCCTCAGTCACACACACATCACCCTCGGCATAGCAAAGGTACTCAAAGGCAGCATGAATGAGCTGCAGTTGGTGCTCTGTCCATGGGCATACCTCGGGATCAGAAATGAGCACGCCAATCTCAGCCGAGATGGAGTCAACGAGCGCACTCCAACAACCCTGTGCCAGTGAGAGGTCACCTGCCGCAGTTTGCAGAGTTTGCACCAAAGACGCCAAGTCAGGAGCGGGGCTAAGCTCAAAAAGAGCGGCACAGACTCGCACATAGAGGACCCTAAAATCAGGGAATCGCACCTCAGTCGGGTCACATCTGACCTCAGCGTTGTCAGCCGCCTTAGTGCAATCGCCTAGAGACGCAGGGCCTGAGGACACAGGAGCCAACAAGCAATCAACAGAAGCTTCGGAGGCACACTCAGAGAGGCTAGGGAGGCGAGCTCCATTGGCTGCAGATGTGCCGGCACCCTCACGCGAGGAGCAACAGGAATTGCACTCCGAGATGGCCGGGGCATGGCACAGAAAGGGAGCAGCACCTAGCAGGTCAGCCTTAGGGCCAGGGGTCCTAGCCGAGGACGCAGAAGCGCAGTCAGAGAGGGAGCACCAAGGAGTGCCGGCAGGGGCACTGGGACTCAGGTCCTCACGTGAACGGTCAGAAGCGCACTCGGACAGGGTAAGGAGTCGGCGCTCGGCCGGTTTCGAAAGTGGTGCCAACTCGCAGGTGGCAGGAAAACAGCTGCTAGGCCCTGCCAACGTGTCAAGGCCACCGCCGCGCAAGAGCTGGTCGTGAGAGAAGCACTTGCCTCCAAGCTCGGCATAACGATCCTGCAAATGCTTCTCAATGAAATCCCGATAGCATTTGTAATGCTGAGCATCAGCATCGAAGTGCAGAGCAAAGCTGCCTTTGGTCCCGTCTGGGTTGAGCAAGTGAAGCTCGTTGGCGCGATGATCAACGACCCAGCCGCGCACGTCAGCGCCGCGCGCAAAAGCTGCGATCTCGAGCATTCCTCCCCACGACGAGTTGTGGGACTGTTCCTCCAGGAATTGCTCCCATGTGCATGCTGCTGTCCTTCCAGAACAATTAAAACTCCCACCGTTGGTCCAAAGGAGCTGAAAGTCAGATTCATAAAAGAGCAACAGCTGATGCACCCACCGTCTTATTTGCCGATGCGACCGATTTTTGCCATCAACGCAGGCATCTGCCAATGCATGATATACGCAGTTGCCCTGTCCCTCATTGTCATGCAAGGAAGCATTGAGCTGCCAGTAGGGTGATTCCTCACCCTCACCATCCACCTCAGCAGTATCATCACTAGCAGGGCGCTTGACTCCCGGACCGCCCCTCTCGCTCGAGACAGCCTCAATGTTTGGAGGCACCGCTTGGTGACTCGTGCCTTCCGCTGGCGTTGAGTCTCCTTCGGCCCCGGAGGCGCAGAGATCAGGTCTGCAAATTGCACAGTACGAGCGGTCGGCAGCGGGGTCAGTTGGACCTGTTTGGGGCGCCGCGCACCTTCCCTGATCACGATGAATTCGGTCTCCTCCTCATCGTCTGGGTCCCAGAAGAGAGGCCGCTGAAGAATGGAGACATTGTCGGCCCGAATTGCCTTGAAGAGCCAGTCAGCGCCGCCTTTCGCGCGGTGTTTGGAGATGATCTCGACGCTGCTGAACTCAAGCTCCTCCAAAAGAGATTCGATATGTTCGGGTTGCCAATGGAGCGGTATGGCTTTGGCACGTCACAACACAGGACGGGACTTATAAGAAGGATCATCCGGGGACAGTCGTAGGCCAAGCTGCCGACCAAGGACAAGTCCATGCTTTGATTGCTGTTGCACTCTTTTCAGATAGGCACCATAGTTCTCGGAGTCTTCCCACGAAATCCAGTGGATGCGGTATTCCTTACGTTCCATTTCAGCTCGCTCGCCAAGAAAGTTGACAAATGCAGTCACGCCAGCGGCCGTCGCACCAGAATGTTGCCAGAGAGTCTTGGCAGTGGCCGCAGTGGCCACGCGCATGAGGCCGCGAATCTTGCCATCACCCTCAGCCTGCCATCCCCAAGTGTCAAGAAGCGAGTTCTGTGAGACGTTAAGACCCGCAGCCCACAACCGACCGAAGTGCCCAGGTCGCTTCTGCAGCTCCTCCCATCGCGTGCAAAAGTCACGCTGGAAAGTGACACGAACAACCTCGCTGACAGCGCGCTGCACCTGCACCTTAGGCGGCCTCAGCTTAGGCTTCAATGTTGACGTAGCACGAGTGCTGAGGGTGGCAGCCGAACTCCCAACAGAGAGCACCCACATGCGACGCAAGAGAAGGCGGCCCGAATGCCGGCACGGCACGCCTAAGAGATGCGCCCCATCAGCCCAGTCGCCTAAGGAGTCACCGTGGCCATCAAAGACGACAGTGAGCGAATGCAAAGTTTCATCATCAGCAGCAGCTCTGACAAGATCAACGGCCTCTTCTGCCTCGCTCGGATTCGAAGTAAAGAAGCACCATGCCACACCATCAGATTGATCTAATTCATGTGCCAGTTCCTGAACATCCGACACCCATCCAACAGCCTGTGGAGCCGGCGCAGTCCAGAGCTCCTTGGAAAGAGCCCACTCCCCGCCAGAGGAGCCAGAGGCAGCTCCATCCTTGGGCTTGGGCGCACGGGCCTTGCGCAGCTCAACATGCCTAGACTGATCATGAGTCTTAGGTCCGCCAAGATCGCGAGCAATAGGCTCTCTCCAAGGAGTCACAGCAGACACAGCCGCTCCTTGACGCCATGTAGTAGGCTCCCACCATCCGGAGTCCGGGTTCGACCATCCTCGCTCCTGCCACTGAGAACCATGACCACGGGAGCTCGGTCCTTCATCCCCGTTGCCCTCAGCACTCGGGTCCCACCACCCTTGCTGAGGATCCTGATTGTGCCAAGGGGCAGAGGCAGCTCCATTGGCCCAAGTGCCTCCACCAAGCTCCTGAAGAAGACCCTTGAGAACATCCCGACAAAGTTTTCGCACATCACCTTTGGTGATTGGTTTCGACAAGACGTCTCTGAGCGGCCTGAGCACCAGGCCCCGGGTGGCGAGCCTCCCCAAATCGAACACCTGCCATGGGGCTTCTTCGAAAACGATCAGAGAGGATTTCGCGAACACCCGTATCGGTGAGGAAGGGCCCTGCAGTAAAGTCAGCAAGAGCACCCCCAAAATTGTGCACGATGGCACAGGCACCGCTGTCATAGAAAAGGGGCATATCTGTACCGTTGCCCACCACAGGCCTGCTATGAGCCCACGGAAGAAAAGAATCCTCGCCAGCAAAAGCGTCACAATGCGCACCAGCAGGAAAACCAAAATTGGATCCCATGCCCGAACACCAAAGGCCCATCAGAGCATAGGGCAGCCAGCCACCAGGTCGTAGGAGCCGCCTTGGACGATGGTGTCGCAGAGCGCAAGGTTGCTTCACGCCATGGCTGGCACTCGGCGAGGCATCGGGACGGGGGAGCCCTTCAGGGCTAACTTCAAAGTCAGGGCAAAAAGCCTCTTTGGCCCTCAGGCTCTTCGTGCTTCCTTCTCTCGGTCCTTGGGTCCAGTTCCCTTTCCATCTGCCTCGCAGGCTCTTATCCATTTCTTGAAATTCTCTTCCAGGTTCTAGGGTCCTGGCCCGCAAAGGCACGGCAACGCGCTGGGGATGGCAAGTGGAAGGAACCCTGCCACCTAAAGAACACACCGGCTATGCAATCCCCCACGCTCAGCCGGAAGCATTAGCAGTGGCTGCCGCAACAGCCGAAGAGCAGCCGAAGACTGCATGGAACTAAAATTCTTGACCTGTCTGTACCGAGGTCTGGCCCATCGAACTCTGCGAAAACCCACCCTGCGGGCGGAGAAAGCAACACAGTCCCTCACAAGAGTCCTCAGGAGAGTTTTCAGAGCACGTCGCCACCCAAAGCGACGTAGAGGACGAGGAGGGCGAGGACCCCAAAGGTAGAGTTGTTCTCGCCGCAGCCTTCGTTGAGCACGCGAAAGCCATTGCCGCTCGCGACGGCCACGGCCCACTGCTGTTGCACCTCCTTTGGCGCATAGTTTGCGAGGAAAGACGCCCCAGCTTCCCCGCTGAAGTAGGAACCCAGCAAAGATCCCGAAGCAACCCCAGAGCAGGGTCATGCCGGATCTTCGTCCAATCATGTAGAACTCACCCAACCAGGCAAGCACCAAGTAGCACCAGCCAAAATGGCCAATGTAGATCTTCACATGCCCAAAGGTCAGATGGCACGCCACTTGCAAACCCAAGCAAAGGCACACCACCGCCAGGTAGGACATCTTCGCACCCCCGGAGGGGCCCGCTACACCCTTGTCCGTCGTGGGACTGGAGGTGATGTCGCTGTAGCCTCCTTCCTCAGCGGCCACCTAAAGCCCCCGCAGGGCCCAAGCCAACCCCGTTGTGGCAGGGGGAGGGCATTCTTTAAGACCTCCAGGTGACAAGGGGTGCACGAGTCGACCTTTAAAAGCTCGTCGTTGGCTGAAGAGAGATTTTATCTCATCTCGGGCCTGAGGAATCTCGATCCGGGCGCTAATGGGCCACTGCAAGCCCTGTCCGCTGAGGGGAAGGCTTTTTTTGGTCATGGATACGTGGCGAGGCAAAAGAAAAACCCGTGCGTGGGAGAGAAGGCGTTGTAGATCCTGTCCACGTTGGTGGAGATACAAATAAGATCCTGGACTGGGCGGAGAGCTTGCTTCGGACTCTGTCCATGTATGCTCGAGAAGCTGTTGAGCACCGGGCCTACCCAGGGCAGAGAAAAAGCCTTTCCGAGAGTACCCAATAAAATCTACGGCGACCAAAAAATCCCAGCCCCTAGCTAATTGGATCTGATTAGAGATTGGCAGCTGTGGACTTGGTGCTTCAAGCAGGCGAGGCGGCCTTTCACCAAGGTGCTGCACATGTGGTATCCGGCGGCATCGGTTCGAACGCCAGACCGAACGGCTTGACCTCTCGGGACGGGAGAACGGCAGCAACGAGACTCCAAACATCCGTGCGTGCGAACCACTGGTTAACAATGTTAAGGGGGGCAACCACCCTACCAGTATGGCCCTACGCCTAGTCCTCCAGCTCTCCCTCACTCCAACCTGGCTGGGCGAAGCCAAAAAGTACCAAGAAGGCACTGGTTCGGCACCTCAGCTTGGGCATCATGTCCCACTGGCTCAGAGGAATCAACAAAAATAAGGTCCGGACAGTGAGAGTCGCATGCCGCAAAATCAAAATGTGATGCGCAAACAACGCTGTATTGAAGCTGACAAAAGTCGCCGACGCGTGAGGGCAGTGAAAACAAGCAAGGCAGCACATGTTGGCAGTTTGCCATCTCCGTAGTGCCCTCACTACTGCAGCAGACACTCAATTTTCCGGTCTTCGCCTGGCTGCAGCGGTGCACGCCGCCCAGCCGAAGCGCGCCGTGCTAACAACCAATACCTGTCGGGACGAAGTTTGCAGCGCGACAGGGTGGCATCGACCGTGAGGAGCAGAATTTGGGACTCCCTGGACCTTCGAAGATCTTAGTTGGTCTTCGGCCTCCAAACTGCGGACGTAGAGGTAGAGCAGCCCCGACAAGCAGAAGGAGCCCAGCAAGACAACCTCGGACTACTCCTTTCCGTGCAGAAAACCTGTGGCGTCTGGTCTCTTTGAGGGCGTGGCCAGCGCGTCCGTCCTCAGTTCGGAGTCGGAGTCGGACCCTTTTGCTGTGGCTTTCGCTGTGGGCACGGGCAGGAAGAGATCCCAGGAAAACTCGGCGTGGTTCGGCCGAAGGAAGCCTGGGCTGAGCTTGGTCGCCAGGGCCCTGGGCCTGTTTCCGTTTCTGAGAACGGGGCCGAAGACGAGCTCGAGTACCTGTGCTGCTGTGCTGCTGTTGCGCTCAGCGGAGGTCAAGGACCAGTTGGCACATCTAGAACGCCGGGACGGAAGGCCTCACCGTGAACTAAAACTAGGGTCGGCGAGCTTTGTGGTAATGGAACGACAGTGGCTCCAGTTTGTTCCCCATTCCCGCAGACCTCGTGTTACAAAAGCTTCGAGTCTATCGCGATCTTCACCATCCTTCTCAGGAGAACTCAAGAATTGTGATCATGCATTTCGAGGCTGACTGCGCCTGTGGTCCACATGCACTTTGACTTGCACTGTCATGTTTTGGCGCTAATACCATGCAAATCTGTGCTGCTGCCTGTGCCGTTGGTTTACTTGCTGCTGCAACCAATTTTCCCCTTTCTTGCAGATATAGCTACAATCTACGTACAATGTTCATCCAATGTTCATCATTGGCAGCACTGTTGCTGTTTTCCGTTGCTGTGCCATTTCTCCTCGTCTGCACACCTTCACCTCCGCTCCTTGCATCGGGAGTTTCGGGATCGGCTTTAGCACACAGACCCCAAGTTACGTCAAGTCGTGTGGATGCAGGCTCACGCGAACGTGCACGGCACAGACTCCGAAGCAGAGGCGATCGAGCATGAAAAGCCTGCAAGGCATAGCTTTGTGCCGACCTACACAGAGCCGCACGGACTCAGACTCGGAGCAGCACCACTTGGGAGCAGGAGCACGCGATGCGGGGCCTTCTAGGTCCCGTGCGCCCGAGTCAAAACAAGAAGCTTCTCAAAAGAGACAAGGAAGAGATTCTAATGCCTAAGGCTCTAAGGTCAAGGCAAGCGCAGAATGCTGCTAGGGAGAAGCCCAACCTCTCAAAGCGACACACGCATTGCCAGACCCAAACCCAGCTGCAACTAGTAAGCTAGTGCACACAGCATCTGAGTTCTCAGCATGAGGTGGCTAAGCAGGTACCATGGCAACTTTCCAACTTGGCGGGGTGCGCCTTGCACCTGGCACCGACTACGCTGTGAACTGGTTTGATAGTGCGTGGTAGTGGCGCATGCATCCCCATCAGCCTTGAGCACAGCAATATTAATTTTTGCACTTCTCGCCTCCATACCGACTGCAACTGCAATCCCGGCCACAGACACTCCAACCTGAATCAATGTGTGCCTTGCTGCAAAGCTCCAATCGGCTCTGCATCTCCGAGTCTCGAGCCCGAAATGCCTTTTTTGCCGGGGAAGGAGACTGAGACAACCTGTCTTCGACGCTTCGGAACTTTGCTCAAGGGCCCAAACTCTCACTGATCCGAAGGCACGGGGCCTGGCCCAAAGGATGATGGCCGCCACCACAACCTCATCCCCCATCTTCTCGCTTTGTGGCTTTCAGGGCCCTCGCTCCTCGCTTCCGAGCCCGGGACGCTGTCGCCGGGCCTCGCAGCTCTTGCTCCAGAAGTAGGAGTGAAGGAGGAAGCTTTCCCACGATCTCCCATTTTGGGGTAGCGGCAAATCCAAGTAGGGTGTGACCGGCGACGGCACCTCAGCCGTGAGATCTTGATGCGGCTGGGGGGCAGGAATTGTGCCTCTGCTTTGCTCCTGGCGCAAGGGCCGTCAATACGCCCTTGCTCGTCCAAGCACTGATCCAAGGACCTGCTGTTACGAGGAGGGTCGAGCCATCTCCACTGTGTTGTCTGGCCTCGTCACCACGAAGAACCAAGCAAGGAGCCCTAGCCAGACCTTTCAAGAGGAATGGGCTGACTTCACTACATCGATGGAATTTGCCCAAGTCGTGCACGGCCGTCCGAAGCGGGCGAGAGCTGCTCTCGAGACCTCACCAGCGACACGCGATTAATTGACATGTGTTGCACATGTGGGCACAGCTGTGCACTGGCAGATCTCGAATGCCCACGCCTGACAGCAGCAGGACCAGCGCTGCAGACCTCACCATGTCCTGGTGAAGGATGGAGTGTGCGAGTCGGCAGATTGCGAGTGACCACAAAACAAAGAGTCATACGGAAGCATCAGAGATCACCGCAAGCTACTGCCAACAGCTTCTTGAGCTGGTGGTCCGGTCATGCTACTACGGTTGAAAATTGGTGGAAAATCCCGGCAACCCTCCTGCTCCACGAAGGAGCCAGCGAAGTCCAATGGAGGGAACGCCTCTGCAACAATTAGTTTTTGGAAAACCGGCTCTGCCAACTCAGCCCGCTGCCAGAAGCGCATCCTTGACTCCGAAGAGTGGCGTGCACACATGATGAGTACCTGGCAGGTTTACGACATCGAAAACTGGAGCCGAACGAACTTGCACATCGACCAGCTGAGGTGCGAACAGCGTCGAGCCTGACAGGAAAGCAGCCCACCAGTGCAAGCGGTGAAGTTAGCGCGCAGCTAGGTGCAGCCACCCGCGCTGCCACAGGTCACAGAGGGCCTGGCCTCCTCGGCTGTCCAACTGCAAAGGCGGTCATCCAGCCGTGGCTGGATACCCAGCCTCAGCATAAATCTGTCTCGCCCCACGGCGTCTCGTCGCTGCCAGGTCTCCAGCAGAAAAGGAGCGACAGGAATCCTGGCAGGCACAGATCACCACAGGTCAGGGACTCCGCTACCACGCCTTCGAAGTCCGCCACAAAGTAGTGCTCGCGAGCTGAGGCCTGACGAAGGCGTGCACAGTAGCCTTGCGCAAGAGAACATGTACCCCCGGGCCAGTCTCTCGACAGCTTGAAGCAGCAATCTGCAGACCTGCTGGTGCGAGCCGTAGCCACTTCCTCCCAAGCCTGCAAAGGGCTCCGAAGAGAGGAGAGGGGCAGGGTGAGCTTGGGGCGCAGATGCTCGTCTTGAAGTTTGGTCGGCCTGTTAACCTAAATCTTGCTTAACTTGGGCAGCTTGCAAGCCCGAGATATCGCAGCCAGCCGTACTGTCCGTAAGCGCATCAAAGTTTTGCGTGACTTGCATAGCTGAACAACCTGTAAAACCGGACTCGGGTCTGAGGCAAAGGTTCCAGCCTTTGGCCAAGAGTCTGCAGCTTCCAACTGTCCCACCTGCGAGACGCCAAAAGGCGAACTGAAACTCCAACTCCTTCGATACTTGTAGCCTGAGGACCTTGCCCCCCGCGAAGAAGAAGCGCGGCCTCCAACGCAGGCGTGAACGGCATAGGACCGGCTTGGAGCCCGCAAGAGACTGGAGGCTCGCGCTGACAGTCCAGCAAAGACCGGGTCATGGAGCATGCCGCAGGCCCATGTGCAGAAGTTCTTGAGGCCTTGGAAACCGAGCGATTCAAGCATCGGGCAGAGAGGTGAAACGAGTCTAGCAAGGGCCGCACCCGGAGGCAGTCCCGATGCGTAGATTGGGAAACTCGCGAGATGAAACACCTCAACATTCGACCAGGTGCCAGGTTTGGCCTGTGGTGCGGCGATGTCGCAGCGACATCAAACTTGCGGACGAAGCAGCCACCAGGCAAAGCGTCGCCATCAGACGCAGCGCTGCCGGCTGCCACGAGACCGTGGGTTCCGAGGCCTGTGCCCCGCCCTAAACGAAAAACACTGACAGCAGCTGCTCAGTCGCTACTGCGAATGTTGGACCAGTGTGCGCCTGGACGCCTCCTACCGAGCAGTCAAGAAGACCTCCATGGCAGGTAACATCAGGAACCAGAAAGATCAGCTGTGTGTGCCCGTCTGTACCTAGGCCACAGAGCGACCCTGCCAGCATCGGCCTGACCACAGCGACCGCATCTGCCATCATGATTTTGCCGTCTCTCGTGATCTGGGCCCCACGACGGAAGCAATGCAAGCCAGGCCTGCGGAAAGCTGCAAGGTTTGCCGCCCCCCACAGCTAGAGCAGTTTGCTGACTTGCTGTGGTGGAAATGCTCCAGCCTGTGACAGTGGGAGTGGGAGTTCCAGATCTTGGGTCCACCTCGGCAGACGCTTCCCGTCCAGGCAGCTCACGCCACGCTTCGCCACTATGCTGTCGGCTGTCTACAAAGCGTTCATGTGGCTTTCTGAAGTCCGCTCCACAGGACTGCAGCTCGCAGAACCCCATGGCCGAGGCAGGCACTCGCTTAGCTCAAGGCGACACCTTACACAACGACTGCGAGGTCTGCTCGGCAAGTGCCGGGAGACTTCATGAGGCGAGCACCAGTCCGACCCACTGGAAGAGGCGAAGAGTCTCCGCAGGAAGGGCTTTGCAATCTTGGCGTCAACCTCGCTTCTGCGATCGCCTGCTATCAGTGGCAGGATGCAACATCCTCACCTGTGCTGACAGGAGGCTATCGGCACTGAAGCCCAAGCTCGAGCAACTTCGCGGAAGGCAAAAGCCGAAGACCTGCTTGCATCACAGGAAGAACAAGCTCGTGCTTGCCCCGGGTGCAGCTACGAAGACTTCTGGGTTGCTTGCAAATGTCTTTGGCGGCGCCACATGGTGGAAGGAGAGCTCGCCAAACCAGAAACCTGAAGAGATGCTTCATCAGTATCTCTACTCATTTTGAGATCCCAACCATATCAACTATATGTTACCGAGAGTTCACAGGATCATTTGCGGCGTTCAGACACAGGACAATCCTTGAGGCAGGAAGCTGAGACCCACACGATGCCCCAACGACCAGCATAGCCTTTACTTGCGCGACACACCGTTTAGGGCCGCGACGGCAGAAAATTTAGATGAACGTAAACCTGTGGCCTCCGGTTTGTCTATGTCAGGACCCTACGGCACTGGGAAAACAAGAGCACCTTAGATCAGACCTTCGACTTCCATCGACAAACGACACAGGGCACCCTTGGAGACTTCAGTGACTGACCTGCGGGACCTTGGACCTTGCAGTTGCTCTTTAGGAATTGCAGGCATCTCGAGGCTGTTTGGACTCCGAAGGAATTGCATTCGGTCTCGGGACTTCCGGCGAGCCGTGCACTCGGCCCAGCCTGGGGTTACCCCTGTCCGGCGCCACCACCGAAGGCCTGGCATGGACATTGAAGCTCAAGCTCTGACAGCAGCGTTCAGCAGAGAGGGCTCAGGCAGGCTTCGTGCTACGGGTGACAAGGCCCATGTGCTCCGCCAACAGTCTGCCCGCTGCTCTCTTTCCGGCACGGAACCAGGTCAAGGCCGCAATGACGCAGTCTGACTGGAAAGCTCTTGGAATATCGGATCTGTCCAGAACCTGGCATGGAACGAACTGTGCGTTGGGCTGAGATCACGAACGCCCGCAAAGAGGCCAGGGCGACTGCTCGTGGCACGCTTCCTCTGCCTCCCAAGAGCAGAAATTGAAGTAGATAGCCTAAGCACAACAGCGTGTGAAACGGGCTAGTTTCAGGGCCAGAGGTAAGGCAGCCTCCTCGCGAGCTGCATCCTCGTGGAGCTTCGCTCCCAGCGGCCCAACAGCCGGGCCTGGACGTCACAATGGCAAAGGCGGCAACGGGGTGGCGGCGGCTCTGGATCGCAAGAGCTGAAACAGAAGCCGCAGTAAAACTCGCTTTGCTTAAAGACCTGCGACGTTGCTGTGTGCCAGAGTTGAACATCTTGGAAGTTGGACTAAACTAAAGGGGCAGCTTCTGCCGGGCCCTCCAGACGACATCTGGCCTGCACCAGTTATGCCCGCTGTGGGAGAGCTTTCAAGGTCCTTAGCAGGAAGTCTCGATGAGCGATCAAGTAGAGTGACGACAGATGTAGAGAATGTACGAAACTGTGGGAAGGAACGCTTGGCCAAGAAAGAAGCTGGGAGGTGGCAATTGAGGGAAGCAACACGGGAAGGAACTGCGCGTGGTCCCAACAGGACATTGGCGCTACATTTGCTAGTACTGAGTTGAAGGCAAGTCTCTTACTGTCATCAGGCACCACCGAGATGTCCTGCAATTCAGTACGCTCAGAGTGATCCAGGGTGTCGCAATCTCAAACGTATTGGATGCCCAGGTAGCTGTTCTGTGTATTAGGACTAAGACCTCGATCCATGACACCTGCGCACTGACGCCTCCATTTACACTCACCGCCTGTCTTTCTCAAGGATTCCCGTATTCGCTCGCCAATCCCTCATAACACAAAGCACCGGCAGATCCAAAGCATTTCTTCCAAAGTCAAGTCCGGCGTGCTAAGGTCCTCTTCGTTTCCAACCACTGCCTGAAGCAATCCACGGAAGCTGGCAATCTCTATAGGGAATTCAAGATGCTCGGGCTGCGACAGCATCTATCCAGAGCAACGCCCCGAAGGGCACCCGCTCCCCGTCGGCGAGGCTCCAGATGCTATATGCCTGGCAACCACCAAGACCCGTGATGCCGGCTCTACAGGCATCAAACCATCCGACCTTTGCGCCCGGCTCTTCAGGAGCACGCAGTGGGAGAGCTATTCGCAAGGTACTGCCCACAGGCACCTGCTCAGTTCAAAGCAGCCTTCGTCCTTCATCGCAGGCATTGCACCGCATCCTACCTCCTGCAGTCGGAGACCAGCAGGGCCTCCCATGGTGTGCCCGTCGCGCAACGACAGCACCTGGGCCGCACGTGCGCTGCATTGCTGCTATGCCCGAACCCCATCGGCGCATGACATGCTGGAGTGATCTTAAGCATTCGCCAAGCGACGGTTCCGGGTGGCCAGGGTCTGCTGCCAGTGTTAGCTGCCAGCCACAAGAACATCTCAAAAAATCTCAACAATGCTGTCGTTTCAGTGCTGGCTCGAGAATCTTGCAGGCTGTCGACGGGTGCATATTGTTCTGACGACATCGGGTTTGCCTACTTCCGGCCTATGACGACGTGAACCTCGAAGTCTTCTCCTGGCCTTCGCTGGACATACCTGGGAAAACGCGGCACAAGCCCAGGGCCCAGGTTGGACGGGAACCCTGTGGGCCAGTGAGCGCCAGTGAGCTGCTGAGCGTTGGGCTCTGTCTCCGCTGGCTCCTCGCGAGACCCAGGCACGTGGCCACTCGCGAAAACCCAGCGCAAAATCTGCTCTCGCTGAGGCTGTGACTCCGCAGGACAGAGCTGGTGGACCGCCAGCGATGCTGGCCGGTCGAACAAACCAGGGCTGCTTGTGCCTTCCAGACTTCCAGAACACACATTCCGATCTTCGCGACGGCCATACTCTGCCGAGACGCTGCCGGCAAGCACTGGGATCCAGCCTTTGCAAAGGGTGGCCGTGGTCGTGTCTTGCCGGTGCCCCGATGACTCGGAAGGGCCAGGGGCCCGGCAGGCCATGGTCTGCCCCGTCGATCCACACGGCAGCTGGGGCGGGAAGAGAGTGAAATGAAGCAGAAGTTACAGTTGCAGGCAGTGATAGGAAGCGGCCATTGGCAGGTTCCGTTGGTGATCGGCCTGTGTCCAAACCACTGCGCTCTTGCCGCCAGTCCATCCTCGCAAGCTTTTCTGTCCAAGTTTAGTAGACGTTGAAAGACTCAGGCTCAGGGCAGGACCAGGCTCGCAACTCTGACGGCACCGGAGGTGTTCGCAGCGAGCCATACGGGCCTTGAGTAGACGCCCGTCCCCACGCGCTGGGAGGAGATCCAACAGCGTTCTCTTCCCGCCTAGCAAGGAGCCACCACGCACGAACTTGGCCATGAAGATCTTCGGAGTATCGGCACTCTCGGTGGTGCAGGACCTTGAATTGCACCAGGCGTAATCAGCCAAGGAAGCAGGTGAATGTCAGCACCAGCGGTCAAACAATCGTTTCAGAACAGCGTTCTGAGTGGGTGTTACAGCCAGCACCTGTCTCAGAAGCGAGCGCATGAATTGAGCGCATGTTGACCTGCACTGAGAACGGTCTCTCCGACCACTTACCAGCGTCCGCACGTCCCGACACGTACGAGCGAGGAGGGTTTACAACAAGAACCGCCTTGCTGTCACCCAGCAGGTGGTAGTAGAGAAGGGCGTCCCCCTGGCCTCACGCGTCGAGGCACGGGGAAAACCTCTGAGGAACCTCTGCCCCTTGAGTTTTCTGGCGGAGCCGCAAGGGAGCCTTGACAGGGGGGGTAGCTGACCATGTATGCTGACAACGCTCAGGGTGGCCTTGCGACACACCTCCGCCAAAGCTTCGTCCAAAAAGCCTCTCGCCGCTTCCAAGTTGCAGTCCACACAGAATAGGAAAACCTGATCCTGAGACAGCAACCCAAGGACTTGAAATTTCGTCCCGTCCCGCTGCCACGCCACGGCAGCTCGTTTCCCTGCGAGGCAACGGGTGCCAAAGCAATTAGGTCATGGATTGAAACTTCAGTTGTCGCTTGCATTTCTGCGCAAGAACACTTGAGAAAGACATTATCCACAGGAACCAAAAAGCCAGGTCAATGGTGAAGGCGGCCTCATGCGACAGCTTCTCTATGAGAGTCTCATCCTGTCCACGGGGCCGTCACGTGCACAAGCATCTGGAAAGGCATGGCAGGACAACTTCAGCTCCTCGGCAAGCGCATGCGCTGCAGGCCTCAGCCAGCACGGGCGTTCCGACTGGGCAGGTTCGGCGAGTGATCTGGACCAGGCCATTTTGCCAAAGGGAAAGCCACGCCCACAGGGTCGTCCCGCAACCTGACTAGCACCTGTCATCCATCGGGCTCAAACATGCCAGACTCTTTCAGCCCACACAGCATTCTGGGGGTCCGTTCCGTTGCGACGCGCACCGGGAACTGGAAATGATGGTACGTATCCATGTGAAGATCTTGCCCTGCATTTCACGCATGACACATTGAGCCTTGAGGGTATCGGCAGCCCCTTCGCTCTCGCGCTCCCCGACCTCGACGGGACTTGTCCCAGTTGAAGAGCCAGGCTTCCTCCACCTGGTCCTCGCACATGCAGCAACAAGTTGTGGTAGTACCTTTGACGACTACTCATGACAGCATCAAGATGAGAGTGGGCAGGATGAGAGCACTACACCCTGCACATGGGGTCGCTCGTTGGGGACCCTTTAGATACGGCATGGCTTAGATCGTGTCCAGTGCCAAGAACCTGGGAGCGATAGGGGATTCGTGCAAACTGGGAAGCGACAAAGCATGCAGGAGTGTCTCTGTTGTGGCTTGCTGCCATCTGCCACCGGAGGTGGTCGTTAGCGAGGTTCAAATCAACAGCTCCAGCCAAAGTGCCCTCAGCACCAAGCCAGTTTTCGAACCGTCCGTGCTGTCTGGACTGCAGGCGAAGTCGAACCATTAAAGTAAGTGAAACATCACCGGAATCCACAATTATCTCCGAGTGCTAATGAAGTACTGGAAACTTACTGGCAATTAGTCCTCGTCTCCCGTGAGTCTACGGGCACTCACGTGAGCTACGAGTAGTACCCTCTGCGTCTGTTGTACACTGAAGAGCTACGCGAGAACCGGTCAGATTCGGCAGTACAGAGTCACGCCTCCCGAACACCAACCGTCGAAGCAATCCGCTCGTGAACATTTACCATGGCCTGGGCTGTGCGATGCATTGTCCACGCTTCAAGCAACTAGTCTCGCCGCTTCGCCCTTCTTCGCTGCGCCTGGCTTGCGAAGACACGACGATCCGATTGGAAGTCGCAGCGGTCACCTTGGAAGCACCGCCGCTCTGGGTATGGTCCAGCGCAGAACTGCTTCGAACTGGAGTTGTCAACAAGGAACTCCATCCACTCGTTGCCCGAGGGCACCGCCAGCCGCTGGAGTGGACTCGCAGAACGACGCCGGGAATCGCCGCATCTCAGGTCGGAAGGATTTACACCCCAGCACGACATGGATCTAGGAAGGCATACTTTCCCATTCCCACTACACCAGCAGCAACTTCTTGAATTTCGATCGCTCTCGGGACTTCGCGGTGGTCGTAGTGCTGGGACTGCAGACGACTCTGAGGGCTGCACGCAACGCTGAAACGCTGGCGAGCTGGTGTCGTTGACGTGACCTGGGGGCCGCATACGGTCGCATCTGACTGGTCTCAGACACAGGCTGAGCTACAGGTCGTCGTCATGCTTAGCACAGGGCGCACGAATTCCGGGATCAATTCCACTTCCTGAAGCTGGAGCAGCTGGAGCTGCTGGGGCAGCTTGCAGATGCTTTCAGCAGGTACGGTAATCTACGGTACTGGCGTCGGCTGAGGGCAAGCACATAATCTCGCAGAAGCCTCTCCGCCTCTCCAGTGGAGACGAAACCGCGCCTCCCACAGCAGATGGGTACCGGCTTGAACGCATCAGCCCCAACATGCCGGCTGCACAGGAGAAAGATCGGCGGATCAGTGGAGAGAAGATCCAGTCCCCCGGACCTTGCACCCGCGACGAGGCACGATGCTCTTGACCTACTGGACTCTCTTTTCACGAAGCTTTGGAAACCCGGCCACGTGGGGAAGGGAAGGCTGGCATTCTCTGGGCCGAAAAGCCTCGCAGATTCAAAGGGTCGAGACTGCCCTGTCCGCCCAGCAAGGCACGGGCTGGATGCTATCGGCAGCGACAAGACGCGTGGCGACGAAGATCCTGCTCAAGGTCACGATGAAGATCAAGCACGCTACTTGTGCAGCATAACAAACTTCAGATCAGCGCGAGACCATCCGCAAATCTCATGGCCACTGTGGTAGTAGTCTGCCTTTCCTACCCATAGGACACAGCTCACTGGGCACCTCCACCCCAGAACGCCCATCGGAAAGATCAACCCGGTTCACCATTCCGCCGCAGCGACCATGCGCTTGCACAATAATGCCATGTTGATATTGAGAACTTTCTTATGACGGAAAGGGCTGGATGCTATCGTCTGCCGTGTGAGGAGGGACCAAGAATACCCATAGTCGGTGTTTGGAAACACAAAGTGAGTCAACAATGTACATGAACTGCTGACAGGCTGACAGGATTCCCGCAGATGCTACCAGTATCTTGAGACGACTGTGACAACAGATGCAGGAACTGTGGCAAAACGACCACGGGCTACGATCTGAGCTGCGTGTGTAAAGGCATTCAAGTTTCTCCTGGAAAAGCTTTGAGAGTACGGAACCACGTCAAAGCTCACATTGGGAGATCATCTCCAGGCTGAGCGAGGTGTGTCTACATGAGACCTGCTCTCCGCAATGGCTTTCTCTTGAGATGATGCTGGGACATGCAACGTACATGTAAAGCGGCAAAAGCCGCAAAGCCATGACGGTGGTGCCCACTTGCCTCTTGGAGGCGCGAGCACGAGATGCCAGAAAGCAGAGGGCCGCTTGCTTAGGGGCCTTGCATCGACCTGTAAGTTGCTGCGAGGGAAGGTCAAGAGACAAACAGAAAGAGACGGGACTCAAACATGTGGAGCAGAGCAGCGCAAGAGAGAGACAGGGACGACGAACAGACAGAGGAAGAGAACGGAAGCTCTGTACAGTGATACCGGGGCATGACCGGTGCATGCTCCGAAAAAGAAGGCACAGAGGAGTGGCAGCGACTCTTGGAGTAGCAGCGCATCTTGCATCGCACAGATCACTAGCGACCTGTTTTGCAATTCGATATAGAAATACATCTCGCTTTGTCTTTCATGGGGAACCGTCGTCTGCAACCGTTGCTGGCTGGGCGACTTAAAAGCACCATCATGGGAGAGACAAGTTTTGCATGATCTCCAATGATGGTTCCGGAGAAGGGCCGCACAGAGACTTGAAATCCTGATTTTGCGACCCTTCGAAGCGTTCGCACGCACTCTTCCTCTTAAGTCGTTCCGAAGCCGTTTTTGAAGCTCAGAGGGTCAAGGACGGGGCCGCGGCTTCCGACTCCGCCGAGGCGGCGGCAGCTCTGGCGGCGTCGGCAGCCTTGGCCTCCTCGGCCTCCTCCCGCTCCGCCTCGTCGTCGCCCGCTTCGATCTCCAGCTCCTCTAAAAAAGGGGAAGGAATCTGCTGAGAACGAAGGAATCGAAGAAAAAACACTCCTTCTTTTTTGACCTAGAGCAGATCTTTCCATGCTACCTTTCGCCGCACCCCACGGAAGCAGGCGCTCCTCCTTCTCCAAGCCAACGATTGCGGAGGATTCGCGCGACAGCATCACCTTGCCCCAGCGGAGCCAGGAAAAGAGCCGTGTGACCAGCCACTGGCCAAGCAGCGCCGCGGCTGAGATTCCCAAGCCAATTGCAAACCAAACAATGACAACAATGCCATGCGGTTGTGTGTGTAGGTCGGGGTTTGCAGAAACCAAGCTCAGTCCTGGCAGGTGCCGGTCACTTCCGCTTCTAGAACCAAATCACTCACCATGCTAAAGGCCAGCGCGACAATGTAAGCTCACAATCCGGACAAGGCCCATATGCCTTATGCGACTTATAACAGACAACCAATGTGAAAGGCCGAGCCTGTATGCCACAGTGCTGCAACGGGTAGGATCATGAGGCCAAACAAATTCTGGCTGGCATGGGCCAGCCGGTTGTCGGTGGGAAAGCCGCGACGTCTTACCATCAGCAGCTTTGGCAGCCGACTATGCAGGTCCAGCTGGCGAGCCAGCATCTGGAAGATCACTCCAATGGGATTGATGGGAGCAAACCTTGAAAGCCAATCTTAACTTTCAGCAGTTCTGTCGCTACTTTGCTATCTTCCGGCTCGACCCCACTTAAAGCCGCTGTTCCTGATCCTGTTTCGAGGAGTCTCTAGGCTCACAGCAGAAGACTTTCTCACCATAAGTCCGGCGCACTGACGTGCACCTCTATTTTCTTCTGCTTGGAAGAGCCGCTGCAGATTGCATCCATGTTGGCTTTCTGTCTCCCTCTCCTTCTCCCTCACACTCGCAACAAGGAAGGAGAAACCTCTGTTCTGATGCAAGCCTGGCACAAGACCATAACCAAGAAATTGAGCTTCAAAAGTTTCAGCTCGTCCAGAGGATCCATAGGGCGCAGAAGCCGCTGGTCCAAGGGGCCAAAGAGTCCACCAATCGTCGTGGCACCCTGGGGATGGTCCTTATCCGTCAAGTAGAGCATCTCTTTTGCCTCTTTCGCATCGCCGCCATCCTCGCCCACTTCCAGTTCCTGAGGCGGACAACAAAAACCCGAGACGCCTGTTGGGTTGTCGGGAACCTCTTTCGACATCGGCCTCCACGTTTTCCTGGATGATTTTCGGAGCTTTGAAAGGGAATCCCCTCCAGATATACGGGAGGCCAAGCACTGCTCCATCCAATAAGAAAATGAAGGCGACGAGCCTCCCCAGTCCTTGTCATGATCACAAACCTTGAACACTTGGACTTTCGAGTCGCTAAGAGCTAACACCGAAAGCTGCACGCAGCTCATGAGAGCGCAGGTCCTCGCAGGAATCCACAGCAGCATGCACAGATGCAACATACCCGCCGGGGTTGATCTTTATCTTTGTCGGCATCATCGTCCAAATCACGATCCAGCTCGCAGTGCACATGAATCAAGTAGGCCTCATCCGCGCTAAGAGCGAGAAAGCGGAAGACACAAGCAATGCGACCTACGTTGAAGCTTCTCAGGCCCAGACCAACAGCGGAACTATGAACAACATGAGAATCTCCACGAAAGGGGCGACCACGAAGAGACCACCAAGCCACGCCTCAAATACCTCGCGTCTCCTTAGCCGGCTCTGCATGACGACGACAACGACACTGATGCTGGTGGCTACGTTGATGGAGGAGGATGATGAAGGTTATGATGACGATGGTGATGATGGTGATGGCGATGACGAGGATAAGGATGATGCGCTGCTGCAAGTGATGACGTCGACGGCAAGAGGGTGCCGCTGATTCTGACGGTCGCGCGGACGAGGATAGCAATGAGAATGGAACGATGACGAGAACAGCGACGACGACAACGGTGACGATGATGGATGATGGGTGGACACATCGTGGAAAAGGGGTTATGTTAGATGGCGGATAGAAGATGGAGGATGAAAAGTACAGAATGACTCATGGATGGTGCACGCTGTGCATGATGAATGATGGAAGATAGCGGATGTATGGATGTGACGACAAAGGAAACGTCGACGGCATCAGCAGCAGCAGCAACAATAATAACAAGAAGCACCGACACGGCTGTCCACTGTCGTCACTAAACCGTCTGTGAACATGAGTGATTCTTGTAATGACTATATCGAGTACTTGTGCGCCTGGTACAGCATACCATCCGTCCAAGGCTCTGTTTGAAGCCGAGCTTAGACCTTGCACAGAAAAGCGTTCCTGAGCAACAAGATTGGTCGTCCGCATCGCAGCCGCGCAAGGCTCGGCAGGCCTCCGCAGTCGCAAGCAACGAGAAAAGCCAATAAACACACGTATGTAGCTACATGCAACGTAACAGCATTCCATATAATGCGATAAAGTGTAACATAATGCAACATAATACAGCATGCATGTTGTATTTTTCTTTGCAAACATAGCACGGAATAATATGACAATATACAGCGTGGCAACATAGCAGAATGTTGTTGAATACCATGTGATATGATGTAATAAGAAGGTTATGTAAAGCAATATACAACCATCTAACAGACGAAGACATTCCATCACATAATACAACATAGTGAAATAACACACAAAGGCGATGAAATTGAATGCAAAGTAATATCATGCGAATACAAGATGTATGTAACGTATATAATCACACCTATACACACAAGACACGCATGCATACATACTTACATACATATGTACGTACGTACATACGCACATGCGTGCATGGTTTGTCGAACGTATCCGTGCTTTTGCGTGCTTGCGTGAGTGCCTGGCTGTGTGCATGTGCTTGTGGGACCCCTGCGAGTCTAGGCTGGGCCCCTTCAAAAGTGATCGAAGCGCAGCAGAAACATCAGCAACACAGTGGCAGGGCTTGTCCCAGCGGTGTGATGTTTAGTTTCCAGTGTAGGGCAGCAGAGTTTGTGGGAACACTGCCAGACCAAGACGAAGGTCAGGCCATGGCATCAATGTCGGCAACATGAGTGCCACAGTCGGACAAGGTGCAACTAGTCTGCAAGCGTGTGCGCTTGCGCATGTAGATGTCTAATCATGTATACATACACTTACGCCCGAACCCTCCCCCAGTATCTAAGTGTCTATCTACCTATCTCGTGTCTACCTGTCTACATGCCTGCCTATCCGCGTGCACATCCGGGTGCTTCTAGCTGTGAATGGCAGCTAAGCGGCCTGGAAGTCCCAAAAGAGGTCGCAACCGGAGGAATCCCACCAGTCCGTTGGCGTTGTCGTCTCCCACTCGGGTAGGAAGGCGAAGGCAAGATAAGAAAACATTCCAATCGTGGCCACAATGTCGATGGTGATGGCGGTGAAGTGCTCCACAAACTGTCGCAAGATCATGCTGCGAAAGTTCCACGTCCTGCCAAGCTGCTGTTGCAGGCGAGGAAGTGTCTTGCAGGCGATGGAAACATCAATTTACAGTCGAGGCACTTGGCAATGCGGTATGCAAATGCTTTGCAAAGCTCGCCGGTAGCCACGTTGAGAGTCAATGCCAGCAATATGTCACACCCGATCATGGACAGTACGCCGGAAAATCCATGCTTTATTGCCGGATCGTGGCATTCCAGGTGGTAGCAGTCGCCCCACTCATAGATCCTTGATCGAAAGCTCAAACAATCGAAATCCCCCACCGAAGACACAAAGCGGAAGGTGTGGTATTCTGAGAAGAGCCCATCTTGCTGCCATGAGGCAATATGAATTTCAATTCCATGGTAAACAGAAGGAAGAGCCCGGCGAGCACAAGGCAGATGCCGCATCCCAGGACTCAGATGTGTTGGCAACTCTCTGTGTTTCTGAAAGCTTTGGGTATGTCTTGGGCCAGGCCTGAAAGGAGCAAGCACCATGCCACCCACAGCCTGTGGTGAACCATCTTCTTGTGGTCCGGGTTTTGGGTCCTTGCCGGGTCTCGAGCGTGTCTGAAGAGCACACCGGGTGACGTTGAACCCTGCCGAGGCTCAGATTTACCATGGCAGCGAATTCACTGCCGGCACCGGTCTGAGACATAATTCTCCGCAGGATCTGCCGCTTCCTCAGAACATTTTGAAGTCTAGAGTCTGGGGCGATCTGTGGCAGATGAGCACACATGCACACACTCTGAGACTTCAGGCCGTTCATCGTGCCAGCCGTTTGACAATCATTGATTACGAGTAGCCTGCTTCCAACCTGAATGTCTCTTGCCTCTGAAGACCCAGTCTCTTTCCTCTGAACACCCAGGGAAGGTTTGACCCACAGAATCACGGCGTGGACTATCACGTTGTCACCCCCTCGCCTTCGACTCAATCGAAGCCCACCAAGACTTTTCTGCGCTTACAGCCGAGCTGCGTGATTTTCACCTTGTTGAAATCTGCGGCCCAGGTTTTGCTTTCTCCGGCCTCGTAGGACTGAACGAAGGAGGAACGATGTCGGGATCGGCCAATCATGAAAATCGCCCAGAGGATGACCACTGCCTCATGTCAGGGGGTGGCACACTCTCAAAATTGTCATATTTAAAGTTTGATCACACTTGGTTGATGCTGTGATTGGCCCTTACTTGAGAACGATCCCCGTGGCAGGAAGTCTGTTGGCCCTGCCTGGAGCGCGTAGAACTCCCAGCTGGCTTCGTTTAGTCGATCTTCTTCGACGAAAATAGCGAAAGGTACGGTCAAAACAAGCAGTGGCCAAATGCCTTGCGTGTACTGATTCATCCATGCCAGAACATAGGTAGTCGATGGAGCATACTGCTCCTTGACATGCCGCTGCTGCTCCAGCGCACAGACGGGCGTGAGGATGCGCAAATTGCGAAGTAGATGCCAGAAGCAACTGAGTGGCCGAGAACATGACATGTTAGGCGACCTGTCGCAATACTCGACTTACTTACTCAGCAGTTTCGGATTGGCCTGGGGCATTCAACATAGCAGGAGCAATTGCAAGCTTCAGACATCGGTGAGTTCTGCATCATGTTCCGAAAGCTACTGCCACGAAGGCGCTTCTCCGAATCGCCCATTACCTGCAAACCGCTCGCAAAAACAGCTAGAAGACTGCACGCGGCTGCAAACTGGCAGAACTCGAAAAAGCGCACAGCCACAACGGCCTCGCAAACCAGAAGGGCCGCAGCGACATCCTGGACACCGGGTGATCGGGACCGAGTGCAGCGGAGATGGGACTCTCCGCCCACTGGCAGCTTCAGTCATGTTGTATTTCGCATTGGATTTGTTTTTGCACTTCTATGTTCTATTATCTTATCTTCTATTGCAGCATTACATATGTAGATGTAAACAAGTATCGCATACTTATTCTATTCTATTATGTTGTGTTATAACATGTTGTGTTTGTTTTTGTGCGTGCACGGAGTATAGAAGCTCCGAAAGCAGCATATTGCTCAGCAAAGCGGCAGGCTCATGCAGGGACCAAAGCCATGGTCCATCAGGAGGTTTCACAGGCAGTGTGGCTTCAGCCACTACCTGTCCGCTGGGTCTGAGGGGTCTAAAGGCTGTCGTTCAATCCAAGACAGAGCATTGCCTCCAGAAACTTCTGTAGTTGTCCGACTGGACTTTTGGTCTCGACCTGCCACGACATCACGCTGCTTTACCATCATTTCATCATCCACACTCACTGGCAAACATGGGATGCGGCACCGGCTCTATTTTGAGGATGTACAGCATTCTGGGGCTCTCCCAAAAGCTCGTCTCGGCCGAGATTACGATCTCAATGCCTGGAGCAACGAATCAGCGTGTAGCTTCCTCTCTTGCTTTTGCAGCTGTGCTCTTGCACCGCACATTCGCTCGCCTGCTTGCTTGATGTCGCGTAATGCTTCTTGCGCATCATCGTTGAGGGGCATGGGTAGCATCACAGCGACCGCAGGCACTTTGACCAATGTTTGCATGGCGCGGATGCAGTCTTCGTGTACATCCTCGAGCAGAATGCGAAAACAAAAGAAGGCTCGATCGGTCGAGTGAAAAGTATTGGTAGGAGATATGATGAGATACGCAGATCTAATAAGACTGCTCTTCAACGGTCCTGATCTTTCAGGTGACGATGGAAGAAGTGTCCCAGATCAGCAATTCTTCTGGGAACGGAGCTGCAGTCCCATGCGAAATGCTCCTGGGATTGCTTTTGCCAGGTCAAAGCTCTCTTTTTTTGTATAGAATAACAAAATTTAGTATAGTATGATCCAGTATGTTGATAGTAAAGTATAGTATAACATAGCATGGTATAACATAATCTAGAATTCTATGATATAGTCTAATATCGTATGCTTTGCCAAGCCGCGTGCTCACCCTCGCGAAAGTACTGTGGGGTAGCTGTTTTGGCCACGGCGACCACGGCCATCGCGACAGCACCGGTTGCTTTGTGCTTCAAGGCTTGTGCAGCACGATTGTGACGCAAAGCTTTAGAACTTCAACGTGAGAACAGAGCTGCGCACAACGATTGGCTCTTGCACATCTTTTTGGGCCGAGGATCTCGGGCGACGCAGGAAGTCTACTAAAGCAGCTATCCGCTTCAAGGCTTCGGCTAGCATGGGCAAGGCTGCTACGATTTAGCCCTGTCATCCTGAGTTCACATATCGGACCGGAATACTCTGGCGCGCATTTTAGACACCTGGCACCGTGCAGAGCTCTCACCCCGAAAGCTGCATGGAACGCCAGGAGTTTGGCGAGTAAGAATTGAAACCGAATAAGGGCACCCACGACGACAGAGCCGATGCTCCTTATAGACGATATTCCGCGAAAGTTGCTGCAACCTACTATTCTCTTTGGGCCCCATCTCCCACGCATCCATTGCGGAAGATTCGGAAACATCAGCGACAACTATCCGACAGGCACTTGAGCCGGGCACTTCTTCTGCACGGCATCCGGGAGATGCAAAGAGTAGTCCGTCGCTGCACATCTGCGGTTTCAACTTTCTTGAGTGCCATCTCAAGCAGTGAGATGCAGTCATTAGCACTATCCGACCACGCCGAAGAGGAGAGGGCGTGGGGAGTCTCCAAGAGCTGCCATGGCCATGGTCAAGGCAGAGCTCCCGAAAAGCCGTCAGAATCAGGTCTCGACCGTCAGCGATGCAGCCTGTCCAGTCTGGTCTGATCGCAATTTGCAAGCCTCAATGCATCCTCCGGAGGGGCGCGATGCCTCCAGATGTTGAACAAGGGCTTCCAGTTCCTCAGCATCCCAACGCAACCTTTATCTGGGATTGCGGACTAAGTGACAGTGGAAAGTCACGGCATTCCTTCACAGAGCTCTGGCTACCCTCCTACAGAACAGCCAGCAACAGTGCACGGAGGAAACGAGGCAGCCCAGCTGCAGCACCGTCTCGACCGGGGTTGTAGCGCACCATGACCTTCGCACGGCCTGTGTCTAGCACCAGGCAAGGCTGAGCCTGGGAAGCGAGCAAAGGTCCCACGCACGCTTCCGTGCCTTTGCATAGGTTGCGAACAGGATCCGTGTCGGCCTGTGGGCCAAAGAAGCTGGAATTCAGCAGTATGGGCATCTCCGAGCAACTGTGCAAGGTGAAGCTTCTGGTGCAGTAACTACTAACTACTGCCAACCTTGCACTTGACGATCTGAAGCTCAAAGCCGGAGCAGAGCTTCTTCAGCTTCTCCTGCGCTGGCTCAGGCAACCCGCTTCAGTTGATGTGTCCCTGTGAACCCCTTCTTCTCGGCATACTCGCTCCAGCTGTCCCTGCACTCTTGTTTCGCTCGACTGTTGAGCTCGAGTCCCACCAGATTTGCCACCGGAGGCACGACTGCTCCCGCAGACATGCGCTGCTGGTAAGCATTAATTAGATTAACACTTGCCCCTGGACAGGACAACCTCTGATTGCTCTAGGTTGAGATGACACCATCATTTGAGGCTGTCTGTCGGTCGCATCTGCATTGTCTTTGACAAGGCAGCTGACACCAAGAAGGCCCTCTCTGTAACTGCGCAAACCGGATCTGCAGCAGCAAAGGCTCTAACGGTATTACGAGATGGTAATACAATACCAAATACAAGTGTGTATGGAAAGGATGTGTGGGTCAGACGTGTCCTGTGACAGCCTGCGGGGCTCCAGGGGCGCAAGTGAAACGCACTGCTCAGCCATCAGCATCGATGAATTTCGGGTGTACCTGTGGCTTAACATGTGTGAGTACAGCTGCTACAGACTGCCCCTAACATCTGCCGATGACTCTGCTGGACATTTCTTCATTACACAGTCTGCGCATTCCATTCAGAACCCGTCCTCCTTCGATCACTGGAGTAGCTCAAGCAGCACTTTGAAGCGTAGTGTACAGGAGGCAGCCTGCCCAGGCTCGGCAGGGCAATGTTTCCTCTTGGACTCCCGGCTCACTTGCGCAGCACCCTGACCCAAAGGCAACAAAAGCAGTTTACAGTGTCGGAAACTCGCGCTGACTACTGCGAACCATCTGACGAGTGCTCGGCCGACAAGATTGCACAAGACCGACTGACTGCTCTCGTGCATGGCATGTTTTGTCTCATTCTTCGATGCCCAGCTCGTCCAGCACCATCGGCTGAGGGGCTGGAGCCTTGGGGTGGACTTCACGCTCTTGTTGGTGCCCATTGGTGTCTGACATGGCATCGGCGAAAACTGCCGGCACTGTTGTAGGAAGTCTACATCTCCGGGAACTCAAACCTTATATTATATTAGACACAGTTGCCGGCGGCGTCTGCAGCGATGGAAGAGGTGCAATGTCGCGCAGCTTAAACCAAGTCACCTCGGCACGCAGCTCCGAACGAGCATGTCTGGAGGACTCTGAAGAATCCTTGCTGTCGCGAGGCAGACATGGACTGTACTTCTCCGGGAGGTAGAAAGACTTCGATCAAGAAGCGATCCCTCGGACTCCGACCACGCTGCGATTAGGCTTTATGAAATCATGGAATAGAACAGTCTCGACATCACCCGCCAGCATCTGAACTGAGGGGCCTGCCTCTGCGCGCCCTGCCCAAGTACGGGCTGCAGATGGGAAGAAGGCGATTCTATGCTGCCTAGGTACCTCCTTCGACAATCCACACTCTAGAATCCGACTCCCAACCTGGATCACCCACGCCAGCTCTCGGCCAGCGTCGTGACGGGGGCCGCGTACGGGCGCCACACGCGAGGTGCAGTGAGGCTCCGCGGGATGCAACACCTGCATTCGCCACATGCAGGAGCCACAGTCGAGCACGAAAAGGATGAGCTTGGAGATGTCGGAGATTCTTCAGGGCTATCTGTGGTCCAACCCAACCCCATTGCGCGCGCTCTTGGCACGCCTGCGACGTGAGCCCATCCACCAAGACCTGGGCGGAGCGAGCGGAGCGTGGGAGCAGCGGGCATATCACTCGCGTGCCGGAACAACTGTTGGACAAAGAACCGACAAACCAGAGGGTGCATCGGAGAACAACATGCTACGAATCAAGCACGACAACACGAAACAGAAGTTCTCTTCTTGCTTGAATTGCTCGATGTTTATTGATTGCTGCACTGGCGGATTGCCGGGCCAGTGTTTGCAGAACACGGCCCTTTGACTTCGGCTCCTTGCTGCTACGAGTAGTTGTTGTTCGGCCGGTTTGGTTTGCCAAGGACCAAGAAGACGCAGGCCTGGAAGCTCTCGCTGCCAGAAGCTCCCAGGCTGAGCTCGAACTCGTACAAGCCCACACGCGTCTCCCTCACAAAAAGACTTTCGACAGAGCCCTTGGCACAGACCGCATGTCAGGCCCGACCGCCGAGCCTGGCCACCAAGCTCTCTGCCGTCCAACCTCCGCGGCTGGGGCTCGTGTCATGTGCCCACGACATCTCGCGACTACAACTTGCAGTCAAGCAGCCGTTGAAGGACCCTTGGATGGACAAGCCCTTCACAGATCTGGGCTTCGATGAGGGCACTGCAGACCAGAAGGTTCCTCGGATCGGATACTGGTGCATACCCTGAAAGCCTCGAGCGAGACACTCACTTCTGGCTCCAAGCTTCGGCCACCCTCCATGACATCGACCTGCATCAGTAGAGGGTCGGGCGGTGGAAAGTGGACGCATTAATGCAGTGTCTTAGCTGCCCTGCATCCAAACATTACAGGCATAAACTGCTTGGGATTGGTGTCCAGTCTGGAACCTCATGCAGTACGGCAGGGTCCAGCCAGCTGTTCAGAAGGCCTTAAAAACCTTCGGTTTTTTGGCATATGAAATCCCCACGGTCCTGGAAGGACTGCCCTGGCTTCATCGAGAGATGCGGCACCCCGTTGCTCTGCCAGTCTTCGAAATTGTCTCCCACCTCGGCGAACTCCGACTCTCCATCATGCCAGATGTGCAAACATGTCTGTCGGCAGGGTGTGTTTGGCTCGGCGAGTGCGACAATCCACGACTTCAGACGTCTGGCGGCCCATGGCATCTGCCCCAGCCGTTTCAGCCCCAAATACCCGGCGCATCTCCCCGCATCTCTGCCGAAGCGCCATGGCGATCTCCGGGGGGGCACTGCGCACCTGGCGGATGAGGGCGTCGGCCTGGGCGGGCAGCAGGCTTGTATGTACTACCAGCCAGGAGTTGACCTCATCTCACGCGAACCTCTTTTAAGTCTTTCAAGTTGACGCATAGCTAGGCCAACAGCTGCTTCGATTTCTTCGAGACTTTGTGGAGGGGTGGAGGCTAGAGACTCTCGATGCATCAGACGGCCTGTGGATGAGAGGGTGTCTTCGTGTCATCGAAGCCCTGCACCTTCCCTGTTTCGACCGTGGAGGCCAAGAACAACAGCCTCTGCAAATCCCCTTCTGAACAGGCCCTGGAAAACTGCCCGTGCTGATTGAAAAATTTGATATCATCTATCCCATGGACTCGACAGCTCATGTAGCACTCTGGGATATCCTTATAGGCTACAGCTGATGTGCAAGAGTCGTTGTATTGAAAACCAGCAGATGCCGGTGGAAAACAGTCCGGGTGCCCAGCCGAGTTCTTTGCCCTGCCACCGCGCGAAGTGACTACCTCATTAGCTCAACTGGGGTTTCTGGTTGTGTGTCGAAGCCTGCTTGCTGAAGGAAGAAGCACCCAAGCAAGCGCCACCAACTTGATTGCGTTCTTGCGGCATTCTTTCCGAAAGCCATCGCATGGCTGTTGGTGCCACCTGGCCAGCGCTTCCCAACATGCATCATGATCTAATGGTTTGCCTTCACCTATTCGCTCATCATGCTGCCATCTCTGCAAACACAAAGACACGCAGGCGGGACCGTACCCGAAGCCGCTGACGCCCACCTGAAACCAGCAGGCAAGGGACGAGGACGGCAAGGACTCGCAAAGAAGAATTCTTGGGTTCACCCCTTGGGCCCGGACGTAGGAGGCCTCGCCTTTGAGGGCTTGGCCCTCTTGCAGAAGAAGCGCCGGCCATCCTTGCAGCGATTTCGCTTTGCACCGGCCGGGCGAGGACGGCTCCGTTTCCTTTGCCTTCGGTGTCCATGTTGGGATTCTGCACGCGGAGGTGTTGGTTGGGCGCGACTTCCGCGTGCATGCAGGCAAGAACACACCTCGGCCGAGGTCATCAGCGAGACAAGCGCAGCCAGATGCAAAGAGGCTCGGTTTGCAGGGCCATTAAAGTGCTCTGGCGGCTGGCCCATGTGATACCCTGATACAGTACCCTGAAGGGCAACCTGCATTGTCCCAGCCGTAGCCTTGCTGCTTTGCTCCTTTCACACGCACGACTCAAAACCCCGAACGACGTCTGAATTGAACAACTCCTACTCTTCAATCTCCCTGCGTGGCTCATGAGGATCCTACACCGCTCTTGTGAAGCCCAGCAGCTTGCAGAAGGCAGACATCCCTGCACCGCCCTCCAAGTGTCCCAGGTTGGTCTTCGAGCAGGAGATCATCACCTGAGTCCGTTCTGCGCAGCTCTGCGAAGTCTGCCCTCCACCTCCGCCTGAGGTGAGGACCGGAGTCTCCCTCTGCGTCAGAACCTGCCAGGCTTCGGAACAGGCAAGACTGATCACAACATCCAAGGCTTGACAGAGCAACTGCAGACCTGACCCCATCTTGACCCGGTCAATCCTCTCATCTAAGCTCACATTATGCTAGGCTGCCTGGACTCGAGAATCTTTTGCTAAGGTACCCCCGCCTTGCGGACAGCGCTCACCTGTGCAGTATGAGCAGGGGCGATGGTCTGCTCACACAGCTGGTTATTGCAAAGTCCCCACCTCGATAGGGTCTCCGAGAGAAGTCCCTGTACCATGAGCTTCGTAGATGTCCAGATCTGTGGGTTGAAGACGCGCCTGGCCGGAGAAACACTGCTCACCTGCTACGGCCTTGTTTCTGATTACCTTTGAAAGGATGGAAGCTAGCGTGAACTGATGAAACAACATCGTGTGACTTATGCTTGGCAGCGGCCTCACTAAGAGCTGCTCGAAGCAAGCGCCTGACGAGGTGGAGATCCAAGCCATGGAATACTTCAGAAGGACCCCCGGTGCGACCCTCATCCCGTCTCCCATTCTGCTCGGGCACTGCTGCGCTGGGCCGTTCGGAGCCGTGAGGCTGGCGGAGCGACCATCCGAGTTGCTGTGGCCTAAGGAACTCAAACCAAACGCTGAGGTCGAGGGCTCTGAAATCGAACTCCGGGCTTAGAAGCTTAGAACTTAGAACTAACGCCCTTGCAACGAATCGAAACGTCTGTTTCTCGTCTAAGCTCTACATCAGCTTACTGCTGTCCTTGGTTTGCCACCGCTGTTGTATTCAATAAGAACTGAATATGCCAGTCAAGATTCTGGCGGCCAACGTTCCACAAGTTGTGTCGTCATCTTGGTCGTACCTTAGCCGTGAGTCGCTGTGGGTGGGAGTGAATCAGTTCCCCTATCAGCGCTGGCCAACCGCTCTCTCATACCCGTTTTCGGATGTGCTGTTGCGGGACTCGCCACGGCCCAGCACTGCAGCGGCACAGCCTTCGCCACGCCCATAGCCGTCCTGTCTCACAGGCTCACGCACCAGGCACACGAGCCTTCGGGCGCATTGACCCCAGTCCGCTGTGTTGTTGAAGGAGAAGCACCGACCACGGAAGGAAAGCATGGCACCTGGCAGCGCTCGACATCAAGACTCTTTGCTTGTTGAGACGAGACTCATTTGTTTCACACATATGGATCGTGGGTAAACCTGCCTGCGCAGTTCCCAGCCCAAGTCCCTGGAGAGACGTTGAGACCTGAGGAGGTCCCAGGATCTTGCTAGCAACTTGGGGCTGCATTCTGCCGGGGAGCTTATGCCAGCGATGAGGCAAGCATCCAACGGGTCCTGAGTCAGGCAACGCAGGGGTGGTGAGTGCTAGGCGAGGCCAGCTATACAGTGACGTTTGTCTCGCTCCTGGGGCATCAGGAGGTGCGTCTTGGCCGAGTGCAGGGCAACCAGGGAGGCTGAACCTGCCCGCGCAAAACGCAACAGCGGCGCCCACAAAGCACCGAAGGAGTGTGCCAGTGGAAGGGAAGTGGCATGCCGCCGAGAGGCAAGCCGTATTCACAATGAAGCTGGGGCCCTTCAGATTGATGGCGTACGAGAAGCGGTTCCTCTGGCGATGCAAATTCGCCCAGTCAGAGAGTGTAGCTGAGGCAGCACAAACAACCAGCCACACAGCCCCATACAGACGTGTCCGCTTTCTTTCTTTCGCAAAAGGTGCGACCCCTGCGCTCCAGGCGCCCCCTACATGTTACAGGGGGTGTGCTCGCCCTCCACACTGCCGAGACAATTATCGTTACTGGAACGACTGCAGTATGCCACCCCTCACAAGCAGCCAAATCATTCCGAATAAGGAGTTTGACGGAGTGTCTCCCCGAAATACTGAGTTGCAGACAAGGTCAAAAGGGTGAAGAAGTGATTTCTCGATCAAGTAAGGGAAACTCCCGAGGACTGTAGCTTAGATACAAGCGTGGTTGACACAAAAGGGAACAATGCAACAACTCATCTGAAGGTTGAAACAGATCAAACCTTGAATGTTGAAACGATTTCCTAGCTAACGACGAGTTAGCCAAACCTGCGACAGGTGCAGCGCCCTTGTTCGTCGAAGCGCGCACTGCGCCCGCCCGGGCACGCCGCCCCGTTTGTTTACTACAAAAGGCTGAACTAGGTGTCGATCTCAACAGTTCCCAAACTTGTTTATGATTAGGGCTCCATATTCAGCAACAAAAATTATCCCAAATCGGTACCTAATTAACCATGTGACTCTCACTCTCACTCACTCTCTCTTTTTGCTTGCCCGGCATTTAGGGAAGAGGGTTAGGGCCCTCCCCCCAGCACGCATCTCTCTCTTGCTTGCACTCGGACAAGGAGCCGCATCTCTCTCTCTCTCGCTCTCTCTCTATCCCTCTCTCTCCGTTGCTTTCTTTCGCCAGAGCTGTGGTGGGGAGTTGCCTCCCCACTCTCTCGCTCTCGCTCTCGCGCTTTCGCTCGCCAGGGCTAGGACGACGGGGTTCTCCCCTGTCGCTCTCGCGCTCCCTCTCTCACTCTCTCTTGCTTGCAATCGGACAAAGGAGTGCGCGCACTCTCTCTCTCTCTCTCTCTCTCTTTGCTTTGCTTTGCTCGGGGTTTGAGGCGGCAGTCCGTCCCTGGAGTGAGCGGCTCAGTTCCCCCAACGCAACACAGTGTCAACTGCAGTACAAAAATGCGAAGCTCTCTCTCTCTCTCTCTCTCTCTCTCTCTCTCTCTCTCTCTCTAATAAACCAAGTGGGGCGGCTCTGCTCCGCCTGACCAAAGCCAAGTCTCGCAATGAAAGTTTCCGGAACTCCGTTGGCCGAAGGTGCTTTGCAGACATCCCGCCAGTCCTGAGTCTCTCGGCGGCACACACCGCAGGAAACATCGGGTCGTCCACTCGACTCCCCATTCTCTCTTTTGCTTTGCCAGGTTTCGGAGCCACTGATGCCAACGAAGACCCCGATATGAGCAGACTCGATTCGAACCTTCTCACGCTCGTAGCCAGCGTCACTCATAGCCAGCCAGCCTGAAAATAACCGGCCAACCAATACGCGGAGCATCGTGTAGGGCTGGTTGCTGTTGGCAGCAACCCTCTTCATGCCCCGTGTCATATCGAAAAACAGCAGCTTCTGTCGGGCCTGTTTCCATGAAGATTCGTTGCTCAGGGTCCATCCCTCTCACCTCCTCGCAGCGAGCTGAACGACGATGACACCGTGCAAAGTCTGCAAGAATACAGGACTGCTATACACGAGCTGCTGAAGCCAACCCTCCCTGTCCTGGTCGGGTATGTTGAAGAAGGCGGCATCGAAAATCTCAATGCCTCTGCAGGAAGACCATGCAAAGAAGCCCCGCCCAAAAGTGCTATGGGCAGCTCCGGGGCGCCTTCGATGTGGCCTTGATGGCGGCAGTAGCTCTTGAAGGAGGCCATGGCTCTCTGCTGGTCCTGGCAACAGCAACAGGCAACAGCAGCCACAAAAAAGGGGCGAAATGCGTGAAAGGCTGCCTCGTAGTCAATGTACTGGTCGACGTCAAACCTGACAAACAAGCAGCCTCAAGCTGGAAAAAGGCTTCATCTAGATCTGAAGACCCCAACCCGTTCGCCTTGTCTTTGGGATTTCCAGGAAGCCGTCACAGCCACCATGCCGCAAGGCTGTCCACAGCTTCTCATGCAAGTCCGCCTGCGCCCGGGCTTCGACTCGCATGAACGTGAGCTTCAGCTGTGCAGGGCCCTCGGCCTCGCAGGGATCCCTGGAAGACATACCTGAGCGCGACAAAGAAGGGCAAAGGTGCACTCCAAAAGAGACTCCAAGTTTGACTCTCGGGCCGGGCTGCCCTTCACGAGGACCTGCGACTGCGAAGCTCGCCGGGAGCGGCGCGCGGCGCGGCGGGCGGGCTGCATCTCAGCCTGGAATGCAGGGAGTCGTCTAGAGACGCGCCAGGAAGCCGTGGGCAGGCGCCTTCTGGAAGACCATCTGGAGGGGCCTCCCAGTCGTCGAGCGCATCTCACTGGCTTCATTTGAAGGATGCTGAGGAAGGAGCTCTTCCAGAAGGAAACTCTGCAAGACCAAGCACTCGCCATCGGGCTCGAACTGGAAGTCGTACCTTATGTCTGTGCTCAAGCGTGCAGGGTCTGTGCGGCGAGGTCAAGGTCGAGCCGCAGCTGGGTGAGAAAGAGCACTTGCAGGTCCAGGCAGGCCACCATACTCACCTGCAGCCGTGCGTTGCGGAAAAGCAGCAACCCGAAGTCGGCCACGCCCGGCCTCGGGATAGTCTGCCTCCCGTGGGATCAGCCGGATCTTGCCGGTGCTAGGCCCGAGGAACCTTCGCAAACACAGCACAAAAGCACGGCACCCCCACCCTCGGTGGCACGTCTCAAGCAGAGGTGCCGAAGCAGACAGAGCCGCCGCCGGCCCATCAGTGCAAGGAACGCCTCCTTGGTGGGAAGAGCGAGATAGGAAGCCGACGCAGGCTGTGGCTGTGCATGCCACGCGTTCTGCATCGCGGCAGCGACGGCACCTGCTTATCTTTGTGCGGCCTGGGCACCGCCTCGCGGGGCGCCGGCGCTCGCGGCGCCTCGGCGGCCGGCGCAGCGCCGGACAGGCGCAGGAGGAGGTTCGTGCCTCGGCTTTGTTGATGCCTGATGCCGGCATCTGCTGTCCTCAACAACCCGACAGCGCGCCTCCAGTCCACACAAAGCAATTCAAACTGTCCGAGACCAAGGGTCGGCTCGAGAGCTGGATGCCCAAGGGCTCCTGCAGTCGGTGCTTCAGCAGCCGCAGGTGCTCGCTGACCTTAGAGCATTCCCGAACTGATCTGGATCTGAGATGGGTCCTCCCAGAACAGAACCTCCAAGCCTCGGACGCTGCGCTCTTGTGCCAGGAGCCCAGAGGACTCTGCCAGCGACCCGGCCTCCAAGCCCTGCACCGCTGCGGTCAGCACATCACCCACTCACGGAACGAGCGCAGCCGGAAGAGCTCTCTCGGAGCCTCGAGCATGGCCACCTTGTCGGACCTCGCGGGTCCACGGCCCAGGTAGCCCAGCTCGAACCTGGAAGCCGAACTGAGACTGTCTGAGGGTGCCATCCCATTCCAGGCAGGGGCCCTTCAGATCCAACTTTTCTGTGGGATCATGTGTCCCTCTGACTCCTGCACGAAGCCGCAAGGAAAGTCAGCCGGGCAGCTCGATAGGAAGCCGGTAGAAGCAGTCCTTCTTGCACAGGGTGAACGAGGCAAGCAAGGAAACCCTTCTGAGAAGTATGAAAGGACTTGCAGGCAACTCTCTGAGGCTTCGGAAATCTCCGGTCATTGCTGCTGTTGAATGACGGAGCCCCCCAGACTCCTCGAGCTGCTTCACCGCTGAGAGGATGCCTGCACGGCCCCTCGCCGGCAGGATCACATGAGTAGTGACCTTGTCAAGGCATCTGCGAAGATAGCACTTTCGCTGCCAAATCCTGCAAAGGAGCCCCTAGCCGCCCCTAGCCCGCTCCCCTACTGAGAGCTCCACGAAGCCGCGCTCGAGGAGCAGCGAAGGCATCTGCTCGGCCAGGCCCTGCGCAGAAGCTGTGAAGGAAGGAGACACGACGTGCACCTCTGGTTACATCCGCCTCGGGATCCGAGCTGGGACCCAGGACCAGGTCGTAGCCCTCCAGTGCATCCGAAGGCAGCCACCTCTGGCAAGGCTCCACAGGAATGCTTCTTTTTCCAACGCCTTCGAGAGGCCTTTGAGAGCGAGCAAGTGAGCCAGAGAGGGAGAGGGAGCCGGGCAGACAGGCAGACAGCAAAAAGGCCTACAAGCGGAGGCGGGCACTTGCAGGAAGTAGCCCGTAAAGGTCACTACCTCGCAAACCAGGAGGAGCTTGGAGGCTTGGAACCGACACTGCATGATGATCAGTTCTCACGAACGCTGATGTTTCGTAACTAGCCTGAGCGTCGGACTAAGAGACCAAGCTCACCACCATTCTCCACTAGCTGGGCCTGAGCATGCCAACAGCCCTCCCTGGACGCCCAGGCATCCCATCCGAGGCCGGATTGCAGCAGAAACTTCATGCACTTCCGGTCTTCTCCATGAGCACGCAGCCGACTTGTTTTTTGCACAAAGGCCTTTCGTAGCACTGTTTGTATGGAGGCTCTCCTGCTTTAAGCAGAGGCCGGACGAATTAGAGGGCGGGCTTTTGGTGCCATTCACATGCCATTCACGTTGCACAAGCAAAAGCATTTCGCCATGTTCAAACTCATCTGCATGCCTCAAATTTCACCAGGCACAGCCTGGGATTCTTTTCTGAGATCCTGCAGCACTCCGAGCCGTGCGCTTCAGGCTGCCTTTAAATCCCCGGCACGGGCCATACTCGCCGCGTCTCTGGTTCGAGCATCCCGATCTTCAGCCGTCAAATAGGGATTCTGCCATCTGCAAAGATATCCGTAGACGGCTGACAGCCGAAGCACAGCACCACCTGCTGCAATGCTGAAGCACACACCCAAACCAACTCCATAAACTGCATAAACCCAAAGCACCGTGGCACAAAGTGAGTTGTACACTCCCGCAAGCATGAGCACCATGGGCTCACCAAAAAAGACGAAGTTGTCTTTGACAAACTTCAAAGAAGCAATGTCGTCTAGGGGCTCCAAGTAGAGTGTGATGAAAGCACAGGTCATGACTGCAACAATCAGCTGCCCGACTGCTATAGCGAGAAATCCCTCGTACCATTGGCAGATCAGCGAAAAACGATCGTCACCTGCCATCGTTTGGTCCACCGCCATGGTCCACACAACCGTGAGGAAAAGCACAGCTATCACCCCGAGGTTCGTCAGGTTGTTGCGCATAGCCTCTCTCATGTTGATTCCATTGGAGCGCTGTTCAATCATGCTCCAGCCAGTTTGGGGTGCCAGGGCCATACAACCCAGCTGCTGCAAAATGCAGAGCAACCCCACTGGTACCCATACCTCATACACGTTTTGCTCAACCACCTCCTCCGCCTGGCGACCCCGATGCTTGAACACGGCCAGGATTGAAGGGACTAACATCGACATCAATCCAAATCCAAACGCAACCATCCAATTCCCAGCAAGCATTTGCGGAACGGCATCGACCTTGTCAAACCGATCCCTTGCAAGCTGTGTGGACATTTCATTTCGGAGCACACCGGGGATGTTGTCTTTGAGGTCTTCCCAGCAATCGACGAGGGAGCCATAATCGGTGCACCAGTCCTCTTTGAGCTTCTCCATGACCACTTCCTTTCCACCGGGAAAAGCGCGCAACGTCTTCTCTAGCCACATCTCCAGCGATTGGACTTCCGGGACCTCAGCGACTGGGACCTGCTGTTGGCCTTCGCGGCCTTTGTCTTGCTCTGGTTCTTCTTGCTCCATGGTGCTCACTTCCGCCGAGACTTTGGTGGATGGCATTGCTGGCTTCTTGGGCAATGGCTGCAGAAGTACATGCTGCTCAACTTCTGACCAATCAAAAGGGCAAACTTCCAAAAAAAGGGCTTTAGCACCACGTTGGGACGTTGGGCCTGGCCTGGGCACCGTTGAAGTCCATCGGCTCCACATCCTCGCCCAGGGGCCGAAGCGGTTCCTCGCAGGCTTAAGAAACGAAGGCGACTCCCCTTCCCCTTCTTCGCAAAGCGTTGGGCCTCCAAGCCCTCCAGCACCAGGAGGGCCCCTACGGGGGTCCCAGCATCCACGGCCATGGCCCAGCCCCGGGGGAGGAGAGCGGAGCTTCTTTGGCTCAAGGCAACGCTCAAACTGGGTTTTGGCTCGCGGCTCTCAGCCTCGGTGGGGGTTCGGTGGGTTCGGTGGGGGCGGCTATCGGCTTCAGCTCCCCAATTCCTCGGTTCTTACTTGGCTTTGTTGGTGTCGTCTGGAGTTTGGGCCTTGCGGCCTTGTGCTTTCATTGCCTGCCGCCTGGGGGCCAGAAAGGGCAGCACATTTTCACTGTCACAGCCACTCCTTGCATGGCAGCTCCACAGGCTCTCTAGTCACCCTTCATGACTCAAGACGGCTGACACTTTGCCTCAGATTCGCCTCATCTCCAGACAACCTTCCGAGACTTCGTGGCCGACCGCTCCTCGGCTTCCAGCGCGTGCGCGTGAGACCAAAGCAATCAGAGATATGAATGCATGGCATCATAACATGTCCAGCTTACATGCATTCATACTACGTACCTGTACTTGTATATGACTGGAAATGCATACGATCGCACACGTATGTATGCCCCTGATCCTCTTGCACGCATGGCACGCTCCAAACAACAGTTCAAGCATCACATGCCTTGTGCAGTCGGACAGTGTAGGTCATGGAGAGATGGCTCAACTATTCATGAGGAGAACATGCACATGGAGTATTATTCCCATGTACTTCCCAGCACGATCCCTTTAGTGTGACTTCGGCGTGACAGCAGAGCTCGCATTGTTAAGGAAGATGTGATATCGACAGAAAACACCCCTCTGCTGACTGCTCGTGGCTTTCGGTTTTGCCCCTGCCCTTTTTCTTTCCCACGGGCCGCCCAACCCTGGGAAATGTGATTCCGGTTCTTCATATCTCGCAAACACGGCCCCTCCTTTGGTGATTCCGGCATCATGTATCTCAAACACGCCCTCGCATTTGGGATCCGGGTTCATCACATATCTTAAACACGCCGCCTAATTTGGCGATCCAAGTTCATATATCTTAAACCCGCCCGCTCCATTTGCCACTTCTGATTCTGCACATCTGCTAAACCCGCCCCAACTTTCACAGGCCGCACACAGCCTGCGGCCCGGGGCAGCGGGACGCGGGGCCGCATGGCCGCAGGCCGTGGGCTGGGGGGCGGCGCGAAAATAGTATTGTTGTGAAAAGATCGGCTTTGGTTGGACAGTACCTTGTTTCTTGTTACTTTTCTTGCAACAGTGCTGTACTATCCCCAAGAAGCAACCAATCTTTTTTGCAAAAGTGCTGTACTGTCCCAACAAACCAACCTTTTGTGCAAAAGTGCTAAAGACAAACTATCTTTTAGGAGGCCTGTAGTCCACAACTCCTCCGAGACTGGAAAAGATTGTTGTTTGTAGTTTTTGTTGGACATTACAGCACTTTGGCAAAAAAAGATAGGCTGTTTGGGACAGTCATGTGTTTTTGTTAACTTTCTTGCAAAAGTGCTGTACTGTCTCCAAAGAAACCTATCTGGTAAGTTTGGCTTTTTTCGGGGACAATACAGTGCTTTTTAAGTTAGCGTTCTTGTGAAAAAGTGCGATACTGTCCCAAGCAAGCCTGTTCGTTTTTGCAACAGTGCTGTACTGTCCAAAAGAAGCATTCGTTTTGGAGGCCTGTAGTCGTGGGTAGGTCTTCCAAGACTGGAGGAAAGTGTTTTGGTATGTCTTTGTCCAGTACAGCAGCAAAAAAGAGATTGTTGTTTTGTGGATACCCATGATGCTCGGGTTTGTGCTCATGATGCTGGTCAAGGTGGTGCACGAATGTTTTAAACCTAAAGCATTGAAGAGAGTCGTCCTTAGAATACAAAACTTGTCAGGAAGGGTGAAAACCGTGGATCCATGGAGGGTACATATACATATGCAGTCATAGACATAGACATATTCATATACATATACATAAGTGAAAATCTATATCCGTGTATATTATATATATATATATATATATATATGGTGCCCCCCCCCCCATGGATCCACCGTTTGTTGGCTTCATGTACGCGCCGTCGACAACGTCGTTACACAGTTGTTCTTCAAGGGCCCAGGGCAAGGGTTTGGGGGTTTAGGGAGCCTAACTGAAAAGCTTAACTGACAAAACCTAACTGAAAAAACCTACCTGAAAAAACCTAACTGAAAAAACCTAAAAAACCTAAAAAACCTAAATCTCGAGAGTCTTGTCATGGATATCTCGCTGAAGGTTTCAGCTAGTTTTTTTCAGTTAGGTTTTTTCAGTTAGGTTTTCCAGTTAAGTTTTTCCGTTCGGCTCCGGGCACACTGCCTGAAGCTGTTTGAAGCCAAGTGCTGAGTTTACACACTCTGTGTTCTGTATTCTCGATCGGGCCATATGGATGCGGTGTTTGAGCGCGCGTCGTCGCTTCCCGACGAAATGATCGCAGAGATTTGAGGTTTTACACGTCGTGTCTGAGTTCAACTTGTTTACACGATGCGGATGCTCGTAATGCTTCCTAAAAAAGAGCACATATTCTAAAGTGAAGAACCTCAGAACCAAGCCGTGCCTACAGATCCTACAGAAAACGAAGTGTTTGTCGGCTACCTACCCGATGGCACTTGTTCGCATCTTTAAAGCTTTGTTGTGATGTTTTTTCTTTATGTCACTTGTTCATGAAGCTTGTGCTTTATGTGCCGAACATGTTTACCAGGATCTCGAGTGCTTCGTGTTGGTGAGCGGTTTTTCAAATCATGGCAAGTGGTGAAGAACATCTTAGTCAAGCTGAGCGTTCATTCTTTGGTCTGTAAATATTGGTGAAATCACCAACGGGTATTCAACAAGATTCATAAAGGTATAAAAGGTTTCTATATAATCTACGGCTATCTATATGAAGTTCTTTAAGATGTAAAGAAGGAGCATCGTGTAAGGTGTTCTATATGCTCTTGTTTTTGATTTCTTCATTGGGCACATAGCAGGTACAGCGGAGAGCATTCAGCTCTTGATTTTCCTCCCATTAATCCGTTATCTATAAAGTATTCTACAAGGCATTCTATGGCGCATTCTACGGGTATGTTATAGAGTATTCCATAGGGTTTTCTTTAGGACTTCCTATGGGGTACCCAGAGGGTATCATAGACATTGTGTATATTCTGTAAGCTCGTCTGTAGGGGATTGCAGATGATATTCTACAAGGCCTATAAAAGGCCTAGTATGTAACGTTGTTTTGGGCTCTCTATCGGGTACTCCATAACGCATTGTATAAGGGATTGTACAAGGCATCAACATGAACGCAAAGATTATCTTATAGAACGTATTTTATAACCTGTATAGCCTATAGGGTACTCAAGAAGGTATATATGAGGTATATAGGGGGTATTCTATAACGTATTACCTAGGGTCACCTGTACTAAATTCTTTGAGGTTTGTGGTATTCTTTAGGTTATTCTCTTCGACTCCTGGATCACTCCTAGAAACCCCTTACCCAAGAGGCTGTTTCTTTATGAGGGGTTCTCAGGTCTTGGGCTCGTTGAAAGGTTATCTATAGGTGTTCTTACTTCCCAAATACCTATGGGGGTGTAAAAAGTTTAAACTTTCGCAATAAGATTACCTTATTAGGGGCCAAAAGTTGAAAAGTTTGGTCTTGAGCCACTAAAGTGTTATATGGGTTCAGGGTATATATACTGTATACATGGATTGTCATGTATAGGGCCATATGGGCATTCTGTAAGGTCTTCTATAGAGTATTCCAGACGGTCTTCCATGAGACGCACGACATATAGAGGGTACTATGTGTTCCATGAAGTATTTTGTAAGGTACTCTATGTCGCATTCCGTAAGGTACTCTGGATATTCAAAAGATATACGGGCTATGACTGAAAGTATATGATAAGGTGTTCTAGAGGCTCTAGGGTATTCAATAACGCATGTGGGTATTTTATACCAGTGAGGTTTCAAGATACATAGAGAAAGTATTCTACAGGACATCCTATAAGATATTCTATATCGTGTCTTGTATAGAGTGTCCTATAGGGTATGTGTAATATATTGCGTGCGGGGTGTATCATATGTAGGTGGTCTTGTATACGGTATGCGACAGGATATTCAGATGGATTTCTGCAAGATATAAAAGTTATCAGAGTGGAATTTTGCAAAGTATTCAAAAATGTAATCTAAAGGGTACTATATTGGTGAAATACAGGGTGTTGAACCCTGAAAGTATCGATTTCGTGTTCACGGACATTATCTATAATCTCGATGCGTCTTATATATGGGAGGTGTAGAAATAGGGCCCTCTTTCATATTTATACTTGTCGTGATACTATGTTATATGGGATGATATATCTTTGCTTTCCTGTTGCGTGTTACCTTCAGAGCCCATACTGCTGCATGCAAAAACCTATACACACACAGAACATGCATGCAAGCTTGCGTTCTTTTGCAACACAAGAAGAAGCCGTACGCGAATGTATGTCGCTTGGAAAAACTCAGGGTGTATATGAAGGAAATGCAGAATGTAGGATCTGCGAAATCTATGATGCAGTCGAAGCGTATTTAGTGAAGGACTTACAAAGAGAAGGGAATACGTTATAGAATATTAACCATTTCGCATCCGGCTCTTGAACACACGAAAAAGGTGGATCCTTGAGGGGGGGTAGCATCTATATATATATATATATATATATATATATGTATGTATGTATATATATATATGTATATATGCATATATATATACATATATATGTATATGTATGTATATATATATATGCATATATACATACATACATACATCCCTCCCTCCCTCTCTCCCTCCATCCCTCTATCCATCCATCCATCCATACATTCATACATACATTCATGCATACGCACACTTGAATGTGTGAACATGTACCGTGAAAGAGCGCTGTTTAGGTTTATGCTGAACACCCTCCAAGAGGTGAGTTTTGAGGTCCCGACACTGCGGGTGACTCGAACCACAGGCGACTCGGCTCGGGGAGGTGCCTGCGGAGAAGTGCCCTTCTGTCCAACATCTATGGGCGTTTGGTGTTGAGTCTCGACGCTGCACTCCGCACCTTCTCCGGTGATGGTGCACGGGCCCTGGCCGCACGTGAGTCGGGCAAAGAAACGAGCTGTGGCGCGGGAACGAACCCTCGATGGGGGCGCCTCCCGGCATCTGCTCGCTGCCGAACACCGGACCTCCTGTACCATGTACAGATGAAACATGATGCAATGATGCTGGGAAGTCGGTGAAACTGGCATGCCACAACAACACCCTGCATCCTCGAAATACGCACGCGGGGAGAAGACTCCGCACCTGCCGAGAACAGATGTTTCTTCGAAATCCCCGTAAACTGTGGAGAGCATGCTCGGCCTTGCGAGGAGCAGGGGCTCTGACTCATCGGATTTGGTGGGGAGGCCTCGCTGCTTGAGCCTGCGCAGTTTCCGGTCGGACACCTGACCCTTGCGAAAGCATCCGCTCGCACCCTCGCACCTGATTCCTGCTCCTCCGCGTGCTCCTCCAGCACCTCTGCAGAGGGCCGAGCGGCAGAGCAGAGCACGAGAGTTCTACGAGGAGTTTTGAGGAGAGCGAAGGAGCCTCCTGCATCTCCTGCGCTAGCGGAGTCGCGCAGGCGTCCGGCGTGTCCGCCACAGATGCATTGTGGCCTAAGGCCGGACGCAGCATGTGCTATACATATGCCATATACGTTCAATCTGCCCATGGGAGGTCAGCGCACTCCAACTTACCAGTGCTGAGGGCCGTGCTGGTAGCAACGGAAGTCCCGCCGGTCGCTATCCTGCAGCAAGCAGCCCTCACCATGAGTTACAGCAAGGTGTCTGAAAGCCCTCGTGCGTCTGACGATGTCACACGACTAAAGCGAAGAATCAGGAACAGCAGCGGCGACTTGTTGGCTGTCCTTGGCCCGAAGAAGCTCAAGGGCGACGGAGGCAAAGGGAAGTCACCTTCCGGACCCATGGGGGTCCGAGCTTAGCGGAGCAAGGAATGCGAACTTTCGAATACTGAAACCGTCGTATGATTCCGAGATGCATCTGTGCTTCACTAGTGCGTTTGATAGGACCTTCGGTGGATGTTGCGCTTCGGTGGATGTTGCGCGACGCGTTCTAGATTCTACAAATTCACCTGGCGCGCCTTGCCTGTTCCCAGTTTTTCCCGAAAGGCAATCACTGGAATCACGCACTGATGGAAGCTGTCGCGGGTGGCCTGAGTAGAAGCGAGGAACCGACGTCACGAAAGGCCTCCAGGACAACCAGGGTCAAGCTCACAGTATGTGCAGAGAGCCGCGACCAGGGAACTTGCCACTCAAGTGCAATTGAATCGCTAGAAGTGGCTGATGAAGCTCAAGCAACATGCCCGCTCTGCAATCTCCACGCACGATCCATATTTGCCAAGACCAAAGAACTGCTGAACCAACATATGTCTCCCACTCTTCCGCGGTAGATCTCTTACAACAGCTCAGCATTGGGGGTGCAGAAATCCAAATTGAACATGGGGTGCGCACGCCATCGCGATCGTGTCCCCACCTGGCTGGAAATATCTGCCGCTAGCATCTGTAGGCGCGTGTAAAGCCATCCAATTACATGGCCTGGCCTTGACCGCACTCAACCATATTCAACTCATGCTCCAAAAAGTCCAGAATCCCCTCCAAAAGTGTGCATATCCGGACCGCTTCCGCTCGTCCGGAAGGTCTGCGGCAGCGGAGTCGAAGACTGGGCACCCGCAGGCAAACATGGCACCCCACGCAACGTGCACAGAACGCACGGAGGACCAGAAGGCACTTCGAACTCTAGACTCTATGCTCTATGCAAGCAGACCTCTCTTTCCTTCAAGTGGTTGCTGGGATCCCAGCTCGTCGGACCACTTCAGGCCTCTGCTTGCGAGCACTTCATCCGGTGGCCATTCTCTGAGTAATCAGAAACGAATGGAGTTGCTGCACAGCAACGCGCGGCTCGGCAGCGAAAGAGAAGCGCCGCGACCTTCCCGCTCTCTGGACACGAACCGAATGGCGACCCTGACAGAAGGACCAGTTTGCCTGCATGCGGCGCAGCATAGACCGATGCCCCAAGACCTTGGAAGTAGGTACTGCTCCGGGGTTGCAACATTTGAGTGGCCCCTCGATGGACTGCTGCAATGCTGCAATGCGGGCTGCGTTTGAGGCCACCGCAGGGTGCCGGAGACCTGATCGCAATGAGAAAGAATCAGGAACTGAGGCCATTTGAGATCGATAGCTCAGGATGCTCAGGGGTTGCTGGGTCAACAGAGGCTTCACAGCAAAGATCTGACAGGCCCCCACCAGACGGTGTTGGTCACGGTGTGGGAGATCACTGGCGAAGGGGAACGTAGCGAGGTGGAACGAACAACCTGGCTCTGCTCAATTCCAAGCGCTAAAGAATGTCGGCTTACGAGATGCGAATTCCAGATGGAGACCACTGAATCAACAACGTAAAACCAACACGAATCTGCAGGTCCACAAGAGACAAGCGCGGAAATCCTTGGCATTGGCCCACCGAGCCACTGTTTGAGGTTTTGCCACTGATTCACCTTACCTTGATTCACCAAACCTGCTGCTTCTGGCGACTCACTTTCCGCTTGCTTTGCATTTACCTTGGTGTGGCTTTCTCTGTGTTCAACTGACATCTACCTCTGCCTCATGAGTCGGGCCTTCCAACTAGCGTAAGAAGGCGAGGAGTAGAAATCTGGCCAAAGCCACCTCCACAACCCTGCACGATGCTATCACCGAGTTCCATGGCGCTTCGGGGCCACAAACCGTCAAACCCCAAACCGGCTCCAGCAACCGTGGTGCGCGGTGGGCCGCGGAGCACGGGGCCCGCAGTGACCTGACGGTTCAAGGCACGCCCCGACAAGGCGCAAAGCGAAATGCTCTCACCCACTGCAGTTTTTCCAGAAGCCTGCGCATCCAATTGGGCTTACAGACAATAAAGCTTCGTGCAGCAGTCTTTGCCTCTTCTAGCAAAAATGATGCGAGCGAAATGCAAAGATTGAACTTTCAAAGTGCAAAGTTGCGAACCCTCACAAGCACTTGCCATCTCGGTGTCATGTGCAAGATTGAAGGTGTTGCGGGCAGGCAAATTCTGCGCATATGTAGTGGATTGCCAAATCGGAAGGTTTGACATCTGATGTTTCAGCTACAATAATTAATGCGCTAGCACAGAGTCAAGACGATTTGCTCATGATTGATTTCCAACCAAAAGGGTTTCAAGCATGCGGGTCCAGAAGCAGGCGGTGACAGGCCGACTACGATGTGGCAGGAACCTTCGGTAGGAATGCCCCGTGGCATGATCCAAGCTGGATTCCGAAAGAGTACAGCAGAAATCTCTGACCTCCTAAACCCAGATGCATCCTTGAGACAGTGATAGCATGTTGCTCTCCGAACTACCGTCGGATACTGACACCAGACTCCTGCCAGGAACTCAACATTTCATGCCGTGCCAGTGAGGAGATCCTTTCCCACACCTCTCCCGAACTGCCCCCAGCCCTCAAGAGAATGGTCGGTGGCCTTCACGCTTGTGATCTCCCGATCTCGTGCGGCCAACCTGCAAGGGGGGCACGAAAAAACTCGCTGGAGAGGAATATCGCGTGCCGCAGGCCTTGCGTGCGGCCGACTGGAGGCAGGAAGCGAGGCCAGCAGCTCCTGCCACGTAGTGCTGCCCGATCATGCACAGATGAATGTCAAGAGCGGAGGGAAGCACAGCAGGCCCACGTGCAAGACCATAAGAGGCATGCACCGCCGCCGACCAAGCAGTCGATCCAGATAGTGTACCACACGACCGAAGACCGGTTTGCAGCGATAGGGTCCGGGTTAGAGCTTGAGGCTGCTAAGCGCATCTGGAATCGCTCACCTGTGCACCCGGCACGGCAACTACCCAACAAGAAGTGGAGAAGCCGTCTGAAGTGTTAATCCCAATCTGGTACGGTGGATGAGGTTGGCCAGGATCTGCCTACGAGGAAACTCCGACTAAATCCGAGCTCCTAGCTTTGCATTGCTTGTGGAAGACCTCTCAAAGTTGGCAAGTACTCAGATGGTGCGGTGCGGTGCAGTGGAGGGTCGGGGAGTAGGCGTGAGAAACCTTCAGGAGACGACGTCCGGTAGTTATTGGCCGCCCCAATCAATCGGCACTGGATCCCACCTCTTCAGTGAGGGGGTCGATGACCTTCGCCCCGGGACGCACGAGGCGCCAAGCGCCTCGCTCAGGGCTCAGGGCTTTGTCCGGTGTCGTCCAGCCCCCTTGCGGCCTCCCGGCTTGGTGCTCTCTGCGCCGAGTCTTTCAAGCACCTGCGAGGAGGGAAGCGGAGGGCGCCAAAACTCGGCTCGGCCCGATGGGCCCGGGCCTGGCTCCACACGCGGCAGGTCTCCGCCAGACCCCCGGGCGGCGCCGGCGTCCTCGCGAGCCGCTCCTGGAGATTGGAACGAACGGCTCTGCCAAAGCGGGGAAACAGGGAGGCTCCAGCAGCCCCAGGTGGATCCGCAGCGCATCGGCCGCCAACAGCTCAGCCTGCGCCAGAGGTCCAAGGACTGACGAAAACTGCCTTCTGTCGACGTTTTGGCAATTTGTCGCAAGCTCTCGTGCTCTGCCCTACTTGCGGTGCCCTACTTGCACTGTGACAACGAGGCAGGGCCTGCAGCTGCGGATGGGTGGAGACGCCGTCCAGCCTTTCACACACAAGATGTAAACCGCAGGCGCATGCAGACGCACGCAAGACGCGCACGCAGACGGTGCTGCGAGTCCCTGCAGAGTCCCCTGAAGACTTCGCCATTCGTCGAGCGCCTCAGGAGCTCCGCGCGCGTCCGCACGACCGCGCTGAGCAGCAGCGCCAGGTCCAGCAGCTCCTCCCAGCCACAGCCACGGTGGTCGACTCGAGGCTTCTTTCGCTTTCTGTAAGAAGGCGTCACTTCATTGAAGTGACCAGTGGCACCTCCCATGACACAGAGAGTTGGGCTGGTAATTGACCCTGACTCTTTGACAGTTGAGTCCTCACGGTGCGTGGGCTGTGGATACATTGCTGCCTGGCTTGAGCATCCGCTGGAAGACTAAACGCTTCTCTGAAAAGAAGGCCTCCTCCAGCCATGCGACGAGGCCTTTCATGATGGCCAGGCCTGCCCAAGTCTCTTCTCTGTGTTTGGGGTTCCTGCGCAAATCTGTCAGTCTTCCACTCAGCCTTGGGAGGCTTGTGCCATGTCGGCGTCCGTGTCTGAGTCCGAGTCTGAGTCCAGGCCGCCTCAGAGAAGCGGACAGAAGGCAGAACCCGTCCTTCTGATGCAAAGCCCAGTCTCGGGCTCTGGCTGGGTGCCAAGGCACCTCAGAGAAGGAGAAGTTCTTCCAAGACATCTTACTGTGGCTTCGAGTGCCCTCCGGGGTCCGGGAGCCTGGCCGAGCGCCTTGATCAGCACCACCAGCAAGGAAGATAGAGCCTCCAAACTTCGCCTGCTCTTCGTCTTCAGCGAACCCCCGCCGGGTTCCCGTCCCGAGTCCCAACATGTCCCAACCCTCTCTGTCCCTGACTCCACGCCTCAGAAGCGCTCGCCTCTCCCTGGTGGCATCTTTGGCGCGGAGCTCCGCGCGGCCCCAGGGGAAGCGAACCCGGACCATACCGCGGTCGTCGGCCTAACAAGCAAAGCCCCACGATTGCACTACGAAATGCCAGCCCTGCTGACATGTTGCCGTACTGACGTCTCTGCGTGCTACCGCAGATCAACCCGCATCTTGTGCGCCTCGCTTTCGAGAACCCCGACACCTTGCAAAAAGAATGAGTCAGCGAGCGAGCGAGAAAGAGAGAGAGGGAGAGGGGGGGAGAGGGAGAGAGTGAGAGAGGGAGAGGGAGGGAGAGAGAGAGAGAGAGAGAGAGAGAGAGAGCGAGAGAGACAGGAGAAAGAAACATAGAGAGAGACAGAGAGAGAGAGAGAGGGAGAGCGAGAGACGGAGGGAGAGACAGACAGACCGACCGACCGACGGACGGACGGACACACTGACAGAGAGACACACAGAGACAGAGAGAAAAAGTGAGAGAGAGAGAGAGAGAGCGACAGAGCGAGAGAGGGAGGGGGAGAGAGAGAGAGAGAGAAAGAAACGCAGAGAGAGAGCGAGGGAGGCAGAGATTGTTTCAACACGACAGGTACATAAACCTGGTGTACTCAAGTAGAGTGCATACAGCGACCTATCTATCTAGCTGATCTTTTCCATGCATATTCCAGAGCCTTCCGCAGGCAGAAAGCCTACAGATGGGGCCCCGGCCATAGGGAGTCAACGTGGACCCCGGAACCTGCCAGGAGTGCCCGGATGGTACAAGTAGTCCCGACAGATGAGGCCAGATGTGCCTTTTCGAAGCCAAGATCAGAATAGTGTGCAGAAATGCCAAAAAAAAAACCTAAGGCGCCACCCGTGCTGCTTTTTTGGCGGAGGTGGGATGAGATGCGCCCGGGCCTCGCTCGTAAGGCGATTCAGCACTTCCGGGCCCAGGCCTGGCGAAAGGAAGCTTCGCTTCGAGCTGCCAGAGCCTCTAAGGGGCCCCCAGGATAACCTGTAATAATGTAAACTCTAGCCTGTTATGGTAAGAGTAATGACAAAATTCTACTCATGTAACAGTGCTTGCAAATGATAACATGATATGGTAAAAGTAATAACAAATTAAAGTCAAACCTGAGCCGAAATGTGTGTTTGTCTTGGGGCAGCCGCCCTGAAACCGACGGCCTGGGCCTTCCCGTGCACCAGATGGCTCGAGCCTCTGTGAAACCCCCAAAAAAGCATACATGCTTTGACCCAAGCCGTTCAGGTGAGAAACGGAAGGGTTCCGGGTTGGGTTGCTTTTAGATTTTAGGTATGGCCGGGGCAAATGACATCGCCAAACGTCCTGGCATGCATGACTCTAGCTAACCAGTTGGGGACAGCAACATCAGGCCAAAGATTACCCTCCAGATCCCACTGCCTTGCAGGAGCGAGAGTCACTCCAGAACCCTGCAATCACCGAGATTCGAGCTGGAAACGAGCCCAGGCCCGTTTCGGATCTCAGATGGGCGAAGTCTCTCACAGTCGCTGGATCCGTCTCCTTCTCTCTTGTCAGCTTCACGAGTGACTGCTTCGAGTGCCCGACTCGGGCGCTCCCTGGGCCTTCAGAGCCGCGAGCAGCAAATGCAGTAGAGTGGCACCTCCCCCCATGGACACCCCTCAGGCGCCACACAGGGCATGCGGGGCTGCAGATTCCAGCACCGCCTCAAGCAAAGCTCTTCAGACAAGGACCGCACGTGGAAGTGAGGACAGTCTCTTCGAGTGCCGCACGGTGAGCTTGCGGCTCTGCGCATGGTCACCGCCGTACCTTAGCTCAATGGACCCTGAAGAGTCACACCCAGTCACAACCCCATTCTGCACAGGTCATGCCCGGTGTCTTGCCTCCATCTTTCTCGGTGAGCCCAAGCCCAAGCGCCCGGCTTCTCGAAGATCCGCTGCAAAGCGGCACGGGAGTGCACCGATGTGCCTGATATGCGAGAAGACTGAATTGATGGTCTTGGTCTTGATTGAACACACGACAGCCGCATTTAGGTGCCGCTGATGCAAACAAAGTGTTCCTTTTCAGTTGCCCCGGGACTTGTCGGGACCTGCATATGTTCGCTTAGTTGCAGCACCGTTGAATGATGTCTGTGAGCTGGCACAGGGCGAGCCCAGGTTGGGCGTTTCTCGTGGTGTCTGCTCTTTCTTGCTCGGAGCTACAAGGAAGGTCTCGTTGCCGTACATAAAATCATGAAAAAGCTTGAGAAAGCCACCGGCTTCGGCTTCGGCGGGCCTGTGGATTGGTCGGCCGCGCAGGCCTTGCTTGCGACCTGAGTCGGACTTCCCCAAAAGGGACAAGGGACGGGGGGCACTTCTCCCTGAAGTGCCGTCGTGACTGGAGCCTTAAAGGTTTCGCGATTCCGAGGCACCCGTGGGCTTGGCGGTGGGGCGGCAGCACCCTCCGACCTTCGGGCCCAGATCCACAGGCAGCACCCTTGATATCGAATCTGCAAAGCTGAGCACTGCACTCGGCTGCCATGTGCTGACGAAAGGTGATCAGGGACGGTCTGGTTGGGGGAGGGTCTTGTGTGAGGGTACAGCTTTGGCATGGAGCGGAGTTGTCATGGCTAGCGCAAGCATATATCAGATCAACTCTAGGTGCCAACTACCGCAGTCTTAACCCTTGCTGGCCGCGTGAAAGCTGCACCACATAATGCTTGCAGTGGAGCCACGAGGTCAGCGCTGGCTCTGCGAGGTGACGTTGGACAGAGAGATCTCTCACAGCTTGCATCAGTGCTTGCAGGGGACGCACGTCGTCGGCATCATATGGCAACCCAGACAGGTGCAATTCGATGACCTGTTTCAGTGTCGGGGCTCAAAAGGTGCACAGCAAAATCTGAAATCTCCGGATGCAGCACGTCCAGGCCGATTCCAGGCCTCCCAGTCCTTAATGTTGGTCGCAACCTTGTAAAACTCCTCAGACTGGATGCTGGCCCGGAGGTGTGCCTCGCCGCCAGGTCTAATCCGGATCCCTACACGCCCTACAAAGCCGATGCCTTTCACAGACAACTCTATCCCTATGCGGGAATCTGCATGTGTGATGCCTGCTGCAGCTCCTGCGGCTTCATGCCATCCTTGTACTTGATTTTCTCTGAGTTATCGTGCGTGACCTCGAGAAAAATCAGGTGCAGGGTCTGAGGCGCAAGCACTTCAGCAGCTTCAGCGCTTTGCTCGCTGGGCTCGGGGCTGCCTCGAGCTTGCCGGAGCCTTGCCAGCTCCGGGCGTCCGCTTCGCCAAAGATCCTCGCCTCGCCACATGGAAGCCCAAGAGCTGCTCGCGGCTTTCGTGCGTGTTAGATGTGCTTTGCATTTCACCTGGCTCTGGCGGTGCGGTGCCCATGCTGACCAACCGACATCCATGATCCACGTCTCAGCTACAATGGTTTCCAGGGAAAGAGAGGAAAGTCCCCTTGCAGCCCCGTCCTGGTGGAGCTCCTCGGACTTTCGCACATTCGGCGTCGCCTCGCCGCCGAACTTTCGGGCTCCCGGCAGCAGCTCCGTGCGGCAATCGCTCCAGTCCTCTCTGCCCCATCCCAGCACTAAAGCCACGGCCACCATAGGGCGTGAATGGGCTTCTGGAAGTTTTTGGATATCTCTGCCCCGGCCCGTGGGGTCAGTGAAACCTGCATTCGACGTGTCCTGATGGACGATGAGGTGATCTTCGTGCCCCGTTCGACTCTTTGGTCGAGATCTGGCGCTGAGGAGAACCTTCTCGGATCCCATTCACAAAGCCTGACTGCATCGCATGCCCAGCCTCTGCGTCTTCGTAGGCTGCTGATCGTCCGAACAGGTCACTGCACAGGGGGCGGTCTGCTTCGATTGTCTCTCGGCGGCTGAATATGGCCATGCCGCGCCTGTAGTAGACATTGGCCCTGCGTTTCATGTCGCTCTCCTGCTCCTGGCATGTCAAAGCAAACAGTGCTTTGTGACGAAGACCGTCGACTGCTCCAAGATGGATTCAGACAGGCTCGACAATGACGTGCATGCACCGTGTCAGTTGTAACACAAGCGTCTGGCACGACGGCGTGCACGAAAGCCCCCTTTTGGTCGCGAGTTGGTGCAAGCAGTATTTGCACACCTAACATCGAAGCGCATACCCGAAGGTCTAACATGAATTATTGAGCCGGTGTCACTCGACAGCGCTCACAAAATAACTTGCAGTGGTACAGTTTATTACAGAGAGAGCCTGGAACCTGCGACGGTTCATCGTTGCAGAGTAAGCCTTCGCGGCATCCGGTTCTCTACCCTCTGAATTCGACTCTACAGGAAAACATGCAACACTCACCTAGTCAGTGTGCATCTTCTGGCACTCATACGTGTGAGGGCACCAAGGTGCACCAGGGATTTGGGGCGCTTTGCCGAAAAAACCCTGCAAAAGGCCAGCGAATAGTTCTGCCTGGCTTAGAAACTGCAGATTGCGCATGTCACCAGGCCGTATACAACACCGACCGGGGTCCAAGCAGGCTGGCACGGCATGACTCAAAGCAAAAGGGACCCAGACTATCTTCGGAGATCTGCGAGTTTGTCGGGCATCTAAGTCTCCTTGTTGAATCCTCCCGCACTTCGATCTAAGGACATTCGGAGTGTCCCAGGTGAGTCTTCTACCGGTGCCAGCGCGCCACCCGTGCCAAACGGAGGCGCCAAACCACGGTCTGTCACTCCACACTGTGAAGGAGCGAGACGGCAGTCTGGCCAATGAATTAAGTTCGGAAAACTCAAACAAGCACTGTAGGCTGTAGGCCTGTACAATACCTCACAATAGATTCCTCTCCGCAGCCTTGATGTCCATCACCTCCCGCAAGCACCAAGCAGTGCAGTACACGAAGCTGAGCTGTCAATTCTGTGCAAAGTGCCAGCCACTTCAAAGCTCCCAAGGCTGCAGCCCAAGTCCAGAGCCAGCAGGTCTTGGCCGATTGAGGCACCCGTCGGCACATGGCATACGTGGAGAGCCTGAACATTCTACGACTCAATTCGCAACATGTTGAGATGCAACAGAAACTGTAGTCCCTTATCCCTCTTTAGTTTCGACTTTCAAGCCAAGGAACGGGTAGAGGATCCAGGGAACAACTATGAGCCACACCAGAAGGTCCTTCACCTGGGCACGAGGTGTTGAGGACAGAGTCACGAAAGAGAGTGCACTGCAGCAGTAGCGTCTCGGAGCAAGAACATACTGACCAGTGCTGTGGGCCAGGAGGCAGTGCTAGCTGCTAGACTACGGCACACTGCCCAACATCGACAAATCCGTATCCATGCAACCAGCGGAGGCCGCATGCATGAGCGAGCGTGCATCTTTGCTTTATTGCTTTTCTGATCACATCCGTGCAACCATCGGTGGATGCAAGAATTCCCCCGCAACCCCACCCCCCGGCCCCCCCCACCTCGAAAGTGAGGATGTATGTCATGTAGCCGACACCGCACATGAAAACTATCCAAGTCCTTGGCGCTGGGCAGGGGAGTTTCGGAGCCTTTCGTCGGGCGATCCAGTGAGCAAAGCCGGCACGGCCTGCTTGCATCTGCTTGCCGAGACTCCTCTTAAAGACGTACCACAGCGACAGGTTCTGCTCTACCTCGCGCTCGACCGCATCCTCCAAGGCAGTGCGGAATCCAAAGGCCAGGTTTCTGCAACGCCGGGCGGCGGGGCGCCTGTGGCTTCCAGTTCGCCGAGCCCGAGGACTGCGCCCAGACGGCGCGGCCGACGCGCAGCACACCCAAGATGAGCTCTGGAGAGTACAAGAGGATGGACAACACGATCCTCGCAGATCCGCGAATCTCTAATCTACTGCTGGGGCGTCCCTGCCACAAACCCTCTCGAATCAGACTGGCGTCTCAATCACCGAAAGTGCCAGCTGCCGTGAGAGAACAGAGCAGCGACTCAAGCGAAAGCGCGCCTCCGCGGAGCACGCACTCAAGTCTCAGCTGACATCTTAGTCTTAGACTGATAGACCGTCTGTGGAAAAGTACGATGCTCTTTCTTGTTCCGTCGATGGCCTTCTTGTAGCTGGAATTGCTGGAGTCGCTGTCACTGGCATCTGTGCCTAAGTGACTCCGAGGTGCGTTTCTTTAATGAGAGCCGCCTTCGAGCCGAGGCTCTTCCGATGGATAGGAACTGCGATGAGACATCCTTCTCGTCCACATCTCCGAACTTGCCATCTCCGATCTTGGAGGCTTTCCTGGTTTTTTGAGAAAAGACTCTAGCCGGGAGGGACCCTCGTCACTTCAAAGAGCCAGGGCCCCTCCCCTAAGCTCCTCGAAAGCAGGCAGTATTTGCCCAGGCGAAGAGACGGCAACTTGTCCAAGATGAGGAAGCCCTGCACTGGGATTCGGATAGAACCCAAAACGGGTGGTTGTCAATATTTGGGTTTTTGGGCACCTGATATTTAAGGTACCCAAACGGGAGCGGCTTCAGAGATCATCGGTACCCGGCACATCGTTCCTACTGGCGTTTCACCGGCGTTCGGCTCCTTGGGGATGATGAAAAGTGCCAGCACTGTGAAGAGCAGTGCGGAGAACCCAAGCAGCGGCAGAATGTTCAGTTGGAGCCTTGATGAAGCGTGCAGCGATTTGCCGAGTGTGAGGTCTCTACACCTCGACAAGGTCCCGGCCCCCAATTGTTCGATGCGAGAACCGTCGAGAAAAGGTTGATCAGAAGAATACCGGGTCCTGACGCGCTGGGTAGCTGCATGCAAGCCAAAGAACTGTGCAGCCACGTTCACCGAAGATACATTGGCATGATCGCGGCCTGCATGGAAGAGGCGGAAGCCCGTGTGCGAAAGGTACTCTGCCGAGGTGGCACAGGGAACGTCGCGCCAGCGAACAAACTTCCTGGACACTCGCGTCCCGCGGATCAGGACAACAGGGGCAGAGTCTTTGCTTCAAGCATTTTCAGACAGGCCATGGCGCTTCTTGGGTAGCTCCCACTTCGTGGCCAGGGAATGAACGGCGGCCAGCACCTCTCCCACAAAGCTGGCAGATGTTGCATAACTGCACGGTTGAAAGAGCCGGAAGCACACTTCAGACTCACAGCCCCTTGCGAGAAGTCTTCCTTGGCATTCAAGCCTTCACCATGGGTGTGTAGATTCCGCTGGCATGGTAGCTGCAGTTGCGCACCTGGGCCAGTCTTGCGTTTGGTCGACGCCGTGTCTCGAGCCTCGAGTCTCCAGCACCAGGCCTCCCCGAGCATCCACCTCGTGGACTGTGACATCGCCGAGATCGGGTTCCTACACCAAGCACTTAATCAGCGTGGGGCTTCCCCGCTTCGCGGAACATCGGAGATGTCGAAAGTTGGCAGCTGGTCCTCGCCACATCCTCGTAAAGCGTCACGTCGACATCAATCGCCGGCTGCAGCAACTTGGCCTGGAGACCACATCAAAAAACAAAGCTTTCAGGATGCGGTCTTTTGCTGCCTCGACCGTGTCGTGGCTGAGGATGTCCTCGGAACAGTTCTCCACTCAGCACAAACAAGAACCCCAGCTCCTTTTGAGTAGTGTTCACGCTGCAACCCTCTCAAATGTCGTGCTGTAGCCGTTGTAAGGTTTGCCAAAGGCTCGATCGGAAGAGCCTCGATGACGCTTCCCGGCCGCCCGATCAGGCGGGGGATGTAGAGATCGTTGCGGACCAAGCCTCTCACAACCCGGGACGTCAGCTGCTGGTGGTCTTACACTGTTGCACAGCTCTGCAGCGACGTTCCTCCTGTGTGGGTTCGCATGCTAGAGCCGCTAGACTAGAGACTATGTGCGCCTTTGCCATAGAAGCCCACTCGGTTGAAGATCCAGAACTGCCCGCGCTGCAGATTCACTGTGGAGACCTGCACGTGAAGCTCTTGGAGGTAGGGGATGGCAAGAGACTCGAAGCATAAGCTTTTGGGGTTTCGGGTTGAGGGTTCAGGATTTAGGCTTGGAGTTTAGGGTTCATGGTTGAGGCTTGAGGCTTACGGAAACGGCCTCCATAAGGGCATTCCTCCACATGTGCCAGGTGCAGCTGTCGTCAGCAGAGTAGTCGTTGGCAAGGTTGGCGTTGATGATTCCGTAGGCCCTGCGAAATAGAGAAGGTAGTTGCGAGGGTAGCCATATAAAACGGTGGTATCATAAAGCAGCAGTAGCGAAGTAGGCCTAGGAGTCTGGACACTTGTACCCTACGGTCTTGATACGTACCGAATCTTAAGACTTTAGACAGACCAGCTCCTACTTGAAGAGTCTCCCAAAAACGGAGATTTTGCAAAGCTTTGCCAGGTGGCTTGTTGCGTCCATGCTCTGCCGTCTCAACAAGACGGCGAATGCTTCGCGGAGGGCAGATCGTATCAGAGTCCAGGACCATGGTGTAGTAGTATCCTCAGCTCGGCTTTCATTCCCACCTCGCGGTTGAGGGTGCGAAGGTTCTTCGCGTCTTACAGCTACGGGTGGCTTAGCTGCTCAACAAAGCCCTGGCAGATCCATTTGTTTCTGAATTCCTCAGACATAACCTCCAATTATGGCCCTGGAAGCCTCAGAGCCGACCTTCCAGAGACGGCCGAGCTGCGGTTGTCTGCATCCCGGCCGTACTCCGCTACAAGCATGATGTCCTGCGACGGACCGCTCGCAGCTTGCGACTTCCGACTTGCGACTGCGGTGCATAAAGCGCTGCTTTGCAGAAATCACCAGGGCCGTCCTCACGGCCTCGCAGCTTCAAGTCCTGCCGGAGAAGCTACAGACGCCATTTGCCAGGGTTTTGCTCTACCCACACCGCAACCGCAGCTCGCTCGCTCTGCAGCTCAGCTCGCTCCTCGCAAGCGGCATCGAACTCCTCGGGCTGGCCGTCGTTCCTCGGGACTCTCAGAGCTTTGACGCAGGGACTCTCAGAGGCACACATCAAGGCGAGAGGCTCCACGTTTCCCTCGAAGCCAAAGCAAGGGCTTCGGAACTTCCGCCCGAGAGCGCCATAGTCTTCGTGGAGGTAGGTGAAGGCCTCGTTGCTGCCCGTGGAGGCCAGGACCATGAGATCTTGGTACTGGCCCGGCTTTTTCAGGATCTTGCAGTTCCTGGCGCAACTGAGGGAGAAACACATGCCACCTGTCCCAATGTAATTCCCCCGCCCAGGCGCCTGTGCAGATACAGGAAGTGCCTGGCCGCATCCGCAACTCGGAGGTGCAGATTCTCGGTAAAGGTTTCCATGCAGCCGCGCGCGTGAGACCAGTCCGACTCCAGACCTAAAGAACAAGGATCGCATGCGTTGGGCGAGCATCTAAAGCAGTGCGTGCCACCGAGGTGCATTGCAGCCAGTACTCGGCTCGATGACAGGAGGCCTCCAAACTCAGAGAGTCAACAGTTTCAACTTCAGCTTATGCTCGCTTTCAGCTTAGCGCTTCAGAGAGCTCGCTTTCGCCTTGCCCACCGTTTCCAGGGCGCTGCAGACGCTGCGCAGCCGCAGGGCCGGGTCGCTCTGCTCCAAAGCCTCCAGAGCAGAGCACGCGGTGTTGTTGGGCTTACGCCTTACGTAAGGTCTTCGCTCTGCTGTCGTGGTGCGAGGTTCCGAAAGGTCGAGGGCGTTCGGCTTCGCTTCCGTCCTACGGAGGAAAGTGGCCCCGGCGCGCCTTGGGGAAGGTCTGGAGCAGCGCATTGACTTCCGACGTCAGAATCCTCGGGCAGGCCCGGGCCATCAAGCGCAAACTCGGAGCTTCTTTCGTAGGACCGCCCGAGGAGCAAACGACTTAAAAGCCCTTTAAGACAAAGACTGATACCGAAACCTCTGTTTGCCACGAGATTGGTCAAAGACTGCCTAAGAGCTCGAATTGCGGCCATGCGACGTCGTGATTTCCTCTCGGCACTTGTCTCGGCAGTCCATCTCCTGACTGCAAGCTCTGCCAAGAACGCGGCACCTGCTTGAAACCCTTCTTCGCCCCGAGGGGTCCCTGGACTGCGAGGCTTTCTCCCTTTCTCTGTCCCAGGCGCACAGCGCACGATGGAGAGCGCAGAGGACACGGAGACCACAGCCGTCGTGATGCGGGACTCGGGGTCCTCAGGGCGATGCATAAGTCTTTCTAGCATCTCCAACCCAGACAATTGAAAGCCAGCCAGACACCACAAACGTTTCCCCGGGTCCAGGTTGGCCAGGTGGGCCGCCAGGGCGGTCCGGAAGGTATCCTCCGAAGACTCCTGCAAATCAGGGTACACCATGGCAGGCATGTCCTCTTTCCTGCACGCAATAGAAGACCCTGGTCACTCTATAGTCACTTAGATTTTTGCTATTTACAAACCGACTTCGGGAAAGCCCTTCCGCCCATCCCTTCCTGCAAGCAGAGCAGCTTCACACTTGCTCGGGGCGGACTGCTGCGAAATCTAGAAAAATCTAGAGAATGTCGCCCCCCCCCCTCTCGAAACAGCTGCACCTGCTGTTTCGACAGCAGGCAGTAGGACAAGATGGTGCGGCCAGTCTTGGGCAGACCTGCACAAAGCCAGACAAAGAAGATCCACACACGAACTACTTCTGATGACGACAACACCTGGCCTTTGCTAAAGTCCTTGCGAGGTAGCCGTGGCATGCCCAGAATGAGCCGGATGGCGTGGAACCAAACGGTGGTCAGGAAGAACCTGCAGGCAGCCAGTAAAGCAACCACGGAGGCCTCCGATGCCCAATAACGTGCGATTCACCCTCCCCCCCCAAAAAAAATATGCTTGCTTGGACTTCCAGGGCGCTCGATGATGCTCCACAGACAGAAAGCATTAGCAACCACGTAGACCAGTCCGATGAAAAAGTTTGTTTCGGTGCCATCCGCCTGTGACCACAGACACAGAACAATCTCCGACACTCTGTTTACTGGAACGTATTATAACGTAATCGATGAAACCTGCTCAGAAGTGATCAGTAGATGCAACATTGCAGATGGATTTGCTGCCAAAATGCCCAGTACACGAAGAAGGTGAAGGCATAAGTTGCCATGCACGACAGCCTCACTGGGAGACAAGGGGAGTTTGACCAGGAAGTGGTCCAGATTCTGTTGCCTCTAGCATGAGCAGCTATGGCTATGCGTGGGTATGTCTGCATGCTGCCGTGCCACAGCACCACGAAGAAAAGGAAGATCCACGCAGAACTTGGCGTGGCCAAGTTGGCGGCCCAAGTGTTCTTCGGGTCTCTCCTGGGCTGAAACTGCTCATGAGGCACGAATTGACACTACATGGCTTCTGGCTGCTTTTGTCCAGGCACTTCCCGAAGCACCTCCGGAGGCAATTGGCGTCGTCCACTTCCTGCCAGCAGCTCCGCTTAAGGATCCTAAGGCGTGCCATGACCAAGCATGAGAGGATCCAAGCCTTCTCGTCATCTTGATCGTCCTCCGCGGACATCGGCAGTCCATCTTCCAAGCCTCGGCGACTGCACGGGGACTGCAGTTTGCTGGTCACACCGGTGCCCGGGCGCCAAGCTGGTCGCCACTGGGTTGCCTTCTGTGGGGTGCCTGTGCTGCCAGAGCGTGCGGGCGACAGGGAGCACCCGCAGCACGGGGGAGAAGTGTAAAGGCCACACAAAGCCTTGGAGAATCTTTTGGCCAGGACACCGGAACTTCTTGGGCTCGAAAGGCTTGTGTGGCCGCGCAAGGCCGACAAAGCTGGCCACGAAGTACCTTGGATTCCACAGCTTCTCATCGGCTTTGGCTCTGCATCAGCGCTCGTCTTCAAGCACGGCTGCTGTGTGATAAGGCTGACGATGACCAGCACCCAGAAGGTGTAAAAGAAGATCTGGCAGGAAGATCGTGCAGTGCACCATTGAACGCCTTGGATAGTCTTCAAGTCAACGTTGTACACGCACACATCAAATAAGGTGCCAGTTGGGCGTTGCGGAGCTGCCTAATATTCATTCGATGCCCATGCACGACGGAAAGACATGCCTTCCTGCGCGAATTGTGCAGCTAGCTGTGTTGCGCCAACTGCGAACTCAAGGGAGCTGGCTGGAGTCTGCTAGGGCTTCGGAGGCGCAAGGCTCCAAATCTGCAGAACGCCACATTTTGAAGGGGGAGTGTACGGTTTAGGGTCGCTTCAGGTTTAGCAGTACACGTGAGCGACTGGCAAAGGCGGCTGAACTCGGAAGCTTCTCGGCACTACGGGTTAGCAAGGTCCTGCTCAGGGCAGGGATGAAAGAAAAAATTTAACGGCAATGTTAGACAGCGTGGACAGCCAAGGCACGATTCTGCACCAAAAGCCCATACACGAGCGCACCGTTGATCCCGTCCTAAGGCATCGCACCCGCGTTCTGTCCCAACTTGCTCCTATCGTTCTAACATTGCATGCATTGCACAAAACTTCACCCAAACCGGGTCCTCACTCCACACGAAGTAGATGGCCTGGACTGTCACATGGGCCCCAGCTGCGGCACCAGAGACGCCAGCAAGAAAGTGGCTAAGCTGCCGCGGCCAGCGCACGCCTCTTGTCGTGTCGGGGTCGAGTGGTGTTTGGGAATTCGATGACGTCAACTGCACCATGCTAAAGCAAGGCACATGCGTGGCCCAGGAACATCCCCAAGCAAAGGAGGTAGATAGCGATGACACAATCGTTACCGCCGGTAAGGCTGTGCCAAATTCCTTCCCAATGATGCTCCTTTTGCCATGGCGGAGAGTAGTTGTCAACCGACACCACCCACCAAGTGTAGATGGAGTAGACGCCCCACAGCTGTAGCACCAGCAAACCTCGAGTGCTCGAAGTTATGGATTTCCCGAGCGAGGCTAACTCCTCCGACAAGACTCCGCCAAGGGGCCAACTGGCTCCGAGAGGGCGCAGAAGAACGCACCACTGACCCCTGTCCCGATGCAAAGGCCGATGGCACTCTGGCTCACGTGGCCAAACGGATTGGCCTTACTTTGACGGTTATGTGCCGAAGCAGATTAAATGTCTGAGGCACTGCGCCCCCTCAGAACTGTGACCAGGAGACCGGATCTGCGAGGTTCGGCTGCTGGAGCAACACCTGCAACAGCCATGCTCCCCTCGGACCGGGCACATCTCCCCCTGTCTCGCGGCCTAAGTCATGTTCTTGCAGGCCTGAGTCATAGCCTGGCTAAGCGCAACGAAGCCGGCGAAGAGCCGGATCCAAAAACTTAAGGACCTCAGTGCCGGTGGCTATGCGCACTGCTTCCGAATGCTCAGGCTATTCTTGCTTGTCGTCTCTGTGTTGCACTGTTGCAGGGGGACGGAAAAAAGAGGGAGGAGGGAGGAGGGAGGGAGGGAGGGAGGGAGGTGCGTTCTTGTCGTGCTCCTGCTCTCCTCTGATCTGATCTTGCCCCTGCAACAGCCACTGCGACTGCGAGGACGACTACCACCAGCAACAACAACAACAACACCCACAAACGCAACAGCATAAACATAAACATGAACATGATGCTGACACCCTGCCCCCCTGTGGCCCAAACAAACCCAACCTCAAGATGAAATCAAAGCCCTGTAGCCCTTTCAAAACGAATTCAATACCCTCGAAAACACTAGCCGGGAGAAGCAATGCCGAACAGTGCTGCAAAGTGCAAGACTATGTGACTATGAGACACTATGTCAACGTGAATCAAATTCACGCGACCAGGCAGCACGAAAGTCCCGTGAAGCTGCAAAAATCATCTAAACGTAAGAAGACCATGTCCCCGCGCGTGGCTTGCGCGGGCCAGTTGAGCTATGCTTCGTACACTGGCACGTCTGCCTCGAATCGCAGCCTAGCCTTCCCTTGAGTTAACTACTTGCGTGCGAACGGGAAGCCAGGAGTACGTCATGAGGTATGGCCCAAGGACCAGGTAGCTCCAGAAGAACTGTTCCCATTGGAAAAGCATTGCAAACAGGCGAGACGGCGTAGGCAAGGCCCTGGATCTCAGCCTACTACCGCTCTGAACCAACGCAGCGCAGCCATCACCGAAAGTACAAGAAGTGAAAAGCATCACAAACACAGAAGCAAAGGCTTCACAGCCTACTCATTAAGAACATGAGGGATTGCAGCTGCGTTGATCTCCTATCTCTCTTGTCGCAGGCGCCTCCCGACGCTCCTGGCGCTTTTGGTCCGCATGCATCTTCCGCACCTGGACAAGGCTGCGATGGTGAATTCACCCCAGGGCACCCCGTCTCAGCCACCTCAGGGGATTGGTACTCGAAGACCTGAGAGCACTTCTGCTCGTAGGCGCGGTCGGCGTGCGTCTTCCCATCCTGGCGTCGGCTTCGAACTTCAAGCCCCGTTGGACACGCGGAGGACAGTTGCGACCGAGATGCTTTGTACGTCGGTGACAGCGGCTTCTCTGGGTGACTGTGCCACACGAAGTCTGCGACAGGGGCTCTCTCCACTGGACATCGCACACGATCTGTGAATCATTTGCCAGAATGACCCCTACCCACAAGCAGCTCTATCCCGCCGTTGGGCATCAGCCGGTTACCACGGTCGTGGACGGTCTCTGCGCTCACCTCCGGAGCAGACCGGCCTGGGCTCAGGCACGGACTCGGCTGGGAGTGCCTGTGTTGTGCATGCTGGTACCTCCTGCATTGATGCTGATGCCCTCCACCTTTGGGAATCCGGCCGAACATGTTCGACGACAACTGCATCTGCCGCACCATCGCTGTGTCTACTCGAGACTCATCCTCTTCGTCCTGAGCAAGGAAATAAATCAATGCTCTCGCTGTACCATGCACTGAGTCGAGTCCTAAGTTACTACAACCTCCGCACAAATGCGCCTCGACGTAGCCTGCATTGGGCTTCCGCTCTCTTGCCTCCACATGACGCCCAAGGCATCTTGCGACGGGATAGGTAGGTGAGTGCTGCGGCTGGCAAAAGCCCACGAACAGCTTCCGTAGCAATAAAGGTCTGCCAGGAGATAGCATCTGGTCTGCACAAGTGTAGTGTCACATAGTGTCACACACTTGCCGGAGCCTGTGGTGCAGGAGCCGGATAATTGCTCGCAGGCAGCACCTGGGAACCTGTCATGATGCAGAGGCAAAATTCGCTCAATCCAGCATGTCCACCCATCAAGTCCAACACAGGCCGGCTTGGGCAAAGGAACTGCTGCTTCCGAGCTCGGGCCGACCTGTTGTCCTGCACAAGCAAGTCTACATTGACATTGGGCAATATGCTTCACGCATCTTCACGCCGCTACATCCCTCCCCTTTCAGTCTCCTCCTTGGGAACAAAAGTCTTTGGCATGGCGCGCAGGTCCTTCCAAGTGGTGCACGGAAGGTGGCAGAGGGCGTGCCTGGACACACAGATACACCCCTCCTTCTCGTCGTAGTTGCCAAACAGCTCTCCCGTCGTCTGGTCACGACGTTTTCCTAGCCATCATCTCAGTGCTTGGAGAAACTACTACGTCACGACATGCTCGCCTGCTGGCACGAAGGACGCCGCATCCGGTGCAGGAGGCGGCTCGAAGATCGACGAGGTAAAGGCGGCGTTGTACCGCGATCTGCGCGGAAGGGCCGATGTCAGCATCCGGCCAACTTGATTCACAGCACTCGCCTCGCCAGATTTGGTTGCTGCGTCATCGCCATGCTCCTGACTCAGGTCTCGAAGTTGAGCTGACATGAACAGACTGTTGCTGTAGACGCCAGCACACCATTTGTGGATTGCTCTCAACTGCCATCTCGTTGATCCAAGAGATGCATAATTTCAACCAATGCCCCGTCCACATTCTGAAGCGTAGGGGAGCAGGTGCAACTTCCCATTCAAGCACACATCTCTCAACCCTTTGCCGGCCTCTGCCGCAGGCACGGCAGTGAATTTGAAATACACAACGCTTCCCGAGCCATCAAAGAGAGGAGCGGCCAGCAGTCCGATACTGAACCCTTCCAAAGCGCATACCACTGGCTAACACGCACTTGTCACCCCCCAGCTGCCGTTTTCTGCACCGCGAGATGCGGAGGGAGACCCTCAGACGTTGTCGGGCCCCTGCTCCAGCTCCGGGAACTCCGGCTCCGGCTCGGGTGGACCCCAGATGTACTCCAGGAGCTTGTCGTCCCGCGGCTTGAAGGCCTCGGCCGGGTACTCTGTGAATCCGCTCTTCTCGGCCAGGTCGGACAGGTCTCGGCCTCCGAGGTACCTCAGAGCTTCGCTTGCAACTGCGCGACGCCCCGGGCCCTGCAGCCTTGCGTGCGGGCGAGACACTTCTTGCCGTTGATGATCCTGACTTTTACGACAAGAGCTCACAGCGACGCGGGGGAAAGGCGTGAACCGAAGAAGCATAACAAAAAGGTCGAGCGTCCAGGTGGGATAGCTCTCGATGTCTGCATCACGACAGACAGGAAGCTGTTCTCTTTTCCTGGAGGAGCACTCCACGAAGGGTGCGACCTAAGCATCGGACATACCGCACCAAGGATAGTCCGTCTTGATGTTGGCCGGGCCTCCACCGCCTGCTTCCCGAAGCTCTCCCGCTGCTCTTGGCAATGGGGACACCACCAGGTCCTAAGACGACGACAAACGTGGATAGCTGAGAAGGGCTGAGCTGCTCCCGGCTGCAGCAGCCTAGCCTGCCGGCACAGGTTGGCGGTAAGTCTGAGCCTCGGGCGAGTAGCAGGCAGCCCCGATCTTCTGAAGATGTCTCGCCAAGGCCATCTCGGCCTCCCAAACAGAGTCGAGGCTTCACCAAGCAGATCGCGGGATCGCGAGAACGTCTGTGCTGTGTAACATGGATGTAGCAACTCAGAGACCACACAGCCCACGCACGCACACACACACACACACACACACACACACACACGTGCCTGGCCTTGGAGGAGTTGCTAAGGACCGGCGGGTGGTTGGGCTTGTACTTCTCCACGAGCCTGAAAGAAAGAGAGAGACGGAGAGAGACAGAGAGAGAGAGAGGGAGAAAGAGTGACAGAGAGAGAGAGAGAGAAACAGAGAGAGAGAGAGAGAGAGAGAAACACAGAGAGAGAAAGAGAGAGAGAGAGAGAGAGAGACAGAGAGAGAAGCAGAGAGAGAAACAGAGAGAGAAGGCCTTATACGGCCTTAGATGACGGATGACGCTGACGCTGGCATGCAGTCCAAGCAGCGTGAAGTATGCCCAAGCGTTCTGCAGCCGTCGAGAGGGCATGGTGCCCCCGCGCAGAGCGCCCAGCGCCAGCACACCTGCGAGGCCGAGCACCGCGCGCCGGGGCTCTGCCTCTTCCTCCTCGGCTGCCGTTATGGCCGTGGCGGGGGCCGCGGCGGGCGCCACGGTGGCCGCGGCAGGCGCCACGGTGGCCGCGGCATTGGCGCTAGCCAGGTTCTCTACTGCAACGCCGCCGGCACTCACGGCCAGGCCCTCGTTGGTTGGGACGATCGTGGCCTTCCGCGCCTCGAGGAGCCGCTCAGCATCGCGGGCCCGCCGTGTCTCCACCAGAGTGAGGAGCATGGCGGAGATGAAAGCCGAGGCTGCACAGTACGGGCAAGGTGCCTGTAGGACGAAGATAAGAATACCGGTTAGGCCCAGGGAAGACAAAGCCATCGTCAGGCAGAGCCAAAACACGAGTTCCTTGTTCTGGCGCGAGACACTCAAAGCGGCAACAGCTAGGTATGCCACCAAACCCAAGGCTGATAACGGCAGAGGGCCGATAGAGGCATAGCTGGAATTCAGCACCTGACGGCCACGGGATGCAACCGAATTGCCAATGCCCCTCCCCTTTACTCTTTTTCTGCTTTCCTACTCTCTTTGCTCTCCGCGCCTCAGTGCATCCTCCTTCCACCGGGCAGGCCAAGGGCACCTGTGTCACCTTCGAGTAGGTCAGGTACGCGCAGTCCACGGCACCAAGCCCCGCGACGGCTCCCACGGGCCAGAGTGCTTGCATGGCAACAATTACAGGAAAGGACTAAAAGGAAAACTGGCGCGGGACTTCAGCAGGCTCCTGACAGTTCTCAGGAGCCCCAGCCGGCGGGGCCTAAAGGAAAAGCCTTCGTGGCTCTGGCGGTCTGCCGGTGGAAGCAAACATGAAAAAGCCCTGCAGCGCCCCCAACAGTCCAACTGGGATCCCAGTGCTTTTTTTCTTCTCCGCGGTTGTGCGGTCTTGGCCTGCAGGCCTCGTTCCATCACAGACGAAATTGAGGCCTCCACAACTACCCCAACCCAATATATCATGCAACCACTGACACTAGCTAGAACAACAAGAACCTACTCCTCGTATGGTGTGACGACTGGTAGGCTACACTTTGAGGCTGTATGATATCCCTGCAAGAATGCTGCCCTTCTCCAGGTAGTGTTTACAAGGTCCAGAGTGGAGGTCTTCTTTTGGCGGCCCATGCTGCAATCTCTTGCGCAGTTGGCCATTCCATCGTTCTCTGTGTGTTAGTTCAGCAGGGTGAGCCAAAGCTTGGAGCTTGGGAATTCTTCCCCCGGAACTCTGCGAAGCTCTTGATTTCCTTTCCGTGCGGGGGAAGAATGCCCGAAGTGGAGCAGCGAGCTCCCAATTTGTGGCATTTTCAGAAGACCGCATCCTTGGCTTCGGATTTAAGCGCAGATGGAAGTGGAGTGCTGTTTTGTCTCGTGCAGCCTTACCCCTCTGTTCCAGACCGAGTCGCACAGCATAGTGTCTTCAACCTTAGAAACGGCTGAACTGGGAACCACGCTCGCATCAGCATTGGTATCTGAGTCCCGCACATGTGTATCTAGAAGAAAAATGACGCCCCAGCTCCCTCCTCCTGGGACTTTTAAACGCAAGAGCAACAAGCGAATCACGAGCCTGAAACTGACAAGCTGCACTTTAAAGAATCGCGTGGAGACTTCTCTCGACTCTGCTTGCGCTGTCATCTTTGAAACTGCTGATGCTTGGCCACGCGTCCTTGCAGATCTTCTCGAAGTACTCATAGATGATGGTCACCGCCTCTCACAGAGCAGCTCCGGCTCGATTAGCTGATTAGCTCGGTGCTGCATTGCAAGGCCAAGCCCCTTGCCAACAGGATCCCTGTTCCGCTACCTCGGTAGTCGCTACAGATGCCGCGATGTGTCCTTGAAAGGTGAGTTTTTCCTTCCCCTGCCTGCCAGCGGCTTCAGAGCTGGGCCCCTCGCCGATCGCGCCCAGAAAGTCGGCGACAATCGTCAGCGCTCCAATGCAGGCACCGCCGAAGGCAGCAGCGGTTGGGATGTAGCGGTTGAGGACCTTCGGGACATCGCGGTGACATCGCGGGCGACGGGCGTGGGGGGGCCCCGCTCAAACTGCTAGTTGGCCCTGCCATCACAGTCTGCATGTTGGGCTGAGCAGTGCTCAAGACGTGTTGTCTTTTAACTTTTCAGCTTGCAAACGTTCGAGCAGGGCCACACGACGATGAGAGCCGTCCATGCGGACCGGGAGATGAAAGCCGCTCAACGTCTTGCCGGAGCGTGCACTCGGCACCCGCATACAGATTGCCCGTGGTCTTGGCATCCATAACGATCGCTTTGTGCATTTGGAGTTCTAAGTGAGGAGCAGCATCTTGCACCTAGACTCCTAGACCTAGTCTGCACTTCCACCCAAGTGCCCGATCCCGTCACAGTGAGCTGCCTTGGGCAGATCGGAGTCTCGGTAGCCTGAGCTCAGCGCAGGATCCGGAAACCCGCTGCTTCTCCGAATCTCTCAGAATACTGCCTACTGGACCTACCGCTTACGAGTCGCACAGGCGAGAGGGCTAGGGCGGAGAGCAGGGCGGAGAGCAGAGAGAGAGTGCTGAGTGCTACTTTCTTCGAGCTCACAACTCTCCGGCTCCGAATCGCTCAGTTTTCGGCCTGGCATCATGAGCTGCTGCTCTCGCAGCTGCCTCGCCACGTCGCGCGCGGAGGAGCCCGAGACGTCGATCCATGCCTGCCAAAAAGACGGAACCGAGTCCGAACCTCCAAAAGTCCTCAACTCCTCAACGGCTTCAACAGCTCCGCTCCGGGCTTTGGAGAAGAGCGCGCAGGAGACCAGGATGAAGACGACCTCGCATGCAGTAACTCGCAAGCAAATGCAGCCACAAGTAGCCCCCCCACTGCGACAGGGCTAGGCCCCGCGCGTAGAAGAGCGCGTGGATGGGGTCTTCCCAAACCTCCCCGAAGGAGTGCGGCGGCGAGATGTAATACCTCAGTCCGGACTCTCAGTGAATCGCAGTGCAGTCTGCGAGCCTGCGAGGAGTCACCTGCCGAGCAGGCACACATGCGCGCCGTGCCTGTGTGCAGCCTCGCTGCACGAGGCCACCGACAGGAATCGACTGGCCGGTGATCTCCGTCTCCTCAAGTCGAAACAGAACGCAAAGATACGCAAGGAGTTCACGATGGATTGGCGCAGGCTTCGGAATCAGGTTCAAGACTTTAGATTTTTCTGGTTGCTTCGACTTCTCCAGATCCTACATCGTTACATCCTCCATCAGCCCGGTCCTGCCACTGGCCGATCATGTTCACGAACATGTTCGCCTGGCAGATCCCAATACACCCAGCTGTCACGATCTGTCGATGCTGCTTCTTGCGAGTCTCGTGTCTATTCAGTACAATGATTGTCGAACGTTGGCAGTGACCACCACTGCCGCATCAAGAAACAGGCCTTGAAGCGCTTGTAAAGCAGCCTCAGCACAGAATCGACTATTGAACCGTGGCCAGACAAAAATGCAACCAAGGCACTGAGAGAAGAAATACAGGTTGGAGACCAGCGCCGTCTGCGGGACAAGAGGACTGGACCATTGGTTTGGGGTCAGGTTGTTCAGGACTACATACTGGTCTCTCTTCGCAGTGTCGCCTGCAGAATAATCGGGATGTTGGATGTGTAGAAAAGCTTGATCGGATACGAGCCCATCTGGCCTCGGACCTTGCAAGGAAAAGAAGCGATTGCAAAAACTCCTGAAGATGTGTGCCACAGCGGTACTTGAGCCATGCAACCCTTTGGTTCTTGACGGCGAGGTCCACGCGAAAGCCTGTCGAGTCGTAAGCACTTGCATCCACCCTCGGATTCGAAGATTGAGGATGGGTTGCACAGGCCTGGCCTTGAAAGTAGATCACGAAGAAGAAGACCAGAATCTCAGCATGTGCGACAGTAAAAGCCAGCTGGAGACCATAAGAGTCGACTGTATCTTTCGGGCTGGCAGCTGTTGCGAAGAGTGAGGTAATGTTTGGAGCGGTCTGCCGGTAGAAAGCTTCTTTCAACGCCGTGATTTTGTCGCTCCTGCACAAGGCCGCTTTGGCTCCAGGAGCCGCCCAAGGGAGGGGCCATGAGTCCTAACAAGCCCGCCCCTTCGCCGGTCCTCGAGATCAGCAGATGGAAGAGTGCAATCACTGCACCCTCAAACTCAGGTCCTTTGCCTGCACAGAGCTCAGCCGAACATTCTTTTCCATCAACGTAGCGTGGGCTTGCCACGCAACGATTTCTCCATCTCACCATTCAAGGGCCGCCACCTTGCCTGTGTTCATGGTGGTTGGACTGAAGGCTTTCCAGCAAATCGTCTCACCTAAGCTCCGGCATGTTGGCACTCTTACGACCGCACGAAGGCATCAAGTCAGGCATCACATGCTAACGTGTACACAGTACACTGCGTACGCATGACAGAAGCCTTTCTTTGGCCATCAAGGCTCAGATGTTGGTCGCAATGAAGAGGGAGATGCCTGCACACGCGCGAGAAAAATGCAAACGACTGGAGGACCTCCAGCCGACCGTGCCTGAGCCCAAGCCATAGCCTTTCTGAAGCAGTTCATCCAAAATCAGCACCTCAGCTCTTAGACTCACAACAGAAGCAGATCTACCAAGCATCTCTCACCTCTTCAGGGCGGCAAGGCTCGAGGATGCCCGACACTGCTCTCGGCCGAGAGACGATGACCCCGGCACAGAAGAGCTGCAGGATGATCAGGATCGCGTTGCCGGCGCCCAGGTCCTTCCACTGGGGATCATTAAGGTGTTTAGGGTCAGGTGCCTAAAGCAACATCACATATCGAACAAGCAGGTTCTGCCATGTTCCTAGCCGCTTCAGAAACGATCTAGCAACTGGGAACGGCAAGTGCTGGCGTGCGGCCTTCACGGGGCCATACATGCCACTCAGGACATATGCCATGGCCTGTCCCAGCGTGATGACCTCAGCCGACTGTAGATATATCTTTCGCATGTGGGTCGTCTTGCGCTGAGTCTGTTGTTCAGATCTTTGCAGCGTCATTGTCCACGTACTATGCAGAAACCCACCGACGAAGCACTTCCGGCAACACCAGGCAGATAGAGGACGCGAGATTACCCGAGGATGCTATGCTGAGCATACCAAGCACTCCCGATGGATGCTGTCACACATTTTGTTAAGTCGGACAGGCTTGGAAGGTCTGCTCAGGCACCGCATGCGTCAGAACGTAACTAGAAACTTCTCCTAGCCCGGCCCAGGGCCAGCCGAGCTGCCATGCCGAAGAGCTTCTGTGCCGCTTGAAAGAGCATTCTATCCTCCTGGGATGTGGATTACCAAGCGAGACCATGGATGCCTGACCAGTCCAGCCCGTCACTGACCAACGATCACGAATGCAGTCAGGCCGAAGAAAGGCTTGGACAGAGCAGCTTCCACCAGCAACACGGTATCTGACCGTCGCACATTCCGCAGCCCCGAATATGGTGCCCTTCAACTCGTCTCCCGTCCTTCTGGGATTGGTCCACCTCGAGAAGCTTGGACCCGGCCAGCAACTGCATCACCATGCCTGCAACGAACACACTGTGGCGAGTGGACACTCATACTCCGCAGAGAGATGCTGTGATCTTCTACTCCAACGTGACATGGACAGCAAGGCCCTGCTATGCTCAGCTCTGCCACCGGACCTGAGGTTACAATCGGAGAGATGCCCAGCTCCATCAGAGTGCCGCGGTTCGATGCAAGGATCACACGCATCCAGTAGAAAGGGTCCTTGAACAGCCCACGGTTCCGAAATGGCAAAAACCATTTGGGAGTTCCAGTGCAAGAAAGGCGAAAACATCTGCCCAGCTGCAACCTGACACCGAAACTTGCAAGCAAGCAACGGTGGATTTGTTGGCCGAGATGCCGTACAGCCTCGCGAGTTCGCTTTTCAGCGACTGGGACCAGGCTCTCAACAGCACTTTTAAAGTTCAAAGTTCACTTCACTGACCTTCCGGGCAGCCACCCCTCTGGCCACCTCTGTGACCTCTGCGCCTCAACACCTAGATGCCCTGGCCAAAGGCGAGCAAGGCACGGAATTTGACAGCACACCAAGAAGACGAACAACGAGATGCCCGTCCACAAGATCTTCTCACGGAAGGGGATCCTCCAACTCTGCCAGTGCAATGCCACAAGCACGACATAGCAGTATGGTCAAACAGGGACCGAACACTCTCCCGTGCCTGCGGTCCGGGGTGGCGACTTCCGGCAGGACACACATGCATGGTCCTGGCAATGCAGCTTAAAACTCCCTCCCAAAACAGGCAAACTGCTGTAAGCTAAGCAGCTATAGTTCCCCCCTCGTCAAAGCTTTTCTTCACTGTCAGCCCGTCATTTGGTTGCACGGCTCATACGAGGCGAAGATTGCCATCGGAGTGCTAGATCTCCCAGATGGAGACCGAATGCAGCCATGCGTCGTACCAGCTCTATCAGCCGGAATTTGCCCATGGCTGCACCTGAGGCACAATCAGATATGAGAAGTAGGTCCAAGCAGGTTCGCAAAACATGTTCAGAAAGATCGCACACACAGCACACTGGACCTGGACGGTGCGATGAAGGGCAGCAGACAGCTCCAGGCCAACGTCTCCCAAAACTTGAAGCCAGCAATGGCTGCAGTTTCGACATCGAAATTCGAACATCCGGCATCCCTCGGACGACACCTCCGCCCCCACCCACTTGTATGCCTCGAATGTTTTGGCTGAGAAGCCTCGTCGAAACGATAGACGGAATGCGCCTGAAGGACGCATTCAACTGCTACCGGACTGCGCAGATATGCGCAGTGCTCCTTAGAGCTGTCGTCAGAGTCAGAGCTCACTGGCGTTCAGGAGCTCCAGCACCGCGGGATCCTCCACGGCCTCACGGTCCAGGTTCCGGAGGTCCACGCCCCAGGAGACGAGCTGCTTCCTCGAAACGTGTACTAGTGCAAGCATCTGAACACGATCAGTTGCGAACATCCGCGATCCAAGGCACAGCACTTCTGCGTGTCCGCCCTCAGCGGCATACTGCGCCACAGAGCGGCCGTCACCATCCTGCCACGAGAAACACCACGGCGATGGGTCCGGGGCCCCGGTCGTCCCCCCAAGAGGCCTGGGCAAGCGGATCCTCTCCGCGTTGCCGGAGGAGCTGCATTGCCTCCGGGAAGCCTGTGGCCGCCGCCTTGCCAGGGGCTGCTGCTAACCCACGTTTGAGCTTTTTGCTTCACAGCTGTGAGGAAGTAGAAGGCCAGGATAGCAGCATGACATCAGCTGGTGCCTCGTGCATCAGAGTGCGTCCGAAAGCGTCCGGTCCTGCTTCAGCCGCTATTAAGATCAAGGTCTACGTCGGCAACCTCTACCGAAGCCGCTCGGAAAATTTCGGACGTCCTGCACGGACACCCTCGCCCAGCAGCAAAGCGAGCGCAGATGTCTGGCCCTGTCGCAGACTGCATGCTATCCGGTTGAGACTTTCAGAAAGCTGTTGGCCAAGGACCCTCCAGACGCAACAACCCCTCGCTCACGTTCTCCTGCGATGCAGCATGGTGCAGCAGCGACCCACCGGCATGGTCCAGGGCATGGAGATCCTTGCATGACCCCGAATGCGACAACAAAAACACGAGCAGGACTGAGACATCCGTTTGCAACTGCAACCAGAGCCGCTGCGCGGCTGGCCAAAAGTTCCCGCAGGACTCCTGTGTGACCTTAAATTCGCAGCTTGCTGAAGAAGCCGGAATCCACTGGACTTTCTAAGCACCAATCCTTCCTGACCGAAACATGCCCAAGGAACCGTCGAATGCTGCAAAGTGCGCAGGGGTGGCACCGTTGCCTTGGTTGCAATGTGACAGTCGATGTGCGAAGTTCAGGCAGCAGGTCCCCACACAGAGACCATCACTGCGACTAACTGCGGACAAATCGCTGCACTGATCCGTCAGCGAGATCCCAGCCTGCTTCGCGCTTCAGATCCACACTGCTGGAGGAGTTTAGGAGACACTTGCCGGCACTTCCGACGGGATCCTTCGGCCAACCACGACTTCACCTGATGTCGGTTCCTCGGCATTCCGAGCCTGAGCCAAGAGCCGAAGGGCAGCGACGTGGCCGCGCATCGCGGCTTCGTGGGCAACGGTCACGCCACCCGCGTCCGCAGCAGCGAGATCAGCCCGCTGCTCAAGCAGAAAGCCCTCGGTTTGCCCACAGGAGCATCAGCGTCACGGCAGTGCCCAGTGCCGACCGTGCAAGGAAGCGCCGAGGCGCCAGGACCGGCTCCGAGGGATGGTGGTGCGCAACCACCTTGCCTACAAGAAAGACACGGCTTCGACACAAGCTCAGCACTCTGAGCAGCCCTTCAAGACAAGCACAGTGTGACATGCTGTTTGCTTGGCTCTCTCTGCGGTCATGAAGATCGGAGCACATGTCAGCGGACATTTGCAAGTCTTTTGTCCTGGTCCCGCAACCGGGCCTTACATCGACATGTACGCCACATTGCCCAGATTGGCCGATTCCATGGTTCATCTTGGATTGTCGGTTCAGGAGTGGAAGCACACCCAAGGAAGCTAGAAGCGCCTGACATCCCGTTGAAATCGTCCAACTAGCTTGAGGTGTACGGACAATGCGGGCAAAAGCCAAAATGTGCACCGACTGCGAGACCGAAAATGCTGGGTTCTAGGTGATGCTGCATAGAAGTTGCTGAAAGGTTGCTGCGACAAAGCTTTGCAGAAACAAGAGCAGAAACAAACCGGGAGTTGCAAAGCTGCAGAGCCACATGACATGCTGCCACTGGGAGAGATGCAGTTGAAAGAGCGGCCGAAAGACTCGAATCCAAAAGTCGAGCCATGGGGTCAACGATGCTAGTGGCCAGAGATGAGTGAGCTTGTCGGTGATCGTCTACGTTCTGGCGTTCCTGCCTCTTGACCTTCTTGTCAGAGTTGCCCACTAATGGCTCGGGTCCTCCAGTTCACCCGCGTGCTCCTATGCAGCACTGCCCTGCCTGCTCCATCTGTGGCTGCTAAGTCAAGCTTGTGCTTCACCAGCATCTCCAAACTTAGTTGCGGCAGGGATGGATGTGGTTTCCAAAGACACTGGGACTTGCCAGCCTTTTCGACCCTGTTTCAAAGCTTGTTGGTTCGTCTGTCTTGGAAGTCTTCGGGACTCGGGAGCTCTCTCTGCTGAGGCACAGCTTCCGGTCGCCGACGTTGCTGGCGGCCTCGTGCACTGCCGTCCAGCCTTCGCGGCCCTGCGGGAAGACTCGGGCCTTCGCCGAGATCAGAAGCTCCAGCACCTGCGGGGGGGGAGGAAAGCGAAGGGATGGCCTCAGAAGACTGGCGCAGGCCATGCGGGCACCTCTCGATGGCCGTTCTCCACTGCCGACTGCAGCACCCCTTTCACCTCCTTAAGGGAGCACTAGATTGGAAGGAAGTGCAACCCGATTGAATCTTTCAATTTCAAGAATCCTCCTTGGGCAGCTTGCGGATCTTTGCTGCATCTGCCCCTCGCACTGCGTCAAACGCACTGCTGCTGATTTCACCTTGGCCACCTATTGCCAGGTTCCACTCGGCTTTGTTGAAAGTCGCGTGCCACCAATCGCGAGGGAGGAAGACGATCTCGCCCTCTTCTTGAAGACAGCGCTGCACGCCAGCGCCGGCGCTCTGCAGCTTCTCCTCTTCGACGTGCTTGTGGGGCTGAAACTTCAGCGTCCCCGGCGGGGCGACGTACCAGACTTTGCGTCCTGCTAGCAGCCACCCCCAGGTTTGCCTGTGCTGGTGGAAGGCAACTCCCTTGGCGATGGTGCCTGTGTTCATGTACAAACTCAGGCAAGAATTCTTCAGGTATGGCGGGATACCATACGTAGATTCGATCTGCTCGCAGAGATCTTTGGCGCAGAATTCGAAGACATATGGGACACTCTGTTGTTGGAACAGTGTGTCTGCCCATTCACTGAACGTGCTGGTGTTCGCTTCGGGCTTGGAGCCGGCTCTTGACTGGAATTCCAAGTTGTGGGTTAGTCGTACAGTGTAGTTGCCAAAGACACGTCGGAAAGAGGCCAGCGACGCCCGCTCTCTCTCCCACGGCGTCCCCTGGATGAGGATAGGATGAAAGTATTCGCTTTCGAAGCCTTCCTTCAGCAAGTCCTTAACAGCAGCACAATTCAAGCTTAAGCATCATCCCGGTCAACCCTGTCCACAGAAAGGTACGAAAAGCAGCAAACACTTTGCAGCCAAGAACCGCATGAACGACTTCGAAATCACATCGCGGGGCGGTCTCTGTGGTCGCAGCCAGCGGAAGGGCCAAGAGCCACTTCATGCAAGGCAGTGCGAAGACTCGTTCTTTGGTTTGGATTGTATTTGAGTCCTTGCCCCTGAAAGGCAGATGTTGTCTTCTGGAAATTGCCAGTCTGATAATAAACAGCTGCAATATCATGTTGTTGAAATTTTCAAGTCGGCATGGTCAGCCAAAGGAGCTGCGATACATCTCAACTGTTCCCCCTGCACTTGCACGAACTTACATGACACCAATGCACGTGCGGAATGCTGGGACGAGAAAGGCACAAGCATAGCATTGGCTTGTCGCATCCCTTTTTAAGCGACGGCTTTCATGGAGTCCATGGTATGGGTCGGTGCTTATCTTGGTAATCCAGCAGAAGCCGGACTTTGGCAAACCGTCCATCTCACACCAGCAGCTTTGACACTCCAACCGCAGACGCCGTGAATACAACCAAACAAACACCTTTCTGGTCAGTTCTGAAGAAGCAACCGCATCCAGCTTTTGTCTGCCATCAATCCTCAAACACGCTGGGCAACGGCCGAAACTGAAATGAACTCTGGCTGGTGCAAGCTGAGTAAGCAAAACTTTGCAACCGGAACAATGTCCGGTTGCTGAACCTAGCGAAATGCCTCTAAACTCTAGTTCGCGCGCAAGCAGCTCAGGAATGGAGTGTGACGGCTCCGTTGCGCGACTTGTTTCCGGAAACGGCGCACTGGCAAAGTGTTTTTTGCGTGGCTAGACCTTGTCGACAGCGGTTGCTCGTTGCCACACTGGTTCCAAGCAAGTAAATGAAGAAGACCAACTAAACAACCACAAAAGCGGCAAAACAGACTTACAAAGTGGCCAGTTGTCGCAGACGCACCGAGGAAAATTGGACTGGTCGACGACATTCTGTTTTCAAAACTTTTTGAATACTCAAAAACGTCTGCGGAAGAACGCCATCACGTGTAAAACGAAAGAATGCATAAAATGCTGTTAAGCAACATAATAAAATGCATAGGATTTCCAAAAAAGCAAAACAATAAACCCGCCTAAAACTTCATTAAGCTTGCCAAATGAATCTTCGGCACACATTTGCCTCACCCTTCAAATTAACTTGGCGCTTCTTCAACAACCAACAAAACGATTGCTTGACTTACCCAAGCAAAGGCTGTAGTTCCAAAAGTTAAATTTCGTGCATTGTTGTAGCGCACATAAAAGTTACAAAAGATTCCATGCACGGAGCAGTTTAAAAACGAACACGTCAAAACAAGAACAGCAACTTGTGGTTGTCCATTTGGATAACACATCCGTTGTCCAGATTCTGCACATTTCAACGTGCATTAAATATCTGGAGAACTAAACCAAAGACAGACTTCAGTTGCAAAAACAACTTTGAAACAGCACTTTTTCGCCAAACTAACTTTGTGGCGTCTGCTTCTCTTCTAGAGAACAAAGATGGCCAAGAGCTTGGATCACTTGTAGCAGACGGCATTTTTTGGCTTGACTGGGCCTCGTCGACTACGGCTGTAGCACTCGGTCCCTACAAACAAGCGAAACTACAATCTAAGCAAAAACACAACAAAGCGGTGAAACAGCGAAGCGAAGCTCTACAAAGGGCTGCGGCGCACAGGCTTTGCCGGTGTTAGCCGTTCAGCACAAACTACGGAGCCTCAGCGACCGGTCAGGAGCAACAAAGAGCCGTCGCTCTGAGCTGCCCAAAACAACAGGTGGAGCCAAGACCAGGCTCCGGCAGCCGTTCTAGTCTCGCCAGACAACGGACAGCCCCTGTGTTTTGTTCCGTCGCGATCGTGCACACCAAAATCCAAAAGTCCAAGGCCCACTGCATGCGTGGGCGGCTTCCAGATAAGGAGTGCGATGACCAGAGTCGCAGGCAAGTAACCCGCGACGGGCCGGCGTCGCAAACACACACCCAAGGGAACAAATCCAATCGATCCTCGGCGTGCCAAGCGCAAGGGCGTCGCCCAAAAGCGACACAGGCAGCGTGCGTGACCCTCACGGTCAGAATGCCGACGTCCAACCAACTAAGTTGCTCGCCACGGCACGCATGTGGCTGGGCGAGTGAATGCAGACCGGCAGGAGCAGGACGTTGCGGTGTGTCACTGCCCCGGGCAACGCAAGCCATGGCCCCAGCCACGAAGGCTTAGCAGCCCCTATGTATCACCCGTTTCGAGCGTGCACACCAGAGCCCAGGCCAGACTCAGGTGGTGGTGCAGAGTGCCGAGAGCAGGGGTGGCATGGAGGGTGAAAAGAACCTCAACGACGTATGTCGTCGGTTGCAACGGCTTCCACAGGGGGAAGCGATCTCAGCCAGAGATGAACCGACTAACCTCATGTGGTCACAACCAGGACACCCAATTTCAATTACCAAGCTCACTGGCAAGCGTGGCCTGCACCTACCGGTGTCTGCATCGACATGGTGGCAAGGGCCCGCCCGCCCACACAGTTTAGCCCGGCCTCGGCAAGGGAGAAGCCGTGTAGCCCCAATGCTGAAAGCTCAAGGGGGGGTATCGACACAACGACGTATGTCGTCAGTCCCACGATCGGCTGATGAAGACGGAATGTCACCTAGAGGAGCCAGCCGCCACTCCGCGCGGCCAGCTGTCGAGAAGGCGCTGCATGTCACGACCACTCGAAGGAAAGTGACTCTCCTTTAAGAGATAAAGCATCTGGTAATTTTTCTCATTGTAGATTTCCATCACCCTTTTAAATGTATACTGATGAGTGTCCTGGTCGGGGCCATGCAGATGTGGCATTAGATCGGTGGATATACATGGAAATTGGAGGCCAGGTCCAAGGCCCCCTTCCCTGAGGAACTCCTCCGCCGCAGCCTTCCAGCTTTCCTGCGCCGAGGGATGCCCCAACCTGACCCAGGGACGCTCGCCACCCGGCAGCTCCTGCGCCTGATTCGCCTCCCGGGCGACCAACCGGTGAAGGAGGACCATCGCTTTCGCGTCAAGTGCGTCGAAATGCGCGAAGCGCCATAAGCGGGCTGGAAAGTAAAACTGCTTCTTTTGTGGCCCGCGTATCCAATAAGCCACGACCGCTCGGAGATCCCATCCATCGGAGGTAGCCGCGGCACGAAGACGCCACAGTGCACTATTCAGCAGGCCCGCGGCCTGAATCGAAAGAGAGGGCTGCGCTTGCAAACCCAGTGAGATGTCCGCAAGCGGGAAGAGCAGGCGGAAAGTGCCCCGATATGTTCCCGGATACGTGAACATTCGCGGATCAAACTCGCCGCGTCTGGCCGGAAGGATTCCACTCTCGAAGCCCGCCATCAGTCGGTCAGCAATGGCAATCTGGGGTCGGCCCACCAGGGCAGCCGGAACCTCGCATTTGACTCGCACCTCAATGTGTTGACCGTCACGAGTTGGAGTAACGTTGGTGAGCTGCAAAAGTGGAGCGGCCGTAGGGTCGTCTGCTAATGCCCGTGTGAGATAAAGCAGCAACTGTACTGGCAATAACACACCACAGTGAAGCAGTGGGGTCCCCTGTGTCGCGTCAACACTCGTGCCGCCATCCCCAGTAGTGCGCCGCTGGCTGGATCCGGCGCCGCGTCGGCTGCCTGCCGGCAATGGTTCTCGCTTGGGAGCCAAGGACATTTGCACCAAGCTGCCGTCCCGGACTGGAGACTTCCGTCCTTCCAAGGCACAGGGGAGCGACCCTTTGAGCCCTGCAAGCTCGTCCAAGAGCAGCCACCACCAAATTTCGGGCCGAGCGAGCTCATACCAGGACAGGTCAAAAACTCGTCCTTCAGGCAGGCGCAGAACTGGGTCGCAAAACTGTGCCAATGCGACAGACACGGCCAGCATGGGCGTCAGACAGACGCGAAAAGCTTCGCTATCAGTACAGCGCCGTAACATGAGTGCCCGGTCAGCGAAATCAACCACCTTCACCCCAAAATTCTGAGGGCTGAGTTTGACTTCACAAGCGGGCAGGGACAAGGGGAGGGAAAGCAAGGTAAGACAATCGGTGGGGTTGGGTAGTAATTGTTGTAGCGCCCCGGGCTTGGTAGCGCCGAAGGGTATCATGCTGCTCTTCGAATTCGTCCTCGTCTTCTGCCGGTACACACCGGCTAGCAATGGCTGTAACTCCAGGCACAAGGCGGCTAGGCGGAGTCTCCACGGCATTCAACAGGGCCGCCACACGTTGGCTCCATGTAGCACTAGGTGCGGCAGGAAGGGAGGCAGCGCAACTTTGACTGCGCAACTCCGCGGTCAACGCAGGATCCTCCTTTGCAGGTGCGCCTGCGTCCGGGTCCGGGCGAACCTTTCCCGTCGGATCGTCCCAAGCAGCGTCGTGTTAATCGTATCAGAAGCGATGGAATAAAGGTAAAATGCCCCCGGCACAGCGGTTACCAGCGATTCCGCAGAGCCGGTTTGGCCCCGACACACCGGCGCTGGCGGGTCAAAATACATGTGCGCCCCGATGAGAGACCGATGGTGAGTGGAACGGAGCGCACTGTATAGTCTTTTGGGGGGAGGCACTCCCACGCCCTTGTGCTCTCGAAGACGGTGGAGACCAAACCGCGGCGGTGTAGTAAACTCTAGCAGTCCGAAGACTGGGTGATCGGTGTCAATCACCGGATAGAACGGGCGTGCCGTGATGGATTGGCCACTAGGTCCGCTGTGCTCAAAATCCACACCCCCGAGGAGGAGCTGGACCGGGTAGCCGTCCATGCCGCAGTGTGCAGCGACTGCTGTAGCATCACAGAGCGGAGGAACGCGATTCACCGACCACCGTTCATAGAATTCACGGGCAGTCTCCCTATCCGCGCGCTGTGGGTTTTGAAGTCCAAGCCGAGCATGTCCGTAGGTCTGGTAGAGCTCCTCCCATCGGACGTCGGACGTGGGTGTGATGGAGGGAGGCATGGAGCTCTAATGCAGCAACAATGCCCCACCAATGGGAAGGGGAGGCAATGATCAATGGGCCAGTGGGTCGCGTACTGCCTGCCGTGAGCCGTTGGTGGGCGTCCTCTCCCGACATGGTAAAGCGCCCAGCCTTGTCAATAAGGCAGATGTCAACCGCCCCCCGTGTTC